TGACTACGAGCTTCACTCTCTCGACTTCTCCACTGCCTTCCTTCAGGGCTGCCTACACGAGCAGGTCTACCTGCGCCGCCCTCCGGGCTTTACTGGCACCTTCCCTCCTGGGACCCAGTGGCTCCTGCGGCGCCCCGTCTACGGCCTGCGCCAGGCTCCCCGTGAGTGGCACGACACTCTGCGTGCTACGCTTGCTGACCTGCAGTTCTTTCCGTCTTCTGCAGACCCTTCACTCTTCGTTCGTGCTGGCCAGACTCCGTTCTACATCCTCGTCTACGTCGACGACCTGGTCTTTGCCACAGCAGACAGGGACGCGCTGGCCTCCGTGAAGGCAGAGCTGCTGAAGAGACACACCTGCACTGACCTTGGAGAACTGCGCCGTTACCTTGGCTTGCAGATCTCCAGGGACAGAGCTGCGCGCACCATCACCCTGACTCAGTCACACTTGGTGCGCCAGGTCCTTCAGAGGTTCAGCCTTCAGTTCTCCTCTGCACAGCCCACCCCTCTGCCTGTAGACCACAGGCTCTCCGCTCCAGTGCCTGAGGAGTTGGTAGAGCCCAGCGGCCCCTACGCAGAGCTGGTGGGTTGCCTCATGTACCTGATGACTTGCACTCGCCCAGATCTCGCATACCCTCTCAGCATCCTGGCTCGCTTTGTGGCCACAGGCAGACACCGACCGCAGCACTGGTCTGCCGCTAAGAGGGTTCTGCGTTATCTTGCTAGTACATCGGGCATGGGGTTAGTGCTAGGAGGACGCAGGCCAGCGGTCCTTACTGGGCACACAGACGCTTCGTGGGCAGACGACGCTGAGACACTCCGGTCTACCCAGGGCTACTGCTTCAGCCTTGGCTCAGGTGTCGTCTCGTGGAGAGCTACTCGCTCCTCGTCTGTTGCACAGTCCAGCTGTGAGGCTGAGATCTACGCCGGTGCCATGGCGGCACAGGAGCTCCGCTGGCTGACCTTCTTGCTCACTGACTTAGGTGAGCGACCTAGCTCTGCCCCGGTCCTGTTCGCTGACAACAGGGCCATGATCCTCCTGTGTCAGGAGCCTCGACTCGAGGGCAGAGCGAAGCACATTCAGCTGCGGTACTTCCTCCTGCGTGAGCTACAGCAGCGACGTCAGGCTCGCGTAGTACACTTGGCCTCAGGTGCCAACACGGCTGATATCTTTACGAAGGCGCTTGCGCCTAAAGATCATCAGCGGCACTGTGTACAGCTTGGTCTAGTTCCTGTAGCCTCTCACTTGCTAGGACCTTGACTTTGTACTGTCCTTTATATGTATACTCAGACTGGACTTGTGTCCTCTCCCAGTGGCTGGACTAGTAGTGCCGCCCTGCTCTTTGCTTGCCTTGTCTGTACTCCTTCTGACTGGTCGCTCAGACCCTTGTCTCAGAGGTTGGACGAGTAGTGCCGCCCTGAGCTGTTTGTTTAGGACTTTCCCCTATGCAGTCTAGGGGGTGTGTCAAACATGTCTATTTGTTATGTTTGTATAGACTGTATAGGGTAGCCTCTTAGAGGGTACAACACTTAGCTATATTGTGTGTACTCTCCCTCTATCACCATCATTCAATTTTCTGATAGTAAATTCTCGCCAGTTGCCCGTTTGGTCAACTGAAAGTCTACCAAAATGTAACGGTCACGATCGTTTGCGATCGTTTCGACATATATCAATCGTTCGATGTTATGTTGTGATTAACGTCCAAGATTTCCCCACCGGGACGCTGCAAGGGCACGAAATTTCTCCCACCGTCCTATTCCCCAGCTTCCCCCCTCCCTGCCGTTTCGATTCCCCCCCCTCCCCTCTGTTTCAATCACTTCCCCCTTCCTCTCCGTTTCGCTTCCCCCATCCTCTCCGTTTCGACCGCCCCCCCCCTTCCCCCCCCTCCCCTTCGTTTCGCTTCCCCCCTCCCCTCCATTTTGATTCCCTCCCCATTTCCCCGTCAGTTTCGATTCCCCCTCTCCTCAGTTTCGTTTTCCGTGGCAGTGCGATTTAACCCCCTCGGTTTTTAGGAATGACTTCCCCGTTTCCCACATTTAACAACTACGCAAAACGAGGGTATAACAAGGTTGCTGGTTGGGGGGGGACGCGGGCTGTGGGAGGATTTTTTATGGCTGCAAGGGACTTAGCCGAATTTTTTGGGAGGTGTAGGAGGGAGGGAAGTTTCTCGCTGTGGGGGTGTTTCCCGTGTGTGACTCTGGTTGTACGTCCTGGACCCTGAAAAAATCAGACTCGCTGAGTTCTGGACCCTGACATTTCAGACTACAAAAATTTCGGCTAAAGGCCCTTCAGACTATTTTTTTTTTTTGGGGGGTTGAAACGCTCTGAGCCAACGCTCTCTAGCGTTCCGGGACTTCGCCGAAATTTTAGATGGGTTGTGGGGTGTGGGGTGGGGGTTGTCTCTAGGGTTCGGGGACTTGGCCGAAATTTTTTAGGGGTTGTGGGGTGTGTGGGGCATGTCTCTAGCGATTGGGGACTTCACCAATTTTTTCGAAGGTTCGTACTGTACAGGTAATGAGTCAGGGTCTGTACGCGCTGTGCTCTGAAAACTCAGTACTGGGTTAGCGACAACTCTGATTTTCTCAGGATCCCTAGAATCGTACTCTGAAGGGATCAGGATTGGGAAAATGCCTTATCTGGAAATTCAGGTTTGGCCAAAAAACAGGTCTGAGATTTCAGACCAATCAGAGTAAATAGTCTGATAAAATCAGCCCTGTTCTCGGCTAGCCGTGTTGTATAAATGCCTAGGTCCTCATTTGCATTGACAACTCTTGAATCACAACTCTTTTATTTTACTACATGTTATTACTCTGATTAATTCATGACAGCTGGTATCAGAGCCCCGTTCCTGCCCGCTTAGTCTTCCGTAGAGTAGTCCGTTTATATCGGGAGAGGACCCGACAGAATAGAGGGTTGGCCAGCGGTTGGTAGGCAAGCTCGTTAAAGCTCCTCCAACTAAAAGCGTGTGCACCCTCAGATCTGTTTGGTAAAATTTCCAGCATGACTAGCACGCCGGAAACCTCTGCCCGTCGTAGTGTTAGGAACGTAACTCAGGAGGAGTTTGACGAGTTGCAAGCCAGGGCGGCTACAGTGACGACACTGCAGGCCTAGCTTCAACAACTCGCGGATAAATTCGAGTCGCTGGGAAGCGAAGTTCAGACGCTGCGCAACGAAAACTCGTCACTTCGCCAGACGCGGGGTGAAACGCGTCAGGAGCGGCCTGTTACCCGAGACGAGGATGCTGCGAGCGAAGCGAAGGCGTCGGCGACACCTGAAGCAGTTGAAGAAATCCAAAGCGAACCGCGGGCGGCCATTAAAATCAAGCCTCCCATGCCCCCACCGTTCAACCCGACAGACAGGACGACCACCATGAGCGGGTGGCTGTTCGCCATGGAAATCTTCTTCACGGCAGCAAGTATTAATGACAACGCCTCACGTGTCAACTTGGCTGTGTCGCTGCTGAGGGGACCGGCACTCGACTGGTGGCGCATGCATCTTGACGAGGGAGGAGCTCCGGCAGGGAATCAACGGGCGGCAGCTGGGGAGATGAGTTCATCAACGGCAACGGCAGAACCAATCTTTGGCTCGACCACGATCCGCACGTGGAAACCGTGGGGCGAAGCGTTGAAGAGCAGATTCGAGCACATATCCATGCGCGAAAATGCTAGCACAAAGCTTCGGATGTGGAGACAGTTGGGCCCTGTCCGAGAATACACGGCGTCGTTTCTGGCCATCTGCGACCAAATCGGAGGGATCAGCGAGGACGAGAAAATCGATCGCTACGTGGGCGGACTCAAACCGGAGATTCAACAAGAAATCTTCCTGCAAGCCCCGACGACCTTCAATGAGATTGTTCGCATGGCGGATGCGCTGGACGCGCGACGTGGACTCGCGAGAGCGGGTTTCCAGGTGGGAAATCGCTTTCGAGGCCAGCCCCAACACACATCAATCAACGGCGTGGACGTGTTTGCAGCCCGAGTATTTTCGGGGACCTGCTTCCACTGCAACCAGCCGGGTCACATGGTGAGGGACTGCCCGCAGCTAAAGAAGAACTTACCTAACGACAAGAAGCAGTCGGGAAATGGAGATCGTCAGTAGCAGATGGGCCACCTACTGACTTGACTGCGTCGCCCAAACGCCACCACCCCCACCAGGTTATAGTGCCGATTTGGGCTATCGACCATTCCTAGCTGAATAAAGGGGGTGAACCGATTGATTACCCTGTGCTGGTTGAAGGGAGAGTTGGTGATACCCGCATAAAATTATTTGTTGATGGCGGGGCAAGCCACAGTTTAATGGATGTGACGAAAGCGAAAAAAATTGCGACTGCAACTAGAGCGGTGCCTGCCTGAAATCGACGCGCGATTGGTCGATGGCACACCCCTGGCAATTCGGGAGCGAGTACCTCACGTGCGAGTTACATGCGGTGACAATTTCAGCTTTACGACGAAGATGCTGGCGACAACGTTGGACGGCTGAGATATGCTGCTGGGACGCGATTGGCTGCGCGAGTACAACATGAGCATCGATTGGCGGACGGGTGACTGTCGAATCAAATGGAGTGGCGAGTGGCGACGACTTCCGAAGTGGAACAATCCAGATTCTGCGACAGTCAGCGCGGTTACCATCAAGCGAATGATGATTCGCGAGGCACAACTGTACGCCGTCAGATGGATCGCATCCACAGCCGTCAGCGCACCGGCCGACATCGACAAACTCTGCGCGGCAGTCCCCGACGACTTGGCGACATTGATCCGCAAGCATGCCGACATCTTTCCGGACGACCTACCGCCAGGATTGCCACCCGAGCGAGACCACGACCATAAAATCCAGTTGGAGCTCGGCGCGCAACCGACGGTTCGGACACAGTGGAGGCTGACTCAGCCAGAGCTGGATGAACTTCGACGCCAGCTGGATTACCAGCTCGAGAAAGGTTTTGTTCGCCCCAGTACTTCACCGTTCGCAGCTCCGATACTGTTCACCCCGAAGAAAGATGGCGGTCTACGAATGTGCATTGACTACCGCGCCTTGAACCGGGTTACCATCAAGTCTCGCTATCCTATTCCGCGTGCCGACGAACTCATCGACCAACTTCGTGGGGCAAAGTTCTTTTCGAAAATTGACCTGCGAGGCGGTTACCTCCAGATCCGTGTCAACGAAGCTGACTGCTACAAGACGGCGTTCCCAACCCGATACGGGAGTTACGAGTACACGGTCATGCCTTTTGGCTTAACCAACGCGCCTTCAACATTCCAGTTAACCATGAACGAAATTTTTCGGCCGCTGCTGGATAAATGCGCCATTGTGTACCTCGACGATATCCTGATATACAGCACTACCCGGGAAGCACATTTGAAGGATTTGGAAGCAGTCTTCACTCTCCTGCAGCAGCATCGACTCATCACCAAGGGTTCTAAGTGCGAGTTTCTAAAACAAGAACTGGAGTTTTTGGGACACGTTATTTCCATCGACGGTGTTAAAATCGACCCGAAACAAATCGCGACCATACAAGACTGGAAGCCGCCGGCTAATCTCCGCGAACTTCAAAGTTTCCTGGGGTTTGTGAATTACGTTCGCCGATTCATCCAGAACATGGCGGGGGTAACTTCCCCTCTCACGGATCTTCTGAAGAAAGGCAAGTTTTATGAGTGGGGGGGGAGAGCAGCAGGCTGCGTTCGACCAACTCAAACTTTTCCTGACAATACCTCCGGTTCTTCGCATTGCAGATCCTCACCGTCCGTTCGAACTCATCACCGACGCTAGCGACCTGGCTGTTGGCGCAGTACTGTTACAGGACTTCGGCGAAGGCCTTCAACCCATCGCCTACGAGTCACGAAAGCTGAATCCGGCCGAGCGAAATTATCCCGTCCACGACAAGGAGTTACTCGCCATCGTTCATGCGTTCAAGGTTTGGCGCTGCTACCTGACGGGCGCTGATGTGACAGTCCGAACAGACCACAAATCGCTACAGTTCATCCGCGCCCAACCGACACTCAACCCCCGACAGATTCGCTGGCTCGATTATCTCAAGTCGAATTTCCACTACAGAGTCACCTACAAACGAGGGGCCAGCAACATCGCCGACGCACTGACCCGCCCTTCAGTACATACCACCGCTGTCCTAATCACCCAAACCAATCCTCTGCTAACTGGACTATTTACCCACGGATACAGTACCGACCCATTCTTCATGACTAACAGTCATCCCCAACTGACCGTCAAGCAGGGGGCTTATTACATAAAATCCGGTACCAATCGGTTTTGGGTTCCCGCTTGCCGTACCCTACGCGAGCTACTGATACAGGAAGCACACGACTCGAATTTCTCGGGTCACTACGGCATCGACAAAATTGCCAAATTACTGAGCCGTAATTATTACTGGCCCGATTTGCTGACGGACGTGCAGCAGTACGTCACCTCCTGCGCCACGTGTCAACGCATGAAGCTGTCACGACTTCGACCTGCGGGATTAATGCAGCCGCTCGAGCCACCCAGCCGACCGTGGCAACAAGTGACGATGGATTTCGTCACTGGCCTGCCAGCTGGTCCAAGCGGTAATGACGCGATTCTCGTCGTCGTTGACCGTTTGACCAAAATGGCACACTTCGCCGCCTGCAAGACGACAATTACTGCCGAGCAGACAGCGAAGCTGTTTCTCACGAACATCGTGCGGCTACACGGAATCCCTTCGGCAATCATCAGCGATCGCGACCCTCGGTTCACATCCAATTTCTGGACAAAAACCTGGCAGCAGTACGGCACACGTCTGCATCTGTCCACAGCATACCACCCGCAATCGGACGGCCAGACTGAGCGCACCAATCAGACGATGGAGCAGCTGATTCGTACAACGTGCACAGACCCGGCCCAGTGGGAAGATTCTCTTCCACTGATCGAGTTTGCGTACAACAACGCCCCATCAGCCACGACTACTCAGTCCCCGTTCTTCCTTAATTACGGGATAGACCCGACAACCCCTCTATCGCCACCGATCGAAAATCCGGCACCCAGATCGCAGCAGTTCGTCGAAAACCTCCGACAGTCACAGCATAAAGCCGCCGATGCCATTCTCAAAGCCAACCAACGGGCTAAGCAGCAAGCTGACCGACGACGCCGTGACTTAAACCTTGCCCCTGGGCAATTGGTCCTGCTCGACACTCGAAATTTGGGGATTCCCCTCCCAAATAATCTACGACCAAGATTTTGCGGCCCATTCCGCATAATCCGCATGGTGACTCCCGTCACCGCCCAGCTGCAACTACCGATCGACTGGCGCATTCACGATTCATTCCACGTCAGTCTCCTGCGGCCGTTCGTCCCGAGTACAACTGATCTCGACCGTCAACATATCAATCCTACGGTCAACCCAGTACCCGAGCCGACGATCGAGCCATCGAAAATTCTCGCTCATCGCGTACGAGGTTCTCGCGATACTGCAGCCGTTGATTTCCTTGTATGATGGGTCGATCGCACGACTGATGACGACCTCTGGGTCCCCGCAGCTATGCTCAGTGAACACAAAGTTGTCAGGGACTATTTACACCGACGACGTGTCCCGGATGTGGGTAGTCTCATCCCGGAAGGGGGGGCGGTGTAAGGAAAATTCCTTTTCCTTACTGGGCTCAACTATAGCGCGTACGCCCCCGACCCTCGGAAGACCAGGCCCGGCCATTTTCCTCGGCCCCGAACCATTTCGTAAACCCAAACCTAATGCGCGGCGCCTCCGTGGCTTTCGCCAACCGAATCGCCCTAACCTGTTTGCGAGGTTCTCGGCTAGCCCTGTTGTGCCTATAAATGCCTAGGTCATTTGTATTGACAACTCTTGAATCACGACTCTTTTATTACACTACCTTTTATTACTCTGATTAATTCATAACATCCATTCCCTGGTCGTGTGACTTGTCATGTCACATCTTGTCGAAACAGAACCCCAAAAGAGAGGAGGGGCTCACTCATTCAACGCCGTCAAGGCGAACAGTATCAGCACGGAGTCCCGACGACTCAAACGGACATTGACGTTGGCCGTCGGTCATCGTCCAACAAGGTCATTTCTCCCTATAATCTCGTGGCTTGGTGCGATTCTTCTTTTCACGGTCAGAAGATCGAACGCCAGCCCAAAGAGCCTTGTTGGCTTGCGTGTGGTTGGGGAAGGTCGTGTTGGAAACACCTTTCGCTTGAAAACACGACCCCGAACTGTTGTCATCCAATGGGCACAAGTCTTGGAGGGCTTTCCTCTGCCCGATGAACAAAGTCGCTGGTTGAAAGTTTGTTTTGTCCTACGGGCCGTTTGCGCAAGCAGGTTGAGCTGAGATCGGGCAGAGTGACGTGTTATGGACGCCAATCGAAATTCTTCCCCTTCCCTCTCCTACTCCCTGCCCTCTTCCGCGAAAGGGATACTTCATTCGGAACACGAGACATGTGTACAAGGGGGTTTCAACCTTTTGGGATGATCCCCGTCCGTCACTCACATCACAGAGGGATACAGTACGTTAGATAACAAATTGAGAGCGGTACAAAGCTTTCTGCCTGAGGAATGGATGTTCCAGCAAGACCCCACCCCAACCACCATACTCCACTGAATACTCTCTTGTTTTGCTGACCACCCACCCCCACCCAGCATCTTCCTGAACACAGCAAGCCTCATTACTTGTCCTCAAATACCAACAGACTCCGTCAACTGACTCCATTACTACGGCAGTAGAAACTCAAATTCCACCGGGCTGATCCTGACGTACTCCGAGAACCCCGGTATTATATGTAGGGAGGGATTCTGTTTCAGCTTGCTGAGAGTTAGCTCAATTTCTTAATCCGTGTGATTTATGCAGGTGGCTTCGTCTTCCACTCTGCGGGACTAGTAAAGCCTATACTAGGAACTGTTTATAGTTACTTTCCGCGAGAGCAGGAGAAGCAACCAGCCGTCGACTATTAGCCTTTTCCCCCCCCCCCGTCTATTCGACCATCTATTACATTGATTCATCCGACGGCCTGCCAGAATGTATTCCGGCTCCATGAACCGATCAGTCGTAAGCAGCTCGTCGTCCGAAGATAACGGGTCCGAGGCCAGCTACGCGACATCCTCGACTCGGAGCTCCGTTAGAGTGCCTAAGCTGAGAACCGGAAAGGTCAGCTTCCTTCCTTCCTTCCTTCCTTCCTTCCTTCCTTCCGTTTGTAGAGGAGCCTTTTCCCCTCCTGTTCGGAGACGGCCTTTTCCCCTCCTGTTCGGAGACGGCTGAAAGCCAGCTACGCGCTTCCTCCAGTCGGAGCTCCGTTAGAGTGCCTAAGCCGAGAACCGGAAAGGTCGGTCTCACTCCACTGAGTTTTTTCCCCTTCTTTTTTCGAGACGGCTGGCAGCCAGCCACGCCATGTTCCCAGCCGGAGCGCCGTTAGAGTGCCTAAGCCGAGGACGGGGAAGCTCAGTCTTATGCCCTCTTTTGTTTTTTTAGTTTTGAAAGCCAGCTACACCGCTGTATCCTGCATCTATCAGTGTTTCGCGACGTGTCAAAATCGATGGCATTGGGTTTCCCTCCCCATCGTCCATTTCCTCGACTTAGGGCTTTTAAGAGGCTATGTAGGCGCATCTGATTTCACGCTCCGTTTCAGCTGTTCCGATTTCTCTGTTATTCTTTCCTCTTACATGATTTCCTGTCCAAATTTCCAGGGCCCTGTGCCCACACCGGCGCTTCCGGTGTTTGGAGCATGGAACTTTCAGTCCCCGCAGACCCCGGAAGAGGCGGCGGCAGCGGCGGCGGCGGCTTCCGCCGCAGCGCGCTTGCGCTCCGCTCCAAGCGCGCAGGCGTGGGAGCCCGAGAGCGCAGGGAGCGGCGGCGTGGGGTTTACTGCCATGTTCGCGAATAAGGGGAAGGAGCGCCGGGCTATGAGAATCGTGGATGGACGAATCATGGAGGTTCCGAGCGATAGATCGCAGGTATTGAGTAGGAGGGAGTGGGGGCTTTTAGATTAGGTGCCTTTGGAAGGAAAGATCAACTGCCGTCGTCTTCGCGAATAAGGGGGAGGCGGCGAGCCATGAGAGTCGTGTTTGTGGACGGATCATGGACGGATCATGGACGGATCAGGAAGGCTTTCAGGGGGGGTGAGGAAAGGGAGGAAGCCTTTGCCTTCCCTGATTGTGCTCTCTTCGCCCTCGTTTCTCTCCCACAATGCTTCTCTTCCCGTATCTCATCATAAGCCCACCCGCCCTCTCACTCCCCCCTTTGCATTCTCTCCCCTTCGCATTCTCGCCCTCTCACTCCCTCCTTCCCCTGCTTTTTCCTGCTGTTCTTCCCCCCACCCTCCCCTCTCCCCCTACCCTCTCCCATTCCTCCCCCCCTGTGCCGATCTGCAGGCAAGCATATCGGTCTCCCCATCCCGATCCTCCCACTCCCCTGACTCCAGATCCCCCACCCATCTCGCTCACCTGCCCCCTCACCATCCGCTCTACCACTCCCCTCTCTCCGGCCTCCCGAACCGTGCTCCCGAGCCTTACTCCCAGCCCCAGCAGCCGTACCTGCCAGGTCCGGGCCTCGCGCCAATTATATCCGAGTCTCTCTCGCAGTCTAGCTTCGACTCCTCCCGCTCCTCATCTGCCCCGGATTGTGAAGACAATGCATCTTCTTCTGTGCATTCTGGGGGTGCTCCTATGGACTCAGCACTACCGGCAGCACCAGTAGGAGGAGCAGCAGGGGTACCAACAGCAGGATCAGCAGCAACAGCAGCACTGGTGGCAATGGCAGCACAACGAGCATCACCACCACTTGCAGCATCTCCAGCACCAGCAGCGGCACCAGCACCAGCACAAGCAGCAGCAGCATCAGACCCCCCCTCTCTAGCCGAGCTCCAATCCCTGAGGCTGCGCCTGGCAGCAGGGGAGAATCTCTCCCCAGCAGAAATGCAACGCCTCACTCAAGGCATCCTCGCTCTCATGACCGCTCCCCCTGCCGCTCCCCCTGCCGCTCCCGCTGCCGAGCCTGTCTCTGCCTTTCTTGTTCCTGCTGCCGCTCCAGCTGTCGCACGAGCAGAAACGTCTTCCAAACCAGAATCAGCTTTGGCAAACGAGCCTGCGGGCTACGCCCAGGCCAGTCCTCTAGCCAGTCCCCTAGCCCATCACCTCCAGTCGTGCAGCTCCTCTGATTCTTCCCCTGAGTCTTCCCCTCCCCGGCGCCCCCTTCGCTACTACTCCCCAACCCACCCTTCCTCTCCGCCCCACGAGCTCGGTGCTCGCTCCTCCCTTCTTTCCCAGCCTCCTGCTTGGGCTGGGGATGCCCCACCTGCCGAAGCTGCGTTCAGGTCCGACAAAGGCTTGAACGCTGTAGCAGCAGCACACGCTCCCGAACCTGGTTTCCAGCCTCGGATTGCTCAGCACTCGCCCATTGACAGCCCTATAGATAAGCACATGGTGTCTCGATTCTCCCCTGCGCCCTCCTCCCCTGCTCCCTCCTCCCCTGCTCCCCCTCCCCCTCCGCCCTACTCCCTCCCTCCTCCCTCCTATGGCCCCTCGTGCCACAACCCTCCCCCCTATGGCCCCTCTCCCATTGCTCATTTGCCATTGGAGCCAGAGGAGGACGACGGGGGGTTCACTTGGGAAGGCTGGAGTGCTACAGGCCGGCCAATCAGGGACCAGATGATTTCCAACTGCTCTGCTGCCAGTGCTGCTGCCGCTGACCTGGGTTATTGTACTTCTGGGGCTCCTCTTGACGCTGCCAGTGCCACTGCAAGCAGTGCAAGCGTTGCAAACGGTGCAAGCGGTGCAACGGCAAATGGTGGCCGTTGGGCTGCTGCTCCTGGAGCAGTGTCCCTCGCTACATCTGGTGATGCTTCTTCTGGTGTGTCTGCAGCAGCTGCTGGTGCCACTAGTGCTGCTGCTGCCGGCAGTGCTCCTGCTGCTGTACCCAGTACAGGCGCACCCGCTACTAGATCAGCACCTAGGATCGCTTACCAATCGCCCTATGGCGACTGGGAGGGCGAGAAACAGCAGCAGTCCAAGGTGCGGTTTCAAGGCTTAATTGCCTACGACGCGGAATCTGCAGGGTACACTAAGATGTTTCAGGACAAGCAGGCTAAGAAGAACCAGGGTGGGGGATTGGAGGTACATGCTGCAACGGGACTTGGAGGCGGAGAGTTAGCGGCTGGTGCGGAAAAAGGGGAGTGGAATGCAGGCATAGCTGCTGCTTTGGCTGGGCTGGGCATGGCTTCTGAGGGGATGGGCCGTGGCCTTCCTCCTGTCGCTGCAGCTGCTGGTGGTGCTGCTGGTGCTGGTGCTGCCCATCCTTATGCGTCTCCTCTCGCTCCTCCTCCCTGTGTTAGCCCTTCTGTGGGTATCAATCCTCCTCCTGGTGCTTACACACATGCAGCTGCTCCTGGCGTTGCTCACCCCCCTGCTGGTGCTGCTGGTTCTGGAGGATACGGGGGCCAGTATGCGAATTATGCGCCGAATCCCGGCATGTACATTCCACAACCTCATGCCCCTGTGGGAGTGAACGGCCCTCTGCATGGCACCCATGCACCTGATGCGCACGGGAAAGCTGGGATGAGACAAAAGGTGAGCTGAGTTGACAACACCCATGTGCTTTTGGTTGAGTGCATGTGAGCTGGTTATTTGAGTGCATGCATCTTTATTTGCTTGAGTAAGTGCTTTTGCTCGAGTTTATGTGTGCTTCAGAGCGTGTGTTTGTTTGCTTGATTGCGTGCGTGCTTTTCCTCATGGGGAGGTTTGTCCCTGTGGCATTAAATTGTGTTACACCTCTTGATTTGCCGTTGGTGTGCAGATTGGAGGTTTCTTTGGCAGATTCGGGAAGAAGTAAACTCATTGGATTTTTTTCCCCATCAGAGCTGATTGTCGAAATAATTATTGGGCCTTGCACGCATCTAAGGAAGTTCTTTATGGAGTCTTGTTGAGATGCTAATGCGGTACACCTAAATAGGAAATTTTTACGCGGATGTGTACACGCGCTTCTCATTTGTCAGTGCTCCCCCTGACACCGCGTTTGCCGGTTCCGAGAGTCACGTCCTGACCATCCGACGGCCTTGCGCCGCTCAGGGCTCACCTGACTGACACGGTTCGGCCGCGCCTCGAGGTTCGCTGGTCAAGTTTCTGGTTAGGCTTGTGGTTAGACTTGGTTCGGATTGGTTGGTTCGATTCAAGCGTCTTCTCGGCTTTCAAATGCCCCACCGAACCTTCACGGGAGGTCCGGAATCCGTTAACGGGAAGCTCTAGCGAAGCCGTCAGGATACAATGAGGGGTAGACCACGCACCGCGAAAATGTCAAGGCTAACCGCTTCGCTTCTGTCACTGGCACCATCGCTTGAAGCACACTTGGCTGCCTCGCTCCGCACTCCAAACCAGCTCGCACATTCCCCGCGCCCCAATCTCCCTGGGCGATTCCAGAAACTCCTCAAATTGCGGCTCCGCGCCCAGCATCTTTATGCTCCTTCCGCGTTCCCCGTGAAGTTCACTTCACTGCTTCCTTCCGCCAACTTCGTTCCGCTAACCAGAGAAGTCGGACACACCTCATCTGTCAACCAGCCACTCTTCCCCGCAACCCCCCCCCCCTCCCCCCCCCAACCCCCCCTTCCCCCCTTGTCCTGGTTCCGCCCGTTCCGCATGAGAGCTCCGCCTCTGCTTGCTTTGCGTGTCCCAGCCACACTCCACCGCGGAAGACACCCTGGGTTGTGGTTTCTTAGGGAACTCCACGAGCAAAGTATCCATTTACGGGAAAAGCCATCCTTGAGAACTGGAAGTGCTAGTTTCCTGGATGCGCTAGTAGTTGTTTCAGGGAACTGATTTCAGGTATTGTAAGAGCTTATCTTACTGTCGTTCCCCTTGGGTTGAAATTCTAGCCGAGTCGACTAATCCAGTCTTACTCATTTTGTATTTCAGCTTCCTTCCGTCCTCTCCAGCTCATCCTGCGAGTCTCAATAGAGGAATATATGCGTTTGTCAGCTGACAGCTAGATAGGCTGCTGCTCCGAGCTGAACAGTCATATCGATCAGCCGTTAATTGGCCTCGAATAAAAAGTAAATTCGAAGTCGTCGGATAAAACCAGGGTAGCTGGGTGGCTAGGCCACCACTAGTCCACGATGAGGTTCTCATCGCATCGCGAATGTTACACGCTCTTCGCAGCGCTCGCAGTCGTCGCATGCCTATTGGCTACCGGCGTGCCGTCAGCTGAAGCGTACGATCCGTTAGATCCGACGGGCAACATCACGATCGTGTGGGACGTAACGAGCTGGGCCGGCGATGGCTACATCGCGTGGGTTAAGATGTACAATTACCAGCACTACCGCAAGATCGATCCCCCCGGCTGGGCGCTGACGTGGAATTGGACCCATGGAGAATACATTTGGGATCTTCAGGTGCGTCATGACTGCGGATGCTTTTATCGGGTACATGGCGATGGGTTCCCGCCTCGGTGGGAATGAGCCGACGGCGAACGCGTTCGGTGACAGCTTGGCGCGATCGAATCTCTCTGTGCTCCATTCACGACCCGAAGTGCGTGAACGGCCAGGCAATCGCCGCTGCCGCGCAGAGCGGCGCTCTTCTCATCGTAGTCTCCTCTCCCTGAGCCGTGACGCGCTGCGCTCCTCTCCCTTAGCTCACTCTGTTTCGTTCCCCCGTCGCTTCTCCCTGCTAACTCCGCTACCCGTGCTCACGTCGTTCTCCGTTTCTTCCCCCCCCTTCCTCCCCCCCCCCTCCCAACCACACCCCTCACTCTGTCCCCCTCGTTTCTTCGCCTCGCTCACTGCAGGGAGCCGTGGCCACCAAGCAAGGCGACTGCTCCAAGCTGCAATTTCCAGGCGGAAAGATCCCCCATAGGTGCGTTGGTGCTACCTGCTTTCTTCCGCGTCCTGCCTATGCAGTTGCATCGACGACCTGTTTCGCCATGTTGCCCCTCCCCTTCCTCTTGTTCATCCCTCTCATCCCCCTCCCTCCCCCCTCCCCCCTCTTCCCCACCTTTTCCCCCAGCTGCATGCAGTATCTCGTGGTCATGGACCTGATGCCCGCGGATCCCCTCGAGCTCGATGCTGGATTGACCCGCTTCCCCGTCTGCACCCCCCCCTCTTCCCCCCTCTTTTGTCCCCTGCCCCCCTCCCTCCAGCTGCATGCAGTACCCGGTGGTCATGGACCTGCTGCCCGCGGATCCCCTCAAGCCCAATGCGGAATTGACTCATGGCCGAATCCTCCTCTCTCCCGCCGCCGCCCCCCGCCCCCGCTCCCTCCCCCCCCCCCCCCGGTTTTTCCCCCAGCTGCATGCAGTACCCGGTGGTCATGGACCTGCTGCCCGCGGATCCCCTCAAACCCGATGCTGGATTGACCCTCTTCCCCGTCTCGACCCCCCCTCTCCCCCCCCTCCCCCCTTCCTTTCCCCCCACCTTTACCCCCCTTTTTCCCCCCATCCCTCCAGCTGCATGCAGTACCCGGTGGTGATGGACCTGTTGCCCGCGGATCCCCTCAAGCCTGATGAGCCCCCCGTGTTCAAGAACTGCTGCAAGGGCGGCTATCTCGGGGCCAACAAGACCGACCCCTCGCACTCGCTCGCCGCCTTCCAGGTGATTGTTTTTACCCTGCTTTCGTGTCAGTGGTTGTTGCTGTGACCTGGGAAGCCCGATGAGTCCCCCGTGTTTAAAAACTGCTGCAAGGGCGGCTATCTCGGGGCCAACTAGACCGACCCCTCGCACTCGCTCTCCGCATTCCAAGTGACTGGCCCTGCGTTCAGTCCTGATTGTTTAGCTCTTGAGACCATGCTCTTCCCTCCTCTTATGTCCTCTCGTTACCCCTTTTTCCCTTCTCCCCCCTCCTCTCCTCTTCCCCTCCCCTCCTCTCCTCTTCCCCTCCCCTCCTCTCCTCTTCCCCTCCCCTCCTCTCCTCTTCCCCTCCCCTCCTCTCCTCTTCCCCTCCCCTCCTCTCCTCTTCCCCTCCCCTCCTCTCCTCTTCCCCTCCCCTCCTCTCCTCTTCCCCTCCCCTCCTCTCCTCTTCCCCTCCCCTCCTCTCCTCTTCCCCTCCCCTCCTCTCCTCTTCCCCTCCCCTCCTCTCCTCTTCCCCTCCCCTCCTCTCCTCTTCCCCTCCCCTCCCCTCCTCTTCCCCTCCCCTCCCCTCCTCTTCCCCTCCCCTCCCCTCCTCTTCCCCTCCCCTCCCCTCCTCTTCCCCTCCCCTCCCCTCCTCTCCTCTTCCCCTCCCCTCCTCTTCCCCCCCCCCCTCTCTCTCTCTCTCCGCTTCCTCGCGTATGCTCTGTTACCAACTCGCTTGTGTCCCCTCCGTCTCTGTCCCCCCCGTTATTGCCCCATCCGAGCAGATCAACGTGGGCAATGCGACCAGCACGGTTTGGAACTTCGTCCCGCCCGGCAATTTCAGTCTGGGAGTAGACGGCTACAAGTGCACGGACCCCTTCCAGGTCAATTCTACCATCTACACGGACCCCAAGACGCGGCGGGAAACCCAGGCGCAAGTGACCTTCCACATCGTGTGCACGTACAGCTCCATACAGAAGCGGGACCCGCCCAAGTGCTGCGTGTCGTTATCCTCGTTTTACAACGACACGATAATACCGTGTGCGAGCTGCGCGTGCGCGTGTGGGAACTATTCCGCGAGCTCGATCGTGTGCACGCCCACTGGGGAGAAGGTGCCGTTTCTGATGTCGACGCCCTCTGGGGACGGGCTGGAGCTGCGCAGTGAGCCGACTGCCATGGAGTGCAGCCCGGACGGCTGCCCTATTAGTATCCACTACCACTTCAAGGTGAGGACACGGGGGGAAGAGGGAGGGGGCTCTATGCTGGGGCAGTGTGCCGCTCCTGATGTCGACGCCCGCTGGGGGGGGGCGGGGTGGGTGCAGCCCTGACGGCTTCCCCGTCAGCATTCTTTTGAGTCGACTCAAAAGTCATCAGCACTCACTACCCCGTCAAGTAACTGGGTGAGGGGGTGAGGGAGTGTGCTATTGAGTGGGTGACCGGGGCGCGCGTCAGGAGAGGAGGGTTTAGGAATGGGAGGTGATACGTGAGGGGCTTAGCTCTGCAGGTGCGCTGGCTCTTGGTGTGCTGCAATATGGAAGCGGGACGTTTCTGCTGGATGCTGGTGGTACTCACCACAGAGCCAGCTGGTACTGACTCTTTCTCGTTTGCTGGTCCTGCCTGTCTTGACGATGCCTTGTCATTTTGCAGCAAAACGATTTTTGAGGCGCCTCAAAAACTGGTCCTGCCTGTCTTGACGATGCCTTGTCATTTTGCAGCAAAACTATGAGGGGTTTTGGAGGTCCAAGATCACCATCATTAATAGGAGCCTGTGGGACAACCACACCAACTGGAACATCGTTGTAGAGGTATGCATGGGTGGAAAATGCGTGATATGGACAGGGTTTTGCAGGTCACAATCTTAAGGACCTGTGGTACTCAGCGCCTCAGTGTTTTTCTGGTCCACCCTCCTTTTTCAGTCTTCTGTAGGAGTGAGTTTGGTCAAGTGATTTTTTTCCCACTCTGCCTGTTGTGCCTTTTCCTTTCATTTATCCCCACGCCACTTGCGTGTCCCCTGCAGCATCCCAACATGGGCAATCTGACGGACGTGTTCAGCTGGAAGGCGGAGAACATAATGCCGTATGGCGTCAACAACTTGGCCATATTCTCTCTCCCTCCCTCTGTGTGCCTCTCCCCCTGCAACATCCCAACGTGGGCAATCTGACGGACGTCTTCAGTTGGAAGGCGGAGAACATAATGCCATACGGTGTGAACAACACAGCCATCTTCTCTCTCCCTCTCCCTCAGTGTGCCTCTCCCCATGCAGCACCCCAACATGGGCAATTTGACGGACGTGTTCAGCTGGAAGGCGGAGAACATTATGCCGTACGGCGTCAACAACGCGGCTATCTCTGTCTCACCTTGCTCTCTCCCCTCTTCCCTTACCACAGCACCCGAACGTGGGCAATTTGACAGATGTCTTTAGATGGAAGGCGGAGAACATCATACCGTATGGTGTGAACAACACAGCCATCTTCTGGGGCATGAAGCAGTGCAATGACGTGCTCATGCTGCTCCCTCTGCTCCCTCTGCTCCCTCCCCCTGTGTTTGTCTCCCCTTATTTGCTGCCTGCAGCATCCCAACATGGGCAATCTGACGGATGTCTTTAGTTGGAAGGCGGAGAACATCATGCCGTACGGCGTGAACAACACGGCCATCTTCTGGGGCATGAAGCAGTACAATGATGTGCTCATGCCAGCTGGCAAGGGCGGCAACGTGCAGTCGGAGATGCTCTTTGCAAAGACGTCTGAGTTCACCCTTGATGACGGATGGGTCTTCCCTAGGGTGAGTTATGGGATTATTGGGTCGGGACTTGGGAGCAGTGTCGGATCCCTGTTTTCTTTTCCGCCTTGATATGGTGAGCTGATGTGTGCTTTTTGTTTTGCCCTTGCAGAAAATTGTGTTCAATGGCGAGGAGTGTGTGATGCCCGAGGATATTCCTGCATTACCAGTGAAGCCTGCTCAAAGAAAATCCACCTTGTTGGCTGCTGCTTTTGCTGGAGCTGCCGGTTTCTTAGCCTCCCTCATGCTCCTTGCATAGCCTAGTTACTACTTGTCATCGATAGGTTGTGGGTAGGTGAAGCCTCTTTGGTCAAGCTCTAAAGGCGCATGAATGGACCTCGTTAGTTTGTGTGCTGCAAAACATGTAGGCGCGGGTTACTTGCATGTATGGTTCGTTCCGATTTCGATTAGTGCATCCTATAATCTGGTCCATATGGAGGGAGGGCTGGTCGCAAATGTCGCAACGCAGATATTGAACGTGAGCCACACATTCGCAGGGTCGCAGAGGCTCGTCGCGACCCGATGACGTATCCAGTCTCCTCCAGTCGCCAGAGGTAAATTTCGAGGTCACCTCCCGCCACCTTCCTGCCTCACAGGAGCGGCAGAAACCGATTGGTCATTGGTCGGCCATGGTGTTGGGACGATGAATTGAGGATGTAAGGGCGTGTCCATTTGGACACGCACGATAAATTGACGGTTTTGGCGGACACCCTCCAAATGTGCCCACAGACGTGGGCCACACGTTTCCGAACCGAATGAAAATCGTGCGCAAATTATGTACACGGCAGAAACGTCCAAATCCTGGCTGGCGAAAAATAGAACGCTTACAGTCGCCAGGATTTCGTGACGCTTGCGAAGCACGGCGATATTGAGCCCTCCATTTTTTTTCCCCTGGGTGGAGTCACGGCTCGTAATGCGTGTTCGCGAAAGCGGGCAGGGCCTCTTTCCCGGGGCGAAATTTTGTTACCCTATTGTTTTCACGTGTCAGTCTGTTATGTGCGCGCTGCGCACCCGCTCATTTGTCGAGCCACGGGTGGGGCTCGTGTCCGCACGTTTTGCTGCTGATGCTGCAGGTGTATCTCAACACATTCACACTTGGCGAATCAATATTTCGGCGTGTTAAAAAAACATCAAAAATTCGTGTTGGGGCGAAATGAACGCGCTGGACAGCCCTAACAACTGATTTTGTTTTCGTCGTGGTCAAGGTTACTTTCGTCGCACCCGATACCACCCCACGATTATTTCGTCCGTGTTCGCATAAGGCCTGATTCCCCACTGAACTGCGGAAATAGTTCATGCATAGGAAATGGATTTCCTTCTGCTCCTGGCTTCTCCATGAAAATAAGCACCTGACAAAAGGAACCTGAGCACTTCCTCCTCTCTGCTACTCCTAAAGCAATGAGGACTCCATGAATTTGGATTTCACTGTATGTTGATGACAGATGCTACTTCAGCGGACCGCCATTGACGACCGTGACCGAGTCCGCTATTCTATATCTGTGACCGCCAGTTTAAAGCGACTGGAGCTCCAGTGGTTGCTTTTGTTGTAGCGGCAGGGCTGAGCCACGTCAGCTCTTGGATGCAGCCGGAACCAACCGATCAAGGATTTACCTTGACAAGGTTCGCGCTATAGGATCCAGAATTAACATGTTTAATAGTGATTTTTCTTTGGATCCGTTTGTCTTCCATCGTGTTGGTTCTCGTTCAAACTTGAAGTCACTAGATTCCGTTCGTTACGCAGGTGTCAATTTCATACCGCACCGGCGTGACTCGTGATTTCGCTAGCGTTTCTTTTACGTCATCTGATGCAAGCATCTCTTAAATCAATGCAGGTTTCCGGACAGCCTTCCGCTACGACTACCACAGGTCGCTGACAGTTTAGCGGACAATTCAGCTGACAAGTCAACTCGCAACGGAGAGACCCTTCCTGATCAACGCCTAATCCTTCCGAAGGCCGAGGGAACCTGTTGAGTGGCTGGTACTGCTGCGTCCGACCGAGCCGGCGCTTCTGCCACGTGTCCAACAGCTACGGAGGGACCCCCCCGCTCAACGGCTAGTACTGCTGCGTCTGATGGAACCGGCGCTTCTGCCACGTGTCCAACCGCTGCTCGAGAGAGACGAGGATCATGATCGAAAAAGCAACAGGCATAGCCTCTTCGGTCCGTCCTGTGCCATTTTCCGTCTGACTACATATTGTTTTACTACCTGATACTTCAGCACATTTTTCTTTGCCCTTTTGTCAAATTTCTCGATCACGTGTGATTCAGCTGTGTGCTGAAGTCGATGACTCTGGGTCTCTGGGTCCTCCTGACCAGGCTCGCTCGTCTGTTCTGATTTTCCTTTTTGTATTTTTGGTTTCCAGACCTGTTGCTGACAATACTCGCGCTGAGTCTATGCATCCTGACCGAACTGACCCTTCTCTTCTTATCAGTTCAAACCTTTGGTTCTCAGGGCTCCTATTGGCAGTGCTTGCCCTGGGTATATGCATCCTGACCGGACTTGCTCTCCTGCTCTCATCATTTCGAATCTCTTGTTTCAGGGCTCCTACTGACAGTGCTTGCACTGGGTCTATGCGTCCTGACCGGCCTTGCTCTCCAAAACGGCTGGTCTCCCAGCTCTCTCCGCCTCGTTGACGAAATCCTCACCGAATCCAAGCCTCTCTGGCAGGCTCGGCTTGTGGCCAGCTGGCAGGCTCGGGAGGGAGGTTCAGCGGTAAAAGGTTCGGCAGAAGCAGCGCCAGCAGCAGCAGCAGTGGTGGAGGCAGAGCATGCAGCAGTTGCTTCGGAAGACCCCAGATGTTCCGAGATTGGGAAACTGATTCTCAAATCTGGCGGGAATGCGGTGGATTCAGCCATCGCTACAGTGTTCTGCATGGGCGTGGTCAACCCTATGGCCAGCGGCATTGGGGGGGGTGCTTTTATTCTCATCCGCTCCCCAAACGGCTCTGCTGAGTTTATCGACTGCAGGGAGACTGCTCCTGCTGCTGCTCACCAGGTACTTGGAGATGATCATCGCTGAAGCCTTTCTGCTTGGCAGCTCCCTTTATCCCTTGAGGACATTCAACGAGGAGGCCTACTGCCGATTTGTAACGCATCCTTTCCTCCCTCTCTTGTCCCTGCTCCTCCTCTTCTCCCCCTTCCCTGCCTACCACACCAGGACATGTTTGAGGGACATGAGGAAGATATTTTCCGTGGAGGTCTTTCAGTGGGGGTACCTGGGGAGATTCCAGGACTTCACCTGGCATGGCAGCGGCATGGCAGGCTGACGTGGCGCGACCTCGTGACGCCAGCTGCCGACATGGCTAAGGGCTTCCACGTGGCAGCTTACCTGGCAAATTCTATAGCTGCCAGCAACGCGACTATTCTCGCAGACCCTGGTCTAAAAGCGATTTTCGCCCCACGAGGGCAGCTACTGAGAAAAGGAGACACCTGCTACCGGCCAGCCTTAGCAGCCACTCTTAAAGCCGTAGCAGAAGGGGGTCCAGATGCGTTGTACCGAGGGGAGAGGGCGAAGGGGCTTGTAGAGGAAGTGCGGGCGATGGGGGGGGTGGTGAGTGAGGAGGACTTGCAGGGGTTCAGGGCGGAAGTGAGGGAGGTGCTTCTGGGGCAGGCGTTTGGGCTGGAGTTCGTCATGGCTCCCCCGCCGTCGTCAGGGGGGGCGGTGATTCTCCAGGTGCTGAAGATTCTCCAGGGGTTTGACCTCCCTCTGGCGTCAGCGGGCCCCCTGGGAGTGCACAGAGTGGTGGAGAGCCTAAAGCATGCCTTCGCCGTGCGCATGCACCTGGGTGATCCTGCCTTCGTTAATGTCACGGACGTCATTCAAGGTATCATCTTCTAGAGTTCTTTATTTCCGAATCCACCCTTCTCCATTTTTTAGGCGCCGAAAAATATACCAGTGGCCGTCATGGTGCTCTGCTGCGGGCTATCTTAGTGTCCCTGTCCCTTGAAGTCTCCCCCCACCCCCTCGTGTCCGTCTCCCATCTCCCTGTATCCTTGACCTCCTCAACCCCCTATATCATCACTCTTCATCCAGAGATGTTCTTAGAGAAATGGTCTGTGTTTCTTTCCTGCCTGCCTGCGCTTTTAACCCCCTTCCACTTCTTATCTCCATCTTTGATACCCTGTATCGCCCTGCACCCAGATATGCTGTCAGATGAGTTTGCCGCCCAGCTACGATCCGCCATCCATGACAACATCACATTCCCGCCCGAGCACTATGGGCACCCCGAGGACGAGGCAGAAGAGGACAAAAAGCGCCAACCGCACCGCCACCAGCTATACGCACAACTGGACGATCATGGCACGTCGCACACATGTGTGGTGGATGAGGAGAGGAGGGCAGTCTCTATCACATCTACAGTAAACGGCCCGTGGGGGGCGGGCAGGATGGCTGTAAAATCCGGGATAGTGCTGAACAACGAAATGGCGGATTTTTCGCTGCCCGACCGGCCGGGCAGGAGCCGGAAGCCGTTTGAGCCGCCGCCCGCCCCAGCGAATTTTATCCGGGCAGGAAAAAGGCCGCTGTCGTCAATGTCTCCGACCATTGTGCTGCAGGACGGGAAACTGAGGGCTGTGATTGGTGGAGCTGGAGGAACAGTGATTATCTCATCTGTTCTGCAAGTGATTCTGCACTACTTTTGCCAGGGTTATTCACCCTTCAAGGCAGTCGATGCCCCTCGCATCCACCACCAGGTGAGTCAGCTGCGGCAAGCATGTTTCTCTGCTGGCTTGCTTTTGAGTCGACTCGAAGGTATCCCTGCTGGCTTGCATCTGATGGGCTTATCCACAAATTTAACCCTCGCATCCAGCCCATATTCTCATCCACATCCCATCCATAACCCCACCCACCCACGTCTAGCCCATTCTCCATCCCGCCCTCGCCCTCTCTCTCCCTTCCAGCTGTTGCCCAACATGCACTCTTATAAGGAGGGTGACTCTCTCGATGACCACATACTGTATCCACGTCCACATCCTACCCATTCCTCACATGTGTGTAATCCATACTGCATATCCCCCCCTTCCCCTCCAGCTGCTGCCCAGCATGCTCTTTAGGAGGCGGGAAGGAGCGCATATCCATGGACAATGAAACTCTAGCCTAGCAGCCATGACCCTCAGCAACCACACCTCCTTTCCCATGCCCTTTGGGGGGTTCGTCCAGCTCATTCCATCAATATCCCATCCGTACCCCACTCTATCCCTCTGTCTCCCTCCAGCTGCTCCCCAGCATGCTGTTTTATGTGGCAGCTCACGCCCTCGATGACGGCTAGCGCATATCCATGGACAATGAAACTCTGAGCGCCCTCTGCGCCTCACACATCCTTCGCCCATGTGTATCCCCTTCCTCCAGCTGCTCCCCAACATGCTGTTTTATGAGGCAGCTCACGCCCTCGATGACGGCGAGCGCATCTCGGTGGACAATGAGACCCTGGCAGCGATGACCCGCCGCAACCACTCTACCTTTCCCATGCCCTTTGGGGGGTTCGTCCAGCTCATAGTGCAAGACCTGGAAGCCCCTGCTATCAACCAAGACCTAGAAGCCCCTGCCCTGGTGCAAGGCTTGGAGTTGGGTGCAACGGTGCCAAGAAAGCTTGCTGGGCAATGGGCTGTTACAAATCCCGCCATGGAGATGCCTGGCTTGGGTGTTCTGCCTGCTGGTGGTGCTTCTTCTTCTGCTGCTGCTGCTGCTGCTGCTGCTTCTAATACTGCTGATGCTGCTCACGCACTCCTTGCAGGGCCAGGAGGGGGCAGGAGCCCACTGGTGGACCCTGTATATGTTGGCCGGTTGACAGCTGTCAGCGATCCGCGAAAGGACGGAGGTCCTGCAGGGTACTGATGATGAATACTGCTGATTACAATGACTAAAACTGCCAAAGTTTGGACCTCTCGGCTTGCATGATTTATACATTGAAGACGAAACAGATTTGACAGAATCCCCCAAATATCAGTAACCCAGAGTGTCCCTTACGGCCATAAGGCCATCCACAGCATCAGCAGCAAACTTGCGAGCAAACAGGAAACAAGGGGCAAGCTCCCCAGCCACTCTGCACGGACCAGGAAACGAAACCTCCCGCAGACTGACCGCCTCCGAAACCGGGAAATGCCTCCTCTGCATCCTCTCGATAATCTCCCTCGTTATACGGCTCCCTGAATACATGGCCGGATGCTCCGACTTGTAATATGGCCAGTCCACATGCGTGACTGAGTGTGGCTCTATGCCTCGGCGGTCATATCCCCAAACCACCGTCTGAATGTAGCTCTCATCTGGATACTCTCCTCTTCCCCTGCCAAAGATCAGATACCATTTCAGATTTTCCACCACTAAGGCTGCATGCGGGCGGGTCAGCACAAACCACTGCGACCCTTTCTTTAACTGCCACGGATGCAGCACCTGACGTGGCACAAATATCCAGAAATATCGGGGGAACCGCCACCAGCGGAGAGTAGGGAGCAGTGCGAGGAAGCTCCTGTCTCCTGTAAAGAGGTAGGTGTAGATGAAGTTGAAATGGCGGATGGGTATGCAGGCTTCGGATAAAAACACAAATCTCTGATTGGCTGGGTCTTGCAAGGCCGATGCCAGGAGTCTTCTGGTGGCTTGAATCATGGAAGGCGTTCCCCGTACGATCCTTATCCCTGGAATTTGTGTTCCATGGAACGCGCTGTCATTGCCAACGTGAGCATCCACACTGAAGCCCTTGGTGGATGCATGCACGTAGATTGTTGCTCGTTCCATGTTCCCACGGAAAAACTCCTCCCACAATCGTCTGAGGGGAAGAGGCCCTCTCGTGAGAAATAAGAAGGCGATCTTGGGAGGTTTGCCGGCAGTGAGATCAAAATCAGGGGCCTTGAATGGCAATGGCTTCTGCTCTTGGCGGTGGTGGTGATGATGTCGATTATTCGGTTTTCCGGGATCAGTCACCATGCTCGCGTTCTGGCTGCTCGTGCCGCTGCTGCTGCTGCTGCTGCTGCCTTCGCCCTCAAGTGCTTGTATCGAGAGCTGGCTGAGCAGTGACAATTTCTCCAAAACCACATCTTCCCTATCCTCTCCTGGCTGGCTCGTTTGAGGGTGATTGAATCTTCGGACGGATTCTGGCAAATCCGTGGCAGGGACGAGCTGGTTGACTGGAGCTGAGATCTGAAAATTGGCTTCCGCTGCTTTCCGGATAAGGAGGCTGTCCACGTCATCAAGGAAGACATACGGACCGAAGTACGCGTTAAAGGCACAAACGAACCCAATCACGGCTATGCAGAATGACAGGAAGGAGAAGACAGCGAGGGCAACCCGGAAAGTACCCCTTCTCGTATGAGACAAGGATGGCTGCGAGAAGAGCCGTCCAGAAGCCGGAGTGGGTGAGCTGCTAGTAGAGTGTGCTTCTAACGATGCCAGGGGATCCTCAGCACCATCAGTGCTGCTGTTGCTGCTGCTGCTGACGCCATGGCTTCTGAAGTGGAGGCTTCCGGATGCCTGAGTGGGTGAGTTGGTGGGAGAGTGTACAATCCTGTCAGGAGAGAGCGCTACTTGAATCCTGTCAGGAGAGTGTAAATGAACCCTGTCAGGCGAAAGTGCTACTTTATGAGAATCCAGAAAATCCGGACATTGAAGCGGTCCGAGGTCCCTGTCAGGCCTTTCAAGGCACGTGTCAAGCCTTGTGTCAGGCCTTGTGTCAGGCTTGCCAGAAGAGAGTGCTGGTTGATGAGGACGATGAAAACCCAGGAATTGAAGCCATCCAGGAATCATGTCAGTTCTTCTGTCATAATATTTTTCCGGGGAATGATGATGCTTCTGATGGTGCCAGTGGGTCTGCAGCAGCCATGGTGCCATCAAGGTGTAGTAGCTGTCTCTCCTCCTAAAATAACCAGTACACCGAGGAAAGCATGCTGCTACGGATGCTGCTAGAGGAACTCAATCTTGCACGCAAAAACGCGTTTGGCTGGTCGGAGGTCCCATACGAGGTCAACTACTGCCTACTAAACAGTCCCTTGCTTGGTCGATTTTAACGTGCTACAGTAGCGTAATTTGCGGCTGTGCTAAAGCTCCATTCCAAGAACTGCTAGAGAAGAGGACATTGAGGGAGGACTGCTGTAGCTGAGCGCGTGGTTCATGGGTTGCGCAACCCATCGAATTTGCGCAACCCGGTGTGGTTACCAAGCTCGCCGAGCCTCGTTTGGCGTGCAAAACATTGGTTGAGCGGATTTCGGCAGGTTTGGGTTGGGTTTTCCGCCAGCTGCGCAAACGGGGTTGCGGTCTCGGGGCAAAGCGCAAACCATGCGAACAAAAAAGGTAACTTCAGAGCGAGTCTACTGTAACTTCGGGTTCGCACGTCGGGATGTGGATAACATCCGTGTCCCCTCACCCCATTTCAACTTGTTGAAACTCACAGAACCACGTCAAAAATACTCAATACCGAACTTCAACGTCTGCCCCGATGTCAACAACCTTGCAACCCCGATGTCGTTTGTACACCGCACTGCACTGCACTTTAGAATGCCAGTGTAATTGTGCCGTGCACTCCGCTCTGATGTTTTGTATGTACACCTACAAACAATACCATGCAACATTAATCGAAGTTACCACCACACAGTAGGCTAGACCACCAAACCATTAAAATATTATTTTAGGTACATTGACCAAGAGGGAACCGGATTGGTTAGCCTCACAGAACAGCAAGAGGAGGGCAAAACAGAAGTAGGGAACAATGCACATGAAGGCAGTAAGTGCTCGCACGCCATCAGCTTGTGGAATGATTGCCACTAGGAGACACTCGGCTGCATCCCAACTCTAAAATAGGACCAGAAGAGCGAAGCAGAAGTATGTTACGATGCACATGAATGCAATGAGCGCCCGCACATCGTCAGCTTGAGGAACGATTGCCACCAAGAGAGATGCAGCTGTCCGGGTACACCACACAATAGCCACCACTGCTGCTATTGCTGTCAGCACACCCCTGCAACGAGCCCGAAATAAAATACAAACAAGGCAAAAACGGTAAGAACTGCTGACTCAGAAAGACCATGAGTGCACAAGACACAGCCACTGCCGCCAAGTATCCGAGAAGAACCCAGGCGAGCGCCCAGAAGTGAGGCACGTGACGAACGGTGACAAAGTCAGAGTCAAACGTGTCAGCAGGCACGCTGACAGGCACGTGTCCGTTGATATGTGATGTGCCACACACCAGTGAGGGAAGAAGATCGAGACTGTGGAGTGGAGCACCATGGGCAGATTTGAGGTGTCTCACAGGTCAGCAGCACTAAGAGCTTCTCTTGCTATTCGATGTGTTACGCACCGACGAGGGAAGAAGATCGAGACGGCGGAGTAGAGCACCATTGGTAGCAGCCCATAGCCAAAGATGGAGCAGCAGCGGTACAAGTCTAGCCCCGCCTGCGACGATCTGCACGAGGGGGAGAGTAAGGGCAGAGGAGGGGGGCAGAGGGGGTGGGGGGGGGGAGACGATCGAGATGGTGGAATAGAGCACCATTGGTAGCAGCCCATAGCCTAAGATGGAACAGCAGTGGCACAGGTCAAGTCCCACCTGTGACGATCTACACGAGGGGGAGAGTAAGGGCAGAGGAGGGGGGGAGAGGGGGGGGAAGACGACCGAGACGGCGGAATAGAGCACCGTGGGCAGAAGCCCACACCCTAAGATGGAGCAGCAGCGGCACAAGTCCAGCCCTGCCTGTGAGGATCTGCACGACCGGGAGAGTAAGGGCAGAGGTGGGGGGGAGGGGAGGGGAAGAAGATGCTGATGGCTGAGTAAACATAAGCCCACCAAACCCAAGGAGGGGCTGGAGATGGCAGGGCTGGTATTTGGTGACGGGGTCCAAACAGAAGCCCTCGCTTCACTCAAAGCACACCTTGCTCCCACAAGCCCACCTACCCCCCAGTGCGCACCTTGCTCCCACGAGCAGGTTGAGGACGGTGCACATTAACGTGGAAGCCACCACTGACCAGCCTCCAGGCAGCGCTTACCCTCTTGTTCCCATTGACCGTCCCACCACACAGAAACCCGCTTACCCCCTTCCCATGCGTACCTGGCTCCCACGAGCACGTTGACGACGGTGTAGATGAAAGTAGACGCCACCACGGACCTGCCAGTGCTCACCCTCTTGCCTCCACTGACCGTCCCAGCACACTCAGCCCGCCCCCCCTCCCCCCCCCCCCAAAATGACGTTCGGTGCACACAAACACCCTCCCTTTCCCCCCGGTTCGGTCCCTACCTCGCTCCCACGAGAAGGTTGAAGACGGTGTAGATGAAAGTCGATGCCACCACGGACCAGCCCAGCACGACTCCAAAGTGCACCTTGGCGTGCTGCCATGCATGAAACAAACAAACAAATGTTGACACAGGAAAAGAAGAAGAAGGAGAAGAAGAAAAAGCAATGATACGGGTTAAAAATGTCCAGCAATGAAGGGGGGGGGGTTGGGGGGGAGCTATAATGCTGAGAAACACAATTTTCATTCTAGGAAAGGAATCATGACTTTTTAACCTCACCCCTTCGTCTGGGCGAAGAAATCACAAGATTTGAAATGAATTTTGTTAGGTCAGGGGAGGGAGGAGGGGAAGGGGTGGGGGGGTCAGCGACGAGTGTTTCATGTTCGCCCCTTCGTCTGGACGGTGTTTTGAGCCGGCCTACGTCTGATATCGTCTGGGAATGGCGACTTCTTCCAATAGAGCGCGACACGCAGAAGCGTGGGTTGCTTCCGCAACCGGCTTGTCCCATCGACTGCTTGTCCGCAGCCCTCCCCACCAGACCAGTCCTCGCTGTCAAAGTACAACTCTGTAGCGTCCGAGTATGACGACGTACGTTTAGACAGCTCCTCCCAGGGGTCTCCCTGGATGTCCTCGCACCCCTCAAACATCGGCCCTAAGCACAACCGTCCTGCGGTGGTAGCGGCGGTTGCGGAAGCAACCAACGCCTCTGTACGTGGAGCTCTATTGGACGGAGTCGCAACTGTACCATGAGCTGGCACATGCTCATGAGTACGCAGAAGATGCGAGGGTTGAACAAGAGTTACCATGAGTTGGCAGGGGGGTGCCATGAGTTGGCACGGGGTTGCCATGAGTTGGCACGGGGTTGCCATGAGTTGGCAGAGGCCAAAGAGAACGCAGAAGATGCGAGGGCTTGAGAGGTCGCAGTTGGACTCGACTCACACGAGAAAGAGGAGAGAGACTACCATGAGTTGGCAGGCGGTGGTTACCATGAGTTGGCATGCGGTGGTTACCATGAGTTGGCATGTGGTGGTTATCATGAGCTGGCAGGCTGTGGTTACCATGAGCTGGCAGGCGGTGGTTACCATGAGCTGGCAGGCGGTGGTTACCATGAGCTAGCAGGCGGTGGTTACCATGAGCTAGCAGGCGGTGGTTACCATGAGCTGGCAGGCAGTGGTACCATGAGCTGGCAGGCGGTGGTTACCATGAGCTGGCATGCGGTGGTTACCATGAGCTGGCAGAGGCCAAAGAGCATGCAGAAGATGAGAGGGCCGGAGAGGTCGCCATCGTCGTAGAGATCGATGTTGATGCGGATGGGGTTCAGCGCAGAAGCTGTCTTCCTTAGGATCTGAGGGATGTTGATTCCCAGCTCTAGAGGGGAGAGGGAGCACGCAAAGGGAGAGGGAGGGAGAGGGAGGGGGGGGGGGGGGCATAAGGCATGAGGTCGCCACCGTCGTAGAGATCGATGTTGATGCGGATGGGGTTGAGCGCAGAAGCTGTCTTCCTTAGGATTTGAGGGATGTTGATTCCCAGCTCTGGTGTGAGGAGAGGGAACCGAGGAAGGGAGAGGAAGAGAGGGGGGATAAGGTGTAGCACATGAGCTCGCCATGGCATTGTAGAGGTCAATATTGATGCGGATGGGGTTGAGCGCCGATGCTGTCTTTCTCAGAATGTGAGGGATGTTGATTCCCAGCTCTGGAGGAATGGGGCAAACACCAGGAGTAGACACTGCATTGTGAGGACAAGGGGGATCGACATTGATAGACAGCGGGGTTGAGCGCCGACGCTGCCTTTCTCAGGATGTGAGGGATGTTGATTCCCAGCTCTGGCGAAGAGAAGGAAAAGAGGAAGGGAGAGGGGAATAGGGCGTATCACGTGAGGTCGCCATCGCCTAAGAGGTCGGTGTGGACGCGGAATGGGGTTGAGAATTCTAAAAAATGACTCCTCTGTCGCCATCACCAAAGTGGTCAGCGTTGACGGGGAATGGGGTTGAGAGCTGACGTCGTATTCCTTAAGAGCTGAAGGATCTTATCTTCCAGCAGAGGCAGCTATGAGCTGACTCAGCAGCCGCATCACCTTATAACGAGTTACCTTCAAGCAGAGGCAGTTCGTCTTCAAACGAGTTCTGTCCGAACAGCCCGCCAGACCCGTCGTACTGCGACTGGCCTCCGAACCGAGGGCCCGCTTGAGGCGGGGGCGCCAGGGCACCTGGGAGGAACAAACCATGACAAAACGAATTGTGAGGCAAACGAAATAGTGACAACAGACTTAGTGGGCTTGCTCATAACGAGGACAAGAGAGTCACGATGCCGCCACAGTTAGCACCACCCTATATAATCACAATCCTTTCAGTTACAGACGTACTGGGCTTGCTCATATCGAAGGACATGAACGCCATGTTGCCGCCTGGTGCAGCACCAGCTCCCGGACCAAATCCCGAACCTGGACCCGAACCGAGGCCCGGGCCGAAGCCCGGACCCGAACCTAGACCCGGACCTGGACCCATTCCTGGCTGAGGCGGGAACTGCATGGGCTGCTGCGGATGGGCTCCTTGTGGCCGTCGATGCTGCGGGAAGGTGAGATTGGGATTCGTATCGAACGACAGAGAGACGTCGTCGTGCGGAACCATTGCGAAAGCGACGCTAGTCTTGAAGTGCCAAGAAGCTAGGGATCGAGATCCCGTGTAGACCCTGTTGCCTTGTGTGGATCCGCCGAATGGGAGGGTGGATGGAAACCCTAACAATAAAATCAGATAGAGAAACGTTCTGTCTCCCTGATTGCGCCGCGACGTCGTACTAAGAGGAGTAGTTTTACAAGGATTCAGCGAATTCAGTAACGACCTGATCACAGAAGGTCTCTGATTGGACAAGGTCCCTGACGCCGATGTCTCTGATCACACAAGGCAGCAGGCAGAGACAAAGGGATTAAAGCCGGAACAAGCGAAATGTATTAATTCGATGACCGACTAGTGACGGCAGCTTCAGCTACAAACGAGGATGGCAATTGCACGTTCCACTGACAGAACTGTCTTCTTCTAATGGGAGATGAGAACACCAGGGACTGGCGGGGCCTGTCAACGGTCAAAATTTCGTTGCTGCCAAATCTGAATCCATGGGTGGGATGACGGTGGGGAAACAGGGAAAATATACAGAGATTTGTATATCGATCAGATTTAAGCGTCATGAACCTGAGTATACATGAACAAAGACGGTCCATTTAATAAAGGGTGTCAAGTGTTTCTACGGTGAAGAGTTCGTCATCACAGGTTTAAATAGCGGAGCATCCCATATCGCATAGTGTGAAATTTCGACGAAGGCAATTTCAGCTTTGTGGAACAGCCCAGAACATTTGGGCGACGAGTCATGACAGCCGTCGTCGCACAGTACGAAAGCCACCTTTCGTGTGATTGGCTCTGCGTCGTCGCCTACCTCATTCACCTCATCTGGTCGTCGTCGTCCTCCAACCAAACCGTCCCCCGAACGTCTGCTGCATCGCCTTCATCGCCTGCATCGCCTTCATCGCCTGCATCGCTTGCATGCTGACTGCCTGGAAGTTGCGAATGGCAAGTCCACCCTTCCATCCCCCTCTCCTCCTCCTCCTGTCCCAATCCCATGCTCTTCTTGCTCTCCCCCTGAATTTCCGGAGCGATGCGGAGTCTCCTGAGATGGCCCTGCAGCATAAATGTCGTCACCTGGCTCATGAATCATCAGACAGCAGAAATCCCTCCATCGCCCTGACTTTCCCGGTCTCATTGGAAGAATAAAATCTTCTTTTTAGAGTTTCCGTCGAGACTACTGCGTGCCCTGATTATTTCCGAGAATGGCGCCGAAGACCGTTCTTATCACGGCGGCTAGTGGTGCGATAGGCAAGGCGACCATCAAGGTAGGTCATTTCTCCACGTCGCCATCCCATGGTGTGCTAAGTCATCTTTACCTCAGTCACTTAACTGATGTCCCTATCGAGAAGGCTATGACCTCTTCGAGTGAAGTTCACATTATCACGCCTCGCCTCCAAAGACTTCGAAGATCACGAGTCGTTGTTCCCTGTCTTCTCTTTGTGTGGTCTTCATAATCTGTTTCTTATCCCTTCGTTCCAGGCGCTCGGCCAGTCGCCTGACAGCTTCGCCGTGAAGGCTGGCGTTCGCGACCCTTCCAAATCCGCGGACCTCGCTGCGATTGCTTCCAACGTCTCTGTGGTCGCGGCTGATCCGCTAAAAGAGGCGGAAATCTCAGGAGCGCTTCAAGGAGTGGATTACGTGTTCGTGATCGCTCCTGGCCACGCTGACCGCCAGAAGATCGCCATCGCGGCTATTGACGCTGCCAAGGCTGCAGGCGCGAAGGTGATTTACCCACCTTGACGCGTCAGTGCTTGTTTCTGCTGTTGTCGTCTTCTTATCTGTAGCATTTCCTTCATTTCCCCCCCGCTCTATCTGTTCTTTTTGTCCTCCTTACATCGCAGTTCATCCTCGTCCTCTCAGTTTCTACTGCTGAACTCATGGACACGATTTTTGGAGGGCAATTCTGGCCTGTGGAGGCACATGCAAAGGCGTCCGGCCTGCCGTTCACCATCATCCGCCTGCCACTGTTCATGGAGAATAACTACGGCTTCGCAGAAAGCATCAAGGACGCGAGCGCCATCTACTCGTCGTACGAGCCTGACAAGCCGTTCACTGCAGTTTCTGTGGACGGTACGTACGTGGTTTCTTCAGTGCACGCAGTATGGTGCATCAAGATGCATCATGCAACCAGTAATGCGTGGCTGGACTCACTTATCCTGCATCCTTTTCTTCCTCCGCTTTTTTTTTTGGTCTGGCAGATGTGGGGGAAGCTGCAGCGAAGATCTTTGCTGATACAGAGGCACATAAGGGCAAGACGTACAACCTTACTGGACCATCTGCAACAGCTGCTGATATTGCACATGCCTTTTCTGGTGCTCTTGGCAAGGCAGTATCCTACAATTTCGTAAGTCCCCCTCGAGTACCATGTTTGGTTTGTGTAGTGTTGCTTGCAGGTTTGATAAGTTTCTTCCTCTTATTGTGGCTACTGCAGGTTCCGTATGAGGCGAGCAAGAACTGGTTGACACACAGTGGCTTTCCGGAGTGGCAGGCGGATGGGGTAATTGAGCTCTTTAAGGCCATAAATGCAGGGGCTGTACAAACCAACGACCCTGCCAATGGGAAGACCCTTGAGACCATCCTAGGCCACCCTCCCACTTCGGTGAATGCGTGGGCAAAAGCGCATGCTGCAGCATTTGCATAGACTGTATTTCTTTAGGAGAATGAAGCCACAAATGATTTGAATTGGATGGATGTATATGTTGTAATGAATATTATAACATGTTCGGGAGATGGTACACTGCTGAGTCGAGTTCCGATTTAGAGTCTGCTTGGCTGAGGGTGTCACACCCAGCCCGTTCCAGTCTGTCTGCCCCGAATTTCAAACTGGCGTCTCAATGATTGACAGCTCGGCAGAAAGCAAATTTCGCTGAGTCACTGTGGGAACCCTATTCGTCCAATTCCTCGCGTCGCCTTGTAGCCATATTCCTAGGTCGCTTGCGAATTCTTGAGTGTTTCGGGTAGGTTCGGGTAGGTTCCGAACATCACACGCCCTTAGAGCTGATGTTCCGAGTTTGGTATCCCGGTTACCTGAATATGATCATGATTGGATGGTGGATATTTGAAGCTCGCGAAGCCCCTTGGGATTTTATCCCATCCCAACCCAACCTTGGGATTTGGCTTCATTTCTCCCGCAACTGCGCGCCATCCCCCGCCTGGTGCAAGCGGCCCCCCCTTGCTCCGCCTCGGGTTTCCCCTCCTGTCTCCTGCTGCTCCTCTGCTTGCCCTTGGGGTTGTGTTTCAAGTAGGGGAAAGAAAGAAAAATCCGGCCTCTTTCCACGCAGTGGCTACTGCAAGGAGTCTTGCACTGGAGACGCTTATCCCGTGTGTTCTGTTCAAAGCCCTTATCTCTCAGCTAGTCCGGCAGATTTAGAGACGTAGTCTTAGATAATCCACTAATCGCCTCCCAGTTCGAAAATCACAAAAACAGGAGCAGCAGGAATCGCTAGGTCGTTCATCAGGGTACTGGGGTTTAATATTGGAGTTCGTCGCTTTTTCCTTGGCCATTATTTCCTGCTGAGAGCAAGGATCACCGTGACTGGTTTAGGTTAGGAGTTGGATCCTCTCATGTCTACCGAAGGTGACAAACCCGCTCCCGTCGAGGGGGATGCTCCTAAGGCCCCGGCACCTGTCGCTGCCGAATCCGGCCAATTACCCGAGCCTGGAAAGCCCGTCGAAGCTGAGAAGGCTTCCGAACCTGCGAAGGCTCCCGAACCTGGAAAAGCTCCTGACGCCGAGGCGTCAGCCGACAATGCGGACAAGGGGGACGGCTGGCAGACGGTGACGTCACGCGAGAGACGAGACAGCAACAGGGGGCATTGGCGAGGAAGAGGACGCGGAGGCAAAGGTTCGCACCACCAGGGGGGTGGTAACCACCACGGCGGAAATCGCAATGCAGGTGGTTACAGACGCTCGCACGGACACGAAGGAGGATCCGGGGCGCCTGGCGGCTCCGGTGACAAATCCGGTGGCGGCGGAGGCAAAGGCGGTGCTGCCGGTAAAGGCGGCGCCGCCTCCGCCGCCAAATCCGGCGGCGCTGCTACTGCCGCGGCAGCTCCTGCTGCTGGTGCTGCTTCGGCTGACGCCGCCGCAACCGCCACCGCCGCCGCCGCGGACGGCGCGGGGAAGGCCGGCGATGGCGGAGACGGCGGAAGCGCAACGGCTGACGCAGCGGGACAGAAAGCCGCAAGTGATTCTAACGAGGGGAAAGGCGCAAGCGGAGGCGGTGCAGGGGGGAGTGCGCACGGGCACGCGCACGGGCACGGGCACGGGCATGGGCATGGAGGCAAGGGCTCAGTTTGGCAGGTCAAGGGTAAGCCGGGGGGGGCGCGAGCGGTATGGGCGCAGGTGGTTAAGAGCGAGCCTGGAAAGGCGAGGGTGCACCAGGGTCCGGATGAGGGGTTAGCGTCGCTCGTGCGAGGCTCGGACGCAGCTGGAGATGCCGAGGCGAGTGCCGAGCCTGCGAAACAGGCTGGGGGGAAGGCTGGTGGTGCGGATGCCAAGGCGGGATCCGAACCAGCGAAGCAGGCTGGGGGGAGGGGTGGTAACACTGGCTCGGGGGGACAGAAGGGTGGTGGGGGGAAGGGAGAGGGAGGAGGGAAAGGAGGCAAGGGCGGCAGGGGATGGCATAAGGATAAGGACAAAAAGGAGGAGAAGAAGGAGGATAAGAAAGACGAGAAGGAGGATACGGAGAAGAATAAGGATAAGGAGAAAGATGATGAGGATAAGGACTCTAGTAGTGGCGGTGCGAAGGAGGGTGGGGAGGGTAAGGGGTCAAAAGGAGGGGGTCACGGGAAAAGGGACGGTAGTGGCAGTGGGAAGTCGGAGCATAAGGGAGAGAAGGATCAGAAGGAGCCGAAGGAGCACAAGCCGCCGAAGCAGGCGTGGCGCAAGCACAATAAGGACGGCGAGAAGGGAGGGGCGGCGGCGGTGGTGATGGGTGCAGGCGCAACCGCGTGGCCTGCGCTCTCCGAGGCGGATGCCGCTGCTGCGCGCGCGGCGGAGAACGGCAAGGGCGCGGCTGGGGATGACAAGGTGAGCCAGGACGGTGGTGCTGGGGATGATAAGGGGAGCCAGGGGGGTGGTGCTGGGGATGACAAGGTGAGCTAGAACGGTGGTGCTGGGGATGATAAGGGGGGCAAGGGACCTTGAGAATTCTCATGTTTGTGCGGCAGAGACTAGCAAGGGCGGCGCTGCAAGCGGGGATGATAGGGTAGGCACGGGTGCGGGTGCTGGGGATGATAGGGCGAGCAAGGGCGGTGGTGCTGAGGATGATGAGGTGAGCAAGGGCAGCTGCTGCAGCGGACAATTAACTACCTTGTTTTGGGGCGCCTCTCTCGGCTTCCCTCCTGCTGCACCTCTTCCTGAGATCCGATCTGAGATCCGATCTGAGATCTCCTAGTCCGGATCCCATCTACCTGCTCCCCTCGATAGACCCAAACCTCCCCCTCCCTCCCTCCTCCCCCCCCCCCCCCTTTTTTTTTTTCTCCCCTCCCCCGTTCTTCCCGACCCCCTTATCTTATCCCCCCCCCCCCCCCGGCCTGCTTCCCCGTGTCCTTTGCCCTAGACATCCGCGGCAAAGCCTGCAGCTGGTCTCGCTATAATCGCAAACGAGGGCGACAAATCGTCTGCTGCCACGTCAGACAAACAAAGCGGTGGTGCAGCGGCGGTGACGGCAGCGGATGCTGCCAAAAAGGCTGGCGCTGCTGACGTGGCAGTTGTGAGCGTCCGCGACGTGCCTGGGGGGCAGTACAAGCGGGGGGGGCATCAGGGGGGAGGGGCGCACCATGGCGGAAGGGGGGGAGGCGTGGGCGCGGGGGGATACCAGAGGCGCGGGCATGTGGGCCCCGCACATGGGGGGAACGGGGAGGGGAAGCCTCAAGGGGGGCTGGGCGCGGGCAGGGGCAGCAGGGGGGGCAACAGGGGGGCCAGCAGGGGCAGGCACAGCAGCAGGATGCGCACAGGCGGAAGCAACAGCCAGGGGGGCAGCAGGCGCAGGCGGGACAGGGGCAGGCGCAGCAGGGGCAGGCGCAGGGGCAGCAGGGGCAGCAGCAGAAGCCGCACGGGCAGGGGCATGGGGGGATGGGCGGGGGCGGGCGGGGGGGGCACATGCGCGGGCAGGGGAGGGGGGTGGTGGCGGTAGACGACCCCCCGCTCACGGAGTTCGTTGCCGCTGGGCCCAGGAGGTCCGCTGCTGCAATGGCCAATGGCATGGGCGGCAACTATGGCTACCCCATGGTCGTGGGAGGTAAGCAGCATGGGCAGCGCGGGTAAGCAGCATGGGCAATGCCTTGTTGGGGGAAGTGGGGTTGTGGCTAAGGTGGGTCCGCTGTGGCTATGGCCAATGGCAAGGGCGGCAACTATGGCTACCCCAAGGTCGTGGGAGGTAAGCAGGGGGGGTGTGGGAGGTAAGCAGGGGGGGTGTGGGAGGTAAGCAGGGGGTGTGGGAGAAGAGGGGATGGGGGGATGGGGGATGGGGGGATGAGGGATGAGGGGATGGGGGATGGGGGAAGAGGGGGCAGGGGGGGGGGGGGGGGGAGGAGGGGTGGCAGACCCCCCTCTCACGGGGTTCGTTGCTGCTGGGGCTGCCTGAGGTCCGCTGCTGCTGTGGCGAATGGCATGGGCGGCACATCAGGCTCACTTGCTCTTTCGTCTGTATTACCTCCTTTCCCCTTCCCCTTCCTCCCCCCCCCCCCTCCCCCCCCCTCCCCCCCAACCTCCACCAACGCTTGCAGCCAACGGCCCCTACTACATGCCCTACCGCATGGTCCCGTCTGTCCCGGTTGACCCCATGTCGGGACTCCGCACGGCTCTGACAAAGCAGATCGAGTATTATTTCAGGTCAGTCTCGTTTCGTGCTGGCGTCGCCTCGTCGCTACTTAAGGTTAAACGTGGGCAGCATGCCGAGTCAGGCTCGGCATGCTGCCCATGTCTACTTTGAGGTTTGTCCCCCACTGCCTGCTCGACATTGCTCACGGGTCAACCCCATGTCAGGCTTTTGCAAAACAGTGACAATGAATATTGAGTGACAATTAATATTGAGTACTATTTCAGGGTAGTTTCACTTTTGAGGCGCCTAACAGGTCATCAGCGGAAACTGAGAGCTATTTTACGCTAATTTCATTTTTGAGGGGCCGAACAACTAATCAGAGCAGATTGAGTGCTATTTCACACTATCTTTATCACTTACTGCTGCTGCCCTTGTTCCAGTAATAAGGTGCCTCCAACATGTGAGTGTCATCTGTCCCCGATATCAAGGTACCTTGTAGTGCGAGGAATAATGCATACCTATTAGGTGTGCATTGTGCCACACCACAATGCAGCACCTACTAGTACAAGGCATCACCTGTGTGTTTGCCTCTCTCCCAGTGGTTTGTTTAAACTACAAGGCATCACTAATCGATTTCCCTTTGCGCATGTGTGTTTCACTGTCACTATCACTGTCACTATCACTATCACTGTCACTATCACTATCACTGTCACTATCACTGTCACTATCACTATCTGCCAGGATGGTCTCCCTATCCTCCTATCACCATCTGGTACTGAGAGCCTGGGTATAGAGGATTTTTGGTATCTGATATCAAAATTGATATCCTGAAAAGAGATTTCCTGTGACTTCATCTCCCTATCTTTGACATTGAGAATCTGTGCCGTGGCCTCTTCCTTCACACCTTCCCCTGCGTTTCCTCCCCTTCACCATCTGCCATGCTGCATTCACCACCCATCCAGCATGGAGAATCTGTGCCGTGGCCTCTTCCTTCACACCCTTCCCTGCGTTTCCCACCCCTTCACCATCTTTCTCCCCCACTCGCCATCCAGCATCGAGAATCTGTGCCGTGACCTCTTCCTTCGCTCCAAGATGGACTCGGAAGGGTTCATTCATGTCGATGTGATTGCCGCTTTCAACCGGGTAAGCCTAAATAGTTTAAAGCAGGGTATTTTTGAGAATTCTAAAAAATAACCGGGTAAGCCTAAATAGTTTAAAGCTGTAAGCAATTTTTTTTCTTTTTTTTTTCTTTTTTTTTTCAACGGTAAGGTGGGGACCTCTACATTGCTGTATAAAACTATTGAACGAGAAGTTAAAGGACTTTAATTTATTCTCTCATTTTGTAGCGCCTGACGGACCTCTCGTTCTCTGTTTTTTTTGCTGGGGAAGGTCTCACTAGAGTAAGCTGAGCAAAACCCCTAAACCTTCTGCACACCGTTTTTGCTGGTTGGGGAGGAATCTCGTTAGGTTTTTTGTATTTAGATATTTCCCCCTCCCATGTCCTCTCCTCTTTCTTCTGCTTTGTATTTTCCTCCTCACTCCTCTCCTCTTCCCTCCCCTCACCTCCCCTCTCCTCTTCCCCCCTCTCCTCTCCTCTCCTCCCCTTCTTTCTTCCTTTCCCACCTCTCCCCCCCTCCTTCCCCAGGTCCGCATGCTCACTCTCGACAAGGCCTTCATTCTCAGCTGCCTTGCTAACTCCACTTCCGTCGAAGTGCAGGTCTGTCCCTCCCTCTGCACCCTTGCGCACCTCACTCGCTACCTTTCTCACTCACTACCTTTCTCACTCGCTACCTTTCTCACGCGCTACCTTTCTCACGCGCTACCTTTCTCACTCGCTACCTTTCTCACTAGCTACCTTTCTCACTCGCTACCTTTCTCACTTGCTACCTTTCTCACTCGCTACCTTTCTCACTCGCTACCTTTCTCACTCGCTACCTTTCTCACTCGCTACCTTTCTCACTCACTACCTTTCTCACTCGCTACCTTTCTCACTCGCTACCTTTCTCACTTGCTACCTTTCTCACTCGCTACCTTTCTCACTCGCTACCTTTCTCACTCGTTACCTTTCTCACTCGCTACCTTTCTCACTCGCTACCTTTCTCACTCGCTGCCTTCCAGTCAAGGTGCAGTTCTGTCCCTCCGCACCCTTGCGCGTCTCACTCGCTCGCTTTCTCACTCGTTCCCTTTCTCTCTCGCTCCCTTTCTCACTCCCTCGCTTTCTCACTCGCTCCCTTTCTCACTCCCTCGCTTTCTCACTCGCTCTCTTTCTCACTCCCTTGCTTTCTCACTCGCCCACTTTCTCACTCCCTCGCTTTCTCACTCGCTCCCTTTCTCACTCACTCCCTTTCTCACTCCCTCGCTTTTTCACCCAACCCCTAAAACTCGCTTTCTCACTCGCGGTTCCTCTCTTTCCATTTTCTGCACTGCCAATGGTTTTTGAGGCGCCTCAAAACCGCGGATAAAGAGACGACTTTTGAGGCGCCGCAAAACCGCGGATAAAGAGACGACTTTTGAGGCGCCTCAAAACCGCGGATAAAGAGACGACTTTTGAGGCGCCTCAAAAGTCAACCCCTAAAACTCGCTTTCTCACTCGCGGTTCCTCTCTTCCCGTTTTCTGCACTGCCAATGTGACTCGAGCTGTCCCTCCGCACCCTTGCGCGTCTCACTCGCTCGCTTTCTCACTCATTCCCTTTCTTACTCGCTCCCTGTCTCACTCGCTCCCTTTCTCACTCGCCCCCTTCCTCCTGGGATCTCCTTAAAGCCCAAAAAAAAAAATAAAAAAAATCTCACTCCCTCCCTTTCTCACTCGCTCCCTTCCTCACTCCCTCGCTTTCTCACTCGCCCCCTTTCTCACTCCCTCCTTTTCTCATTCGCCCCCTTCCTCACTCCCTCGCTTTTTCACCCAACCCCTATAACTCGCGGTCCCTCTCTTCCCGTTTTCTGCACTGCCAATGTGACTCGAGCTGGCTTTTTGAGTCGACTAAAAAGAACAAGTACATCTCGCGTTCTCTCTCCTCTCGAAATCTCTTTCCACTCGCATTGACTGGAGCAACTGTTCTCTCCTCCGCTCTACCGTGCCGCGGAGGAGAGAATAGTTGCTATCTCCGCTCCAGGGCGAGCAGCCACCCTATTGTGTAGCCGTATGCGTCAGGGCGAGCAGCAGCTTGGAAGAGAAAGCGTTAGAGTAACAGAAGGTCAAATGACCCCCCCTGTTTCAAATGCAAGTATTTGAAGTTCCGGACTCAACTCCACTAGAAGATTAAAGTGCAAACTAGTTTCGGTTGACTGAGACAGGCCCCAAGTCACTTGCATTGACTGGAGCAAGTGTTCTCTCCTCCGCTCTACCCTATCTTGTCCTCTTCTCACCCACCTCACTCATGAAGGCTGTTGTTCCACACACTCACTCTCCCTCTCGTTCTCTACCCTATCTTGACATCTTCCCACCCACCTCACTCAGGGCGGCGCGCACTGACTGGGCCGATTGGCTCCTGCCAAGCGGGCACATGGAAGCTGTTGTTCCTCTCGCTCACTCTCCCTCTCTCTCCTCTCTACCCTGTTGTGATACCCCCATCCCCCACACAGGGTGAGAAGCTGCGGAGGCGCACTGACTGGGCCGATTGGCTCCTGCCAAGCGGGCACATGGAAGCTGTTGTTCCTCTCGCTCACTCTCCCTCTCTCTCCTCCTCTCGACCCTGTCGTGATACCCCCATCCCCCACACAGGGCGAGAAGCTGCGGAGGCGCACTGAGTGGGCCGATTGGTTCCTGCCAAGCGGGCACATGGAAGCTGTTGTTCCTCTCGCTCACTCTCCCTCTCTCTCCTCCTCTCGACCCTGTCGTGATACCCCCATCCCCCACACAGGGCGAGAAGCTGCGGAGGCGCACTGAGTGGGCCGGTTGGCTCCTGCCAAGCGGGCACATGGAAGCTGTTGTTCCTCTCGCCCACTCTCCCTCTCTCTCCTCCTCTCTACCTTGTCGTGATACCCCCATCCCCCACACAGGGCGAGAAGCTGCGGAGGCGCACTGACTGGGCCAACTGGCTTCTCCCTACCGGGCACATGGAGGCAGTGGTCCCTCACACAGAGGAGGCAGCCGCTCAGGAAGGAAAGACTGAGGAAGGGGAGAAGGCGGAGGGGGGGAAGAAGGAGGGGGAAGGGGAAGGGGAGGGGGAGGGGGAGAAGAAGGGTGATGCTGCTGCTGCTGCTTCGGACACTGGCAAGGGAGAGGATCCCGAAGGAGGGAAAGAAGAACCACCTGCCGCCGCTGCTGGTGCCGCTGCTGCTGCTGCAGATGCAGACGCAGGGCCCTCTTCCCCTGCTGCCACCCTCCTGTTCGCCCCACGCAACATCCCCTCAGCAGCAGACGGGGAGGCGGACGACGAGGGGGAGGAAGGGGGTGGCCAGAGGGCCAACCGCGAGGGCACCCCTGCTAGGAGTGTGGGGAAGAGACGGGGGGGCAGTAGTGTGAAAAGGATCTCGTCTGGTTCTCGGTTCTCTGCTAGCAAGTCCGGAGGGCTTTCCGCCGCCTTTGCTGCCGAAGCTTCAGGCTCGGCGGGCCGAGCCGAGGGGCTAGGCTCGTTGCCGGGCCTGGCTGGGAAGGTAGCTGCGGCGATTGAGGAGGCTGGGGCGGGAGGGAAGGGGGGCGGGGCGGGGAAGAGTAAGGAGGAGCGGGAGAAGGAGAAGGGGAAGCGGGCTGCTGAGGAGAGTGAGGCGTTGACTGAGGCGAGTGAGGCTGAGGACACGTTTCAGTTTAGTGGGGACGAGATGGGGGAGGGGAAGAAGAGGGCCGAGAAGCCCAGGAGGAGGCAGCGCGCCAGGTATGTTTCGCTGCGCCCCATGTCATTCGTGCGTGCTAGTCTTTGACTGAAGCGAGTGAGGAGGCGTTGACTGAGGGGAGGGGAAGAAGAGGGGGGAGAAGCCCAGGAGGAGGCAGTGGCGCACCAGGTATGTTTTCGCTGCTCCCTTTTCTTGGATTTATCTATAGTGCAAGTCCCCTCCCCCCCCCCCCGCCCGCTTGCCATGCTTGCAAGAACACACTCTCGTGGTTCCGTTCTCACCCCTTTTCGGCAGTTCCTTTCTTGGTTGCATGCGCTTGGTTCACGCCACGCAGGTCGGAGGAGGATACTACAGAAGATTCCGATTCTTGAGGGCAGACAAACACACCCGCTCCCGCCTCCCCTCTCTCCTGACCCCGTGGCCCATTGCTTGCCTGTGCACCACGATTGAATCCCTTGCACCACACATGATGAAGGTCGGAGGAGATTTTTGAGTCGACTAAAAAATCACCCTCTCTCCTGACCCCGTGGCCCATTGCTTGCCTGTGCACCACGATTGGATCCCTTCCACCACACATGAAGGTCGGAGGAGGATACGACAGACGATTCCGATTTTAATGACGTCAATCCAAGCCTCAAGAACCTCGTTATTGTCACACAGGTAGGTGGTCTGCATTTTCGATCATTGGATATCTTCTACCTGGCTTGCCCGTATCCAACCCCAACCCCAGCACCTGCATGCAATGCTGTGTTCTACTCATACTTTTTTCTCTCCAACACCTCTCGTTTTATCTTTTCGAGGCATCTCAAAAGCAACCCCAACCCCAGCACCTGCAATGCTGTGTTTTGCTCATGCCGCTTCTCTTCAACACCTCGCGCTTTCTTTCTTTCTTCAATGCCTCTGCGCTTTTAGAGTTGCCTGGTCACTCACACCACACCACCGCTGCTCAGTTTGTTTTTGAGTCAACTAAAAAATCCACTCACTCATTACGCACGCCCTGGTCACTCACACACACCACACCTGCTCAGTTGGGCTGGTTTTCTAAAAAACCAAATCAGCAGCAGCAGCAGCAGCAGCGACATTGCTTAATTCTCTCGCTTGCTTATCCCCTTTTATTTTTTCCAATACCCTCCCATTCTCCTCCCTCTTCCAGCAGCGCCCTGGCTGCACCATGACGGCTCAGCAGCAGCAGCATGAGGGTATACCGTGTGAGGTGCAAGCAGAGCAATAAGATGCGAGGGTCTATCCTCACTCGTCCTCATGCCTCTCCCTCTCTCTCCCATTCCCCCCCCTACCAGAGGCGCCCTGGCCGCGGGACAGCACCCCAGCAGCAGCAGCGTGGGGGTGTGCGGCGCGACGATGGTGCGAGTGGCAGCAGCTACGAGGGGGGGTCCTCTCTGGTGAGAAACTGGTGACTGGGTGAGTTGTAGGTGGTGGGGGTGGGGAGGGGTGGGGAGGGATGGTGAGAGGCGCACCTAGAACAAGGAAGATGTGTGGGCCGAGTGGCAGCAGCTACGAGGGGGGGTCCTCTCTGGTGAGACTCTTAACTAGTTTACTCGTAGGTTAATCTATTGTAGACTTAGGGGGGTTAGTGCTGTGAGTCAGGTCAGGCGCAACCAGAGCAAGGAGGACGGGGCGAGTGGCAGCAGCTTACGGGTGGGGGGGGCGGGGGGGGAGGGTGGGGGGTGGGTCTCCCCTGGTGAGATTCTGACGATGGGTTGAATTGTAGCAAGTGCAGGGCTGCTTTTGAGTCGACTCATAAGTGAGATACAGATGATGGGTTGAATTGTAGCAAATGCAGGGCTGGGGGGAGTCTAGTTTTGAGGCGCCTCAAAACTGGTCTCCCCTGGTGAGATTCTGACGATGGGTTGAATTGTAGCAAGTGCGGGGCTGGGGGGAGGTGGTGAGATGCGCAATCAGAGCAAGGAGGACTCAATTTCGAAATGCCTAACATACGGACGAGTGGATCAAGTTTCAGGGCCGTGGTTATGGCTTATGATGAGTACTGATGGTAAGGGGAAAGGAGGGAGGGAGGGCACTTTCTTTGAGGCTCCTCAAAGATAGACTCTGGTAAGTGGATCGAGTTTCAGGGCTGTGGTTATAAGTGGTATTGATGCTTAAGGGAAGTGAGGGAGGATTCAAGTGTGTGTGCCTCCTTCCCAGTGCATCTCTTTCCTGCTCCCCTTTCCCCTCCCACCCACCCTCCCCCCTCCCCTTCCCCAGGGCCCCAACTACCGAGCTAGCAGGCTGTTGGCTGAGAAGGGCGACCAGTCCGGGACAGACGGGGAGGGGCACGGCAGGTGAGGGGGTTATAAGGAGGGGTGTGAAGGGGAGGGGCACGGCAGGTGAGGGGGTTATAAGGAGGGGTGGGAAGGGGAGGGGCACGACAGGTGAGGGGGGCATAAGGAGGGGAAGTGGGAAGGGGAGGCTATGGGGGTGGGTTGAGAGGGGAAGGGGAGGGTCCCGAATACCGAGCCAGCAGGTGCGGGGGAGGGGTTTCAGGTTTAGGGTGGGGATGGGAGGGGAGTCAGGGAAGTATGGTATGGGCTATGAGGGCACGGGGGTTAGGGGGGGGGGAATGGGCAGGGAGCGGGATGAGATGCGAGCTTGTCACCAAACAAATTGCTTGTTAGTTTGTACAGTCCCTCTTCTCCGCTCTTCCTTACACCCATCCCTGCCTGCAGCCTGCCGGTCGCAGTGTCATCGTGGGCAGTCGAGGCAGCATGGGCAGAGGCGGGGCCAGGAGCAACACACATACCAGCTTCACTTCACCTCATATGTTGCTCGAGTGGTCTCCTCTTCTCTGCTTCTCCTGTCTCCCCTCCTCTTTATCCCTGAGATCGTACACGCGCTCACTCTGCTACCTCTCTTCTCTATCTCGCTCCTCCTCCTTTCCGCCTCCCCTCCCCTTTCCCAGGTTCCACGTGGGCAGTCAGGGCAGCAACGGCAGCCCCAACGACAGCTTCACCTCGCACGTGGCCCGCGGCCCCAGAGCCCGCCACCCGCAGCAGCAGCGCGCCTCCTGGACCCCGGGGATCGCCCACATGACAGCAGCAGCTGCTGCTGCCGCTGCCGCAGCAGGGGGAGCAGGAGCAGGAGTGGTAGCAGGGGCAGTTGGGGTAGCAGGGGTGGGAGTGGGAGCAGGGAGGGCGCAGCCGGTGCCGGGGTGGAGGCCGGGGGCGCTGCCTGGGAATGTGGTGGAGCTGGGGGGCAGCAGCTGGAGGAGCACCAGCAGCTTCGGGTCGCCGCAGCTCATGGCGTTCTACTTCGGGGCCACTCCGCCCGGCTCCTACAGGTGCGCTGTGTCTGCTTTGGGGTGGGGGGTGGGGGATGGTTGGGGGGCAACAGCTGGCGGAGCACCAGCAGCTTCGGGGCGCCACACCCCCTGGATCCTACAGGTAGGCTGTGTGTGCTCAGGGGTGGGGGGGGGGGGGGGGGGGGGGGGGGGAGAGGATGGGGGTGGTGTTTGTATAGAGGTGGGGAGGACGGGGGTCGGCCCCCCAGCAGCAGCAGCAGCAGCAGCTGTGGGTCACCACAGGGGCTCTGCTGCTTCCTCCCTCTCTACCTCCTGGGCCATGCCTGCTGGCCTCGCCAGACCTCCCCCCCTTCCACGTTGCCTCTCTGCACCCCTCTGCACCGCTCTGAGCCCCTCTGTGCCTCTCTGTGCCCCTCTGGCTCTCTCCCTTCTCACAGTGGTTCTGCTGCCTCCTCTCTCTCTAGCTCGTGGGGCATGCCTGCCGGGCCGGGTGTGCCATGCTGCTTTCTCCCCTCCTTGCAGCCCTCTGCCCTTGTACCCATCTGTACCCCTTTGTACGTCCCTGTACCCCTCTTCACCCCCCTACACCCACAGCGGCTCGGCGGCCTCCTCCAACTCAAGCTCGCGGGGCATGCCTGCTGCCCTTGCCATGCTTTCTCCCCTCCTTGCACCCCTCTTCATCTGTTCATACCCCTGTACCCCTCTGTACCCCTCTGTACCCCTCTTCAACTTTCTGTACTTCTCTTTACCCCTCTTCACCCCCCTCCCTCACAGTGGCTCTGCTGCCTCCTCCCTCTCTAGCTCGTGGGGCATGCCTGCTGGGCTGGCCATGCTTCAGCAGCAGCAGCAGCAGCAGCTGCAGCAGGGGGAGAAGAAGGAAGGGGAGAAGAAGGAAGGGGAGAAGAAGGAGGATGAGAAGGAGGGCGAGGCAAGCAAAGAGGAAGGGAAGGATCAGAAGCAGCAGCAGAGCAAGCCAGCAGGAGCAGGACTGTTGAGCCCTCCCAAGGGGGTAACCCCCCTCCCCTTCGCCCCTGGGTCTGCCCCCACTGGGAGTCTAATGCACATGGCTGCTGCTGGTGGGGGAGGCAGGCACAGGGACAGGGGAAGGGGAGCGGTCGGATCGGTTGGGGGGAAGGGGGGGGCGGGGCTGCTGTCGGCTAGTCTCGGCTCGGGGGGGCAGCAGCACCAGCACGTTAGCCACGCGCTGCTGGAAGAAAACGGGTTCAAACAGCAGAAGTGAGTCTTGGTTTACTGCCACTTTTATTTTTTTCTTAGAATATGTCCCTGGCGTGGGTATGGGGTGGCTGTTGCCTAGTCTCGGGCTGGGTTGGGAGGGCAGCACCACCAGCAGGTTGTCCAAACAGCAGGGGTGAGTGTGGGTTGCGCTGCTGGAAGAAAGCGGGTTCAATTTAAACAGCAGGGGTGAGTGAGTGTGAGGGGTGGGTGTGGGTTGACCACTCAGGGCGTGTGTCTGGTTCAACCCGAGCTTTCATCCCAAACTTTTAAGGAGATGACCCCAAGCTTTCTTTCCAAAGTCAAGTACTCTCACCCCTCTCCCCCTCTCACCCGCCTCCCAGGTACTCGCCTTTCTACAAGAGGAGCCTCAAGCCCTGTGATCTGCCTTCCTACTTACCTATCTCACCTCACCCCTCCCTCCCACCGCCCCTCTCATCCCTCCTTATTTCAACCCCAGGTACTCGTCTTTCTACAAGAGGTGCCTCAATCCCTGTGATCTGCCTTCTAACCTATGTCAACCCTCCCACCCCTCACACCACCCCTCTCCCCACCCCTCACACCTCCCCGATCCCAGATATTCGTCTTTCTACAAGAGGTGCCTCAAGGAGCGCAAGAAGCTCGGCAGCGGTCGCTCCGAGGTAAGGCTTAGGGAACCCCACTTGAAGAGTAGTTTCTTCTGGTGTAGCGATCAGTTGAAGGTTTGGGGGACCTCAGAGGTAAGGTGATTAACAATCCACTTCTTCAGCTGAGAGGTGCCTCAAGGAAGGTTTGAGTCGACTAAAACATCACATCTGTTTTTGAGAGTACTTCTTTTGAGGCGCCTAAAGAATAAGGAACGTTTGAGTCGACTAAAATATCGCCTCTATTTTCAAGAATTCTCAAAACACTCTTCAGCTGAGAGGTGGCTCAAGGAACGTTTGAGTCGACACAAAAACCACCTTTGAGGTGAGGTGATTTGATTGAGAGGTGCCTAAAGGAGAGAAGAAGCTCCGCAGCAGTCGCTAGGTGACTTTTGAGTCGACTCAAAAGTCGACTAAAGGTGATTTGATTGAGAGTCGACTCAAAAATCGACTCAAAAGTCGACTCAAAAGTCACTCCGCAGCAGTCGCTCTGAGGTTAGGGTTAGCAACTAGCAATCCCAACCGCCCTCTCTTCTCGCCCTCTCTTCTCGCTCTCTCTTCTCGCCCTCTCTTCTCGCCCTCTCTTCTCGCCCTCTCTTCTCGCTCTCTCTTCTCTCACCCTGCATTGTTTTGAGATGCCTCAAAACCGCCCTCTCTTCTCGCGCTCTCTTCTCTCACCCTGTATTGTTTTGAGGCGCCTCAAAACCGCCCTCTCTTCTCGCGCTCTCTTCTCTCACCCTGTATTGTTTTGAGGCGCCTCAAAACCGCCCTCTCTTCTCGCCCTCTCTTCTCTCACCCTGTATTGTTTTGAGACGCCTCAAAACCTCCCTCTCTTCTCGCCCTCTCTTCTCTCACCCTGTATTGTTTTGAGGCGCCTCAAAACCTCCCTCTCTTCTCGCCCTCTCTTCTCTCACGCTGTATTGTTTTGAGGCGCCTCAAAACCGCCCTCTCTTCTCGCCCTCTCTTCTCTCACCCTGTATTGTTTTGAGGCGCCTCAAAACCGCCCTCTCTTCTCTCCCTCTCTTCTCTCACCCTGTATTGTTTTGAGGCGCCTCAAAACCGCCCTCCCTTCTCGCCCTCTCTTCTCGCACCCTGTTAGCTTTGAGGCGCCTCAAAACTAGCGGCCGCTCTGAGGTCAGCAACTAGCAATCCCAGCCGCCCTCTCTTCTCGCACCCTGGATTGCTACTGCTCAGCGTCAACCATCAGGTTTACGACAACAACCTCCCCCCCTTCCCCCCCCCCTCCTTCCCCCCTCCCTCCCTTCCCCCCTTCTTCACACAGATGAACACTCTCTTCCGCTTCTGGTGCTACTTCCTCTGCAAGAGATTCAACCAGCAGAGGCATGCTGGATTTACTCCCATGCATACCGTGATCCTCAGCATATTGATTTCCCACCCCCCCACAACCACCCCCCCCCCCCCCCCCCCCTCCCCTTTCGCAAAGGAGCACCAGGTGAACACTCTCTTCCGCTTCTGGTGCTACTTCCTCCGCAAGAACTTCAACCAGCAGATGCACGGCCACTCAACTCCCAAGTATACTCTGATAATTAATGCATCGATCTCCCCCGCCTCCCCAAACACTCCCTTCCCCCCTTCGTCTCGCGAGCAGGAGATGAACACTCTCTTCCGCTTCTGGTGCTACTTCCTCCGCAAGAACTTCAACCAGCAGATGTACGACGACTTTAAGAGGCTCGCTACTGAGGACGCCGCCTCTAAGTACTACTATGGCATGGAGTGCCTCTTCCGCTTCTACAGGTACTGCCTCGTAGCTAAGTGCCACCTAATTGAGTGCATCGCAACTCACTTTGACAGGGACTGGCTCTTCTCAACTGTGTTCTGTGCCATGCGTTCAACCTTGAGTTTCGCACTCCTGTGCCTCCCTTGAGTCCAAGTTCGAGGAGCCCTTGTATGCGGAATTCGAGCAGCATTCTCCTAGAATCCTCCATATTTCTCCGCTTTCTGCTCTATCCACAATGTTTCTCTGCTTTCTGCTCTAGCCACAATGTTTCTCCGCTTTCTGCTCTAGCCACAATGTTTCTCCGCTTTCTCCTCTGGCCACAACGTTTCTCCGCTTTCTTCACTTTATTCTTTTACAAACCCCCCCTCCCCTCTCTCCCACCCCCCCACCCTCCCCATTCCGTAGCTACAGACTGGAGTCAAAGTTTGAGGAGCCCATGTACACGGTTTTCGAGCAGCTCACTTGTGGATGCCTTAGCAATCAAGGTGTTCCTCCCCTTTCCTCCCCTTTCCTCCCCTTTCCTCCCCTTTCCTCCCCTTTCCTCCCCTTTCCTCCCCTTTCTCCCCTTTCCTCCCCTTTCCTCCCCTTTCCTCCCCTTTCCTCCCCTTTCCTCCCATTTCCTCCCCTTTCCTCCCCTTTCCTCCCCTTTCCTCCCCTTTCCTCCCCTTTCCTCCCCTGTATCTCTTTGAACTATGCCCCCACCAGCTACGGGCTGGAGTCCAAGTTCGAGAAGCCCATGTACAAGGATTTCGAGCAGCTGACTCTTGACATGTACCAGCGGGGTGGCCCTCTCCATCCCCCCCACTTCCTCTCCCCATCCCCCCCTCCCTCCCCCCCCCCCCAACCCTGGCAGCTACGGACTGGAGTCCAAGTTTGAGGAGCCCATGTACACGGATTTCGAGCAGCTTGCTCTTGACATGTACCAGCGGGATGGCAACCTGTACGGGCTCGAGAAGTACTGGTGAGTAAAAGTGTGGACGAGGGAGGGGTGGGTAGGGATGGGTTGGGATGGGTTGGGATGGGTTGGGATGGGAGGTGAGGAATCATGTGTGAACAAGTGTTTCGAGCAGCTTGCTCTTGATATGTACCAGCGGGATGGCAACCTGTACGGGCTCGAGAAGTACTGGTGAGTTGGGGCTCTCATCCACGCGTCAATCACCTAATGGTGTTGTGGGAAGACCCCCGCCACGTAACAGCGGCATGGCAACCTGTACGGGCTCGAGAAGTACTGGTGAGTTGGGGCGTGGTGATAAGTTGGGCGGTGGTGGGGACTCAAAAATCGACTCATTACACACGGATGAGTGGAAGATGGAGGGGAGGAGGGGAGGAGTTGAGTTACAGCAGCGGGCTTTGACAGGCTCACTCTTGACACGTACCAGCGGGGTGGCAACCTGTGTTGGCTCGAGGAGTACTGGTGAGTTGGGGCGTGGTTGAGGGATGGATGGGATGGGATGGGAGGGGAGGGGAGGGGAGGGGAGGGGAGGAATATGCAAGTGTGAGTGGGCAAGTGTTTTAAGCTGCTTGCCCTGCATATGTACCAGCGGGATGGCAACCTGTATGTCTTCTCCTTATGTCCTCACAGGGCGTATCACTTCTACCGCAAGGACAAGGCCACTCGGGAGGTGATGAAGCACCGGGAGCTGGAGAATATTCTCCCAGAGAATTTCCGCACGATGGCTGACTGTGCCCCTTCCTTGCCCTTTCTCCCATATCCCCTCCCCTTCCTCCCTGCACATCTCTTCCCCCTTACTTACAGGGCGTATCACTTCTACCGCAAGGACAAGGCCACTCGGGAGGTGAAGAAGCACCCCGAGCTGGAGAAGATTCTCACGGAGAAGTTCCGCACGATGGCTGACTTCCGGGCTGCTAAGGATGAGCAGAAGCGCGCCCTGGCTGCAGCACAGGCGAAGGGGGGCGGGGAGAAGGGGGGAGGGGAGAAGGGGAAGGAGGAGAACGCGGAGGGAGGGAAGGAGGGGAAGAAGAGAGAGGAGGAGAAGAAGGCAGAGGAGGAAATCTCTGGAGCTGGCGAGGGAGAAGCGAAGGGAGAGGCTGACGGGAAGGATGGTGGAACGGAGAAGGCAAAGGAGGATGGAGCAGCAGCAACAGCAGCGGTGGAAGCAGCAGCACCAGAAGCAGCAGCAGCAACATCGTAGAGACATGTTGATGATTGTGCGGTTTATGCACTCTGTAACGCTGTCTGAAATAGCAGCAGTCACTGCCATGCCATCCCCTCCACAAACCTCCGCGAAACCTCCACCAAGCCTCCACCAAGCCAGGCCACCAAGCCTCTATTCCGGTCCTCTTTCAAGCATCCTGTTCTTCCAACATGTCCCCGCTCCTCTGCCACACCTGCCACCAAACCTGATTCCAGGTCCCCATGCCTGCTTCTCTCCCAAACATGTTTGCCCACTTGTTTCCCCCCACGTGTCCTCCCTCCACTCTTACCTCATCCACTCCATTCTCCAAGCTTTCTGTCACCAGCAGCAGGAGCTACAGTCGACCAGCAACACTGTAGCTCAAGATATTTGCTCTCTAGTTCTGGGCGGCAGAGCGGCACTGACTACGAGCTGAACCTGCAAGAAAGTCGGCAGTAGGCGTCCATTCATGTTACTGCCGTTTCCCGTAACTTGCATCGAGCTCCGCATGCCAGCTGTCCATTAGTTTCTTTGTACTTTGTGTGCCTTTGATTCTTCCCCTTATGTCCCCGTCATCTTGGTGTGTTATTTTTACGCTTCTTGTATATTGATCCCCTTTGGCACAAACCTGTAGTTCTAGCTTTGGTAGGACCATTGGGATTATTTGTTACTGGTACAATTTGTTTTCAAATTTGAATAGTTGCTTTCAACAGAAGTGGAGCACACCCCAGTCCAAATTAGTGGTTATGCGCAACGGATGCCACGAGTGTAGCTGCCAAATTTAGAACTAACCCTCCCGGTCAGGGACTGAGATGAGGCAGGTTCGTTGGGGCGAGGCAGGTTCGGAGCCTCTGTATTATCTCCCCTGCGATTCTTCCCATACGCCCGGCCACAACAAAACCACCAGCGCGAGAAATCCACCAGCGCGAGAAATCCACCAGCGCGTGGCAGCATGCTGCCCAGAAAGGTTCCTTCTAGCCGTCCTCATGATTTTCCTCCTCCTCACATCCGCCTTGATCAAATTTGTCGCTGCATTCTGGCTTGCTTGCACTTGTCGTTCCCAAAAGTCGCGCGGTTTGTGAGACCTCCCGGCTTGGTAGAGAGGCTTGAGGCTCGGCGGGAGGCTCAGCGAAGTCATGTGGTGGAGGCTGAGTCCGAACCTCTGACTTCTAGTTCGGTTTGACAGACGCGGGGAGTACAGTGCAGTATCTGGATTTGGGGCGTGTTGAGTGGGGCCCTGAACCAAAGACCGCAGAGCTGGAATTTGCAACCAGGATTCGTCGCATGTTGCCTTTTCGATTTGTATCGCAGCGCTGGATGAACAAAGAGGTGGAATTGGACGGGAAATGATAAAAGGGTCCTCTCCCCGACAGAGGCGTGAGCAAAAAAGGTGCGGCAGCTTGCTGCCTGGAGACCTTGTCTCCGAACCTGTGATACAACGCCTTCGTCGTACAACACGTAAATATTTCTGGTTCGCGAAACAGCTTAGGTTTGTGCGCCGCGTCGTATACGAACAGTGTTTCAGGGCATCTAAAAAAATCCGTAGGGCCCTCACATACGACTCGGGGTGGCATCAATCCTAAAATCGCAAAAGAGCTGCGTGTTTACGGTTGATGCCATCTCGAATGGAATTCGGTCCCCAATGGGTTTTATAATTTTGCCTTCTCGTTGATAAAGCGTTTACTGTTAAGTACTAAAAATATAACGGAGTGTATTACAGGTTCGGAGGTAGACTGACCTTTTTTGCTCAGGCCCCTGGCAGAGTGAGGACCCTTGCTGATCATTTCCCGAGCTGGACACTCCCTCCCAGGAAAACCTCGCCTTACCTCCCAGGGACAAAGTACCAGACCTGGGATCGCTACAGCGGAAGCACTCTTGACACGTGACTTCATTTTTGGTGGGGTGGGTTGAGTTCGCCTTCTAGGGTTTGCCTTTCCATACCAAACCACCACTCCGAAGCACGCATGTGCATCTAACTGCCCACATGCTCTGCTTTCATCCAATCCTCGAGCACGGCATGGCTGCCCAATTCTTCTCCGCCTCCCATTATCCTCCAGTTTTGCCCCATTTTGTGATCGTAAGTCGCCACGTGCTTATAATTTTCAGGCATTTCCCTCTTCCTGCAGCCTTTGCGTTTGCGACCACCAGCCCATATCCAGCCATACCGAACTGTACCCTTGTTTTCCCCTTACCTTCACCTTGACCTTACACCCTGTCCTAACCAACCAAATCCGCCATGTCCATGATTCACGAATCCGACACAAGAGCACAGTGGAGTCCATCCAGAGTAAATGGCCATCTCCCACCGCGCTCCATGAGTTTCTGGCTTCCAGCTAAGCACCAGCTGCCAACAGTTCGGCTCACACGGGCACGGGAGCGGAGAGGAGAGGAGTTTCATTTCGTCTGTCCCGTACTGCAAGCTGCAGCATCATTCAAGCATTCTCCCTTCCTCCCTTGGCATTTTTTCAGGCTCCTTTCATCCGCAGTTTTTCCTCTCTCTACCTGCCTCCCTCCCTCCCTCCTGCCTTAACTGCCAGCAGCAGCATTTATTACTCTCGCCTGTACCGTATGCAACACACTGACATGGTGGATTACCCTCCACTCCACCACCATCCTTGCGACTCATTTATGCTGATCACATTCCTGATGTGATAGCTCGCTATAGCACCTTCACGAGTCCTGATCTGATCACCTTCGCTTTAGCAGGCTGCTACTGACTAAGCTTCTGCCGTCTCGTCTTGCTACTCTCCGCGTCCCACTTCTCTGACCGAAACTACTAGTGAGGTATCCTTGAACCCGTATGATCAGCGCCGCGAGCGATTCCGACCTTTCAATGAGATCATGGCGTCCTTTCGACGACGGAACCGTCGCCATTCTGTCGGCATGAAGTCGTCAAAACAGTTTAATTAGGTCGAGGCGCGGATCAGTTAATCAAAGGACAAGGCGGCGAACCACCAGTCCTAAGAACCTAGCTTTCCTAAAAAGCGTTGTCGCGTTGTATAGTTAGGCCGAGAAGGGTAGAATGCCGGCTCCCGCGCTTTCGTCGTTAAGTTAGATTCATTTTCGCCAGCTTCAGCGCTCTCCGGGCTTGAGCTCTAGATCACCCATCGTGCAGTTTGGGGTTAAGCAGCGTCGTCCCTGTGCCGAGGCGTCGTCGTCAGAGTCGACTCAGAATACACCCGTTATTACAGCAACGTGTTGCTGTGTGTTCGTTTCCCCTGCTGGGGCTTGGGTGCTCGAGAGGAGTGATTCTCAATTGGAACTGACTGAATTTTCAGGTAAGTTCAGTTTCGCTTCAGGTCCAACGTCGCTCTTCACGCCTTTGCGTTCGTTCGTTCTGTTTCCGCGTCGCCGTGTTTGTCGCTTTTCATGCCATGCGTTTTTCGCCGGAATGCTGAAGGCGAAAAAAAAAAAAAAAAAAACAAAAAAACCGAGGAAATATGCTGCTAATACGCGTTTTCTGGACTCTCGGTTAGCTCGTCTTTCCCCCACAAATCATTCCCCCTTTTTGAGGCATCATATTATGAATTGCCTGAAATACCTTACTAATCATATTATCTACGCCAAAAAATGTGTAACTTTTATTTCCTCACCCCATCGACATGGTATCCCCGCAGCGGCAGCGCCAATGACGGGCGGCGTGTACGGCTCGGCGAAAGGGTCTCGCAATCCGCGGCGAGACCGGCTCAGAAGCGGCGACGAGGAGAACAGCAAAGGCAGCCATGGCAGCCAGCAATCGTCCGGCGCCGGTAGCGGCGGACAGGGAACGGACGGATCGCCTGGTGGAGGAGACGCGCCCGGATCGACAGCGTGGGCTATAGACTTCTCAGAGGTATGTGATGGGCCGTATTCCACACGGTAGCGACCAGGGTCAAGCCAGATGCGATGGATCGTCTACCGCGGAAGACGGCAGACCGTGGACCTGGGGAGCTCCGTTTCTGAGGTGCCTTAAAAAAAGGAGGCCATGGTCAAGCCTGATACGATGGGTCGTCTGCTGTGGACCCTTCATGTGGACCCTTCATGTGGACCTGGGCTGGGCGATTTCGTTTCAAGACGTCTCTCAAACCGAAAATACTAACGCGCGGATCGCCTGCTGCGGGAGACCCTTCCCGTGGACCCGTTCGAGCCGACCGCGACGGGGGCGGGGGCGTTCGCCGCGTGGCGCATCCGGGCGTTCGATGTGCGCGGGCATTCATTCTCTCCTCCGTGCCCCGCGCCCCTCCCCCCCCCCCCCCCCCGCCTTCTCCCTCCCCCGCTCTTGTTCAAGTTGAGCTAGGCGAGCTGATTGCGACGAGGTCGCTCAGAGTCGTGCAGTCAGCGCAAACCCCTGCTCGCGACGTCTGCTTGGCCGCTCATTCCGCTCCCTAACCCCTCCCCCACCCACCCCGCTCCCTCTCATGTTCACGTGGAGCAAGGGGCGAGCTAGTCGCCACGGGATCGTTCGGAGTGGTTCATTCGGGCACGTACCGGGGGGAGCGCGTGGCCATCAAGTTCCTGCTCCTTCCACCCCACCCCCTGCCCCGCATCTCGTCAGGTGGAGCTCGGCGAGCTGATAGCCACAGGATCCTTTGGCGTCGTGCACTCGGGCACATACAGAGGAGAGCGCGTGGCCATCAAATTCCTGCTCTTTCCGGAAGCTTCTAGCGAGGATGAGCTGAACCGCGCTAAGAGGGGGTTTCGGCAAGAGGTGTCGGTGTGGCATAAGCTCAACCACCCAAACGTGGTCCAGGTATGGCTCGTGTCCTGTCGCTGCTAGAAGGAAAGAGAGGCTTCAGAGCGTGAGGTGAGAGCTCAGGAGCACCTCTAAGAGAAACGAGGGTTTTGGCAAGAGATGCTGGTGCGGCCTAAGCCCAACCACCAGAACCTCTGCTTTTGAGGCGCCTCTAGAGCGTTTCTCAGGTACAGGGTCTTGATTTTTAGGCGCCTCAAGAGTGCTTCTCAGGTTCAGGGTTCAAAAGAAGAAGTACCAGCAACCCAGGGTACCATCAAGTTGCAGTTGCAACGAACTGTCCAGGGCACGGACACAGCCCTGTCCAGAATCTATTTTTGAGGCGCCTCAAAAATTGTCCAGGGCACGGACACAGCCCTGTCCAGAAATCAAGTGAATCAAACAAGTTCGACCGACTGAGGCAAAGACACGTTGCAACAAGTGGCCAGGTGAAGGGCTTTTAGGGCTTTCTTTTTTAAGAATTCTACAAAACTGCTCCTCTGTGGCCGTAGAGGAAACGTTTAACTGTGCCACCATCGAGAAATTCGGTGACTATGGCCCACTTGGGGGGTTGATGTACGGGCCGAGGAATTGGGGGCAGGGGGTGGTTTTTGAGTCGACTCAAAAATCACTTGGGGGGTTGATGTACGGGCCCAGGAATTGGGGGCAGGGGATGGTGGGATTCGGGGGGAGGGAGAAGGGAGTGGAGAACCGGGAGAGGATGAGATATGGGGCAAGCTCTGCCTATCGCTCAAGCCCACTCCTTCCTCCCACGCTCCCCCTGTTCCCCTCCCCCTCCTCCCCAAGTGGGCCATGGCATCCCCCCCATCCTGGGAGCGTACATCAACCCCCCCAAGAGGGCCATGGCATCCCCCCCATCCTGGGAGCGTACATCAACCCCCCCAAGTGGGCCATGGTCACCGAGCTCCTAGACGGCGGCACCGTCAACGGCTTCCTCTCCCGCCTGGGCAAGCGGTGCCTGTCGCTCAAGCAGACCGAAGGAGACTTTTGAGTCGACTAAAAAATTCCTCTCCCGCCTGGGCAAGCGGCGCCTGTCGCTGAAGCAGACCGCAGCCATGGCGCTGCGCTGGACGCGCCTTTCCGTGTCCCCTCCCCTTCCCCTCGTCCAAGCAGGCTCCGTCCCTCCCACAGCCTCTCTCTCGCTGAAGCACATAGCTGCCACGTATTGACGACATGGCACCTAACTGGTGTTCCATCCGTACCTCCCTCAGCCTCTCTCTCGCTGAAGCACATAGCTGCCACGTATTGACGACATGGCACCTAACTGGTGTTCCATCCGTACCTCCCTCAGCCTCTCTCTCGCTGAAGCACATAGCTGCCACGTATTGACGACATGGCACCTAACTGGTGTTCCATCCGTACCTCCCTCAGCCTCTCTCTCGCTGAAGCACATAGCTGCCACGTATTGACGATATGGCACCTAACTGGTGTTCCATCCGTACCTCCCTCAGCCTCTCTCTCGCTGAAGCACATAGCTGCCACGTATTGACGACATGGCACCTAACTGGTGTTCCATCCGTACCTCCCTCAGCCTCTCTCTCGCTGAAGCACATAGCTGCCACGTATTGACGACATGGCACCTAACTGGTGTTCCATCCGTACCTCCCTCAGCCTCTCTCTCGCTGAAGCACATAGCTGCCACGTATTGACGACATGGCACCTAACTGGTGTTCCATCCGTACCTCCCTCAGCCTCTCTCTCGCTGAAGCACATAGCTGCCACGTATTGACGACATGGCACCTAACTGGTGTTCCATCCGTACCTCCCTCAGCCTCTCTCTCGCTGAAGCACATAGCTGCCACGTATTGACGACATGGCACCTAACTGGTGTTCCATCCGTACCTCCCTCAGCCTCTCTCTCGCTGAAGCACATAGCTGCCACGTATTGACGACATGGCACCTAACTGGTGTTCCATCCGTACCTCCCTCAGCCTCTCTCTCGCTGAAGCACATAGCTGCCACGTATTGACGACATGGCACCTAACTGGTGTTCCATCCGTACCTCCCTCAGCCTCTCTCTCGCTGAAGCACATAGCTGCCACGTATTGACGACATGGCACCTAACTGGTGTTCCATCCGTACCTCCCTCAGCCTCTCTCTCGCTGAAGCACATAGCTGCCACGTATTGACGACATGGCACCTAACTGGTGTTCCATCCGTACCTCCCTCAGCCTCTCTCTCGCTGAAGCACATAGCTGCCACGTATTGACGACATGGCACCTAACTGGTGTTCCATCCGTACCTCCCTCAGCCTCTCTCTCGCTGAAGCACATAGCTGCCGTGGCGCTGGACGCGGCTCTGGCCGTGGCTCTGGCCGTGGCTCTGGCCGTGGCTCTGGCCGTGGCTCTGGCCGTGGCTCTGGCCGTGGCTCTGGCCGTGGCTCTGGCCAGGGCTTTCTATCCTGTTCTTATCCTTCACATCCTCCCTCCCTCCCTCTTTCTCCCTCCCTCCCTTCTCCCAACCTACTCGTCCTCTCCTCCCCCTTTCCCCCCATGCCAGTTCCTGGGAGCGTACATCAACCCCCCCAAGTGGGCAATCGTGACCGAGTTCCTCGACGGCGGCACGGTGAAGGGCTTTCTCTCCCGCCTGGGCAAGCGGCGCCTGTCGCTCAAGCAGATCGCCGCCATGGCGCTGGACGTGGCGCGCGGCATGCAGTACCTGCACTCCAACAACATCATCCACAGGTGCGCCTGAGTGTCACTCAAAGGTTGGTCGCAGGGGCTGAGCCTGTGCCCCTGAGACTCGCCTGTACGTCTCAAGCAGGTGGCATCCATGGCTCTGGACGTGGTGCGGGGCATGCAGTACCTGCACTCCAACAACATCATCCAACGGTATGAAGCTCAAGACCATGACCCCTCATGTGCGGCCCAACCACCGTCCATGTGCGGCCCAACCGCCATGCATGTGCGGCCCAACCGCCATGCATGTGCGGCCCAAGATCGCAGCCAAGGCGCCGGACGTGGCTCGAGGCATGCAGTACCTGCACTCCAACATCTCCATCCACAGGTGTGCCTTCCCGCGTTGTCGCCTTCATTCGCAGCCTCAGTCACCATCTTAAGCTCTCAGCCGTTTTGCACTATCTGGCCCATGCAGTACCTGCACTCCAACAAACATCTCCAACCACAGGGACCTCAAGTCCGCCAACCTGCTGCTCAACTCGGGTGGGCTCGTGAAGGTGGCGGACTTCGGGCCGGCAAGGACACACGTGCCCCATCGTCCACACACCTTCTCCTCCTCTCCCCTCGTCTCATCTCCTCTCCCCTCCTCTCCGCTCCCCTCCCCTCCCCTCCCCTCCCCACAGGGATCTCAAGTCCGCCAACCTACTGCTCAACTCGGCTGGGGTGGTGAAAGTGGCGGATTTCGGGCTCGCGAGGACGGAGGCCCAGGAGCCAGGGAACATGACTGCTGAGACGGGCACCATTCGGTGGATGGCGCCAGAGGTGAGGGCAAGGGGGAGGAGCAAGGGGGGGGGGAAGGGGAGTTTGAGTCGTCTGAGGGACTTTGGGCTCGCGAGAACGGAGGCCCAATAGCCAGGGAACATGACGGCTGAGATGGGCACGATCAGATGGATGGCGCCAGAGGTGGGTGGAAGGGGTGGGGGCTGGGGGTTCGAAGTGGTTGACGTTTTGAGTCGACTCAAAACAAAGTGTGTGACGTGGCAAGGTGTGGTTGGAGCCGGGGAACATGACTGCTGAGACGGGCACCATTCGGTGGATGGCGCCTGAGGTGGGTGGACGGGCGGTGGGCGCTGGGGGTTCCAAGTGCTTGACGCTTCAAGACGTGGTTGGAGCCCGGGAACATGACGGCTGAGACGGGCACCATCAGATGCATGGCGCCAGAGACGAGGGCAGGAGGGAGGAGGGGGCTTGAGTCATCTGAGGGGCTTTGGGCTTGCGAGGGCAAAGGCACAGGAGCCGTAGGTGATTTTTGAGTCGACTCAAAAATCACTCGCGAGGGCAGAGGCACAGGAGCCGTCATCATGCTGTGGGAGATCCGAGTGACTCCATTCACCCCCTTACCACCCCCCCTCCTCCCCATCCCTTCTGCCCTTGACTGTGGAGAGATGATCGATCGACCACCAGGCATGCACGCGGGAAGTGGACATGTACAGCGCTGGCATCGTGCCGTGGGAGATCAGAGTTCCCTTGGTCCTCCCACCTGTCAGTCCTCCCTCTCTTCCCCCTCGCAACCCACTCCCTCCCTACCACAGATGATCGACCACCGCCGTACATGCGCAAGGTCGATGTCTACAGCTTCGCCATCGTGCTGTGGGAGATGCGAGTGACTTCATTTGCCCCCTTACCCACCCCGCCCCCCCCACCCCCCACCATCTCTTCCCCCTTGACTGTGGGCAGATGACCGACCACCAGCCGTACACGCGCAAGGTGGACGTGTACAACGTCGCCATCGTGCTGAAGGAGATCAGAGTTCCCTTGGCCTCACCTGTCAGCCCTCCCTCTGTTCCCCCTCGCACCGCACTCCCTCCCCCCCACAGATGATCGACCATCAGCCGTACACGCGCAAGGTGGACGTGTACAGCTTCGCCATTGTGCTCTGGGAGATCTGCACGGCGCAGTGGCCCTTCGAGGGGCTCTCGTTCGTGCAGCTGGCCCACGCAATTGTCGCTGATGTGAGTCGCTCATTCTCTTGAGTGCTTCTCCCTTGGTGCCTCCTGGGTGCCTCCCATTGTGCTCTGGGAGATCTGCACGGCGCAGTGGCCCTTCGAGGGGCTCTCATTCGTGCAGCTGGCGCACGCCATTGTGGCCGATGTGAGTCGCTCCTTCTTGTGGGTTGTTCTCCCGCGGTGCCTCCCATCGTGCTGTGGGAGAACTGCACGGTGCAGTGGCCCTTCGAGGGGCTCTCCTTCGTGTGATGTGAGTCACTCCTTCTTGTGGGTTGTTCGCCCACACAATTGTGGCCGACGTGAGTCGCTCTGTCTTTCTGGTGTCATGGGTAGTCACGTGTAACGTGTAACGTGTAACGTGTTACGTGTAACGTGTTACGTGTGACATGTAACGTGTAACGTGTAACGTGTAACCAGGCGCCACTGCCACAACATCTGCTCGGCTTAGTGGCCCTTCGAGGGGCTTTCGTCGGTGCAGCTCGCTCGCACATGCAATTGTCTTTCTTTAGGGACGTCACGCTTTTTGAGTTCTTCATTCTTCTTGTCATTGTGGCTTAACCTCAACAGTGGGTTGGGGCCATGGATTTGAGTCGTGTACAGCCCATTGTACAGCCCATTGTGCTGTGGGAGACCTGCACAGCCCAATAGCCCGTCGAGGGGCTCTCCTTTGTGCAGCTAGCTAGTTCATGCAATTGTGGCCAAGGGCCTCTCCCTTCCCTCCCCACGCCCTTCCCCCCTTTCCCTCACAGAACCTTCGGCCCCCCAACAAGGGACTGTTATTAGGCGCCTCGAAATAGGCCCCCCCACAAGGGAATGTTTTTGAGGCGCCTCAAAAATAGGCCCCCCCACAAGGGACTGTTTTTGAGGCGCCTAAAAAATAGACCCCCCCACAAGGGACTGTTTTTGAGGCGCCTCAAAAATAGACCCCCCCACAAGGGACTGTTTTTGAGGCGCCTCAAAAATAGGCCCCCCCACAAGGGACTGCCCCAGCCAGATCATGAAGCTCCTCACGAGGTGCTGGGACAGGTGATTCGTGGGACTTGACACATATGACCACCCATCCACCCCCTTCCCCCAACCCCCCATCCTCCCTCAACACCCACAGAATATTCGCCCTCCCACAAAGGACTGCCCCAGCCAGATCACAAAGCTCCTCACGCGGTGCTGGGACAAGGACCCCGAGAAGCGGCCGGATTTCGATGAGATTGTGGCCTACTTGGACAGAATCGGTGACGGGAGAAGCAGGAACAAGTGAGTCTGGGGGGATGGGGAGGGGGAGGGGGAGGGGGAGGAGTGTGGTTGAGAGACTGAGAAAGAAGTGGCCGGAATTCAACGAGATTGTGGCCTACTTGGAGAGAATGGGCGACGAACGAAGCAGGAACAAGTGAGTGTGGAGCGTGTTTGCTGTGCCTGGGGGGGGGAGGGAGGGGGAGGGGGGTTGGGAGATTGAGGGAGAAGTTGAATGGGTGATGGGAGACGTAGGAACAAGTGAGTGTGCGGGGTTGGGAGGGAGGGGAGGGGGGATGAGGGGGGGCTGAAAGGGGCGGACTGGGGGAAGCTGGGACAAGTGAGAAAGCAGGGACTTAACCCAACACCACCCCTCTTCCCTCAAACCCCTTCCCTTCCCTTCCCTTCCCCCCCCCCCCCCCCGCCACACCGTCCCTTTCCACAGGGTTGATGACGTCATTGTGCCTGTACCCGGTCCTGATTCCGGCAAGCCTCCTCTTGGCCCAGGGGGGAAGCCGGCGAATGGCGTGCCGCCATCTGGCACAGGAGGGGGCGGGGGAGGGGGCAACGACAGCTCGCACGACGGGGTGGCGTCGCGGCACGGACCGAGGGAGGAGCCTCAGATGGACAGTGGGTGGAAGCGGATTCAGGTGGAGCCAAAGAAGGAGGCGAGTGGGTGTGGGTGCATCATCTTGTAGCTGCCGTTCAGGCTGAGCATTTTAGGGGGAATGGCGGCACGGGCCGAGAGAGGAGCCTCAGATGAACAGCGGGTGGAAGGGGATTCAGGTGGAGCCGAAGTAGGAGCCGAGCCGGTGTGGTTGCCCCATCTAGTAGCTGATGTGACGATCAGATGAAATCGCATGGACCGATGGAGGAGCCTCAGATGGACAGAGGGCGGAAGTGGAATCAGGATAAGCCAGAAGTAGAGCGCGACAACCAAGATGGACGGTGCACCATCTACCAGCTGATGTGACGGTCGGATGAAGTCACATGGACCGATGGAGGAGCCTCAGATGGACAGAGGGTGGGAGCGGAATCAGGATAAGCCGGAAGTAGAGAGGAGCAAGTGCAGATGCCCCATTTTGCCGAGCAGTGGATGAGTGAATGGGTGGGTGGATAGTGGATGCACAAATTGGTGGAATCATCGTGGCGATCGAGCCCTGCTGAGGAAGCTCTGCAGGGCCAACTGTGGCTGGCTGACGGTCAGCAGAGTGGGTGGATTGAGCAGAGTGGACTGAGCAGAAGTTGCTGCCAGTTAGAAGGGCATATATGCCAGGTTGCGGTAACAGTTGAGCCGCTTCGAAGTCACCCACAGCCAGATTGAATGCGCCGTGTGAATAATCGATTTTATTCAGCATGGTTGGGCATTTGGCATGCATGCATGCAGTCAGAAAAGGGGGAAATGCTCAAATGTGGAAGGAGACTCTTGTTAGGGTTGTGTCGTGTGAAAGCTGACCTGAATGCCAGCTTCTGTGCGTCAAGTGGGTTATGGCCTGGGGACAGGGTTTATGTAGAGCCTGTGTTTTACTATTTCCTGGCACACAAGTGCCACACAACAATCTATCTTGTGCCACTCATTTATTCGTGCCTATCCTGATTGACCCTATGTCGTTTTTTCAAGCTGAGCTTAGTAGTGAACTGTAGTGTTCCATATGCCTTTGGGATTACCGTATTGGAAACATGATGCCACTTCCATGTTCTGAAGTGTCAGAAGTGGGTGGTGGAGAGAGAGCATCAGCAGCTGGAACTGTTGAAATGGGAGTTGTGAGAGGGTAGGGTACAATTGGGGCGAGGCAACTCAATAGTGTTGCTTGCATAATGAGATAATTGTTAGGGGCACCAAGGAGCACAGAACAGAACCTTGCATTATGGAAATATTGTTTGGCCATCAGAAGCACAAAACAACTTCAAATCAAAACCTACACAACAACACTCTTCCTGAAGAACCATTCCTGCAAAACCGTACTAGACCCTGCACTGCAGACCAGATCCCTCCAGGTAAGCCAAGCAGCTCCATTATCACTTCTCTGCTTTATCACTAATCAGTTCTGCACATTCAACACCTAATCAGATGTGGTCTTCATGTAAAATGTAAAATGTTGCACATAACAAGCCTTTGAGTGAAAACTCATCAATGCAGATAGCACACTTCCTTTCGGCTTGATTGTGAGTTGGTAGTTCTGCTGGAGTAAATTCCCTCTCCTCTTCCAGTGTTACAATTTCCATATTCTCCTCCGACTTGAGTTTTCCAGCATCTTTCAGCTTGATGGCTTTTTGTAATTCCTCCAGAAGCTTTCTTGAGTGGAGTGAAGTCATTCGTGAATTGCAGGGACTGCTGCTCCGATTTGTCCAGCACACAATTCGTCTGTTAAATTGTTCTGAAGTTAATAGGCAACGCCCTTGATCCGTCACTGCAAGTCACAATTTGATGTGTTACAAGCATCGCCCAGTAACGTTAGCAGAACTTCTGTGGTGAATGATTTCTTCTGTAAATGCATGTGAGGAATGACACTGACGATCTTTTACCTTCCTGTCGTCAGCCTTGCTTTTCCAAAGCAATCTGGCACTTCGCATCTAAAAACGAATCGGTAACTTACCAAATGGAAACTCACCTGATTAGTCTCTTGGCGGCGCAGACCGAATCTCGTCAGGGTTATGAGCGAAATGGCACCGAGATCCGAACGTGCAGGTCCCGTTTTCAAACTTCTCGCACATCCTCGTCTTGTAATTGTGTGGACCGAGGCTGGAAGGTCCCCTTCCTCCACCACCCCCGTGGGGGGGTCCCGAGCCAAACCCATCCCCTCCACCCCTGGGAGGGCCTTGAGAAGCTCTCTCTGCCAAGTGTTGCCGGACCATTCTAGTCGCATACTCGATCTGCTCAAGCGATCCTTCCATTTCAACATTGCGGAGGTTGGTGTCGGATTCATGATCCCGAACAGCTACCCGCGCTCCTGACTGCCTCTGGATCTGCTTGATTACAGAACCGGCTTTTCCTATAATCGCACCGACGAGAGACGCGTCGATGGGAATCTTGGCACTGGTAGTAGATCCAAAATCGGAGGCAGGACCCATAGGACCGCCTCCGCCCCTCCCAGGCGATACTGGCTCCATGGGTAAGCCACTCCCTCCTTTAAATCCACCAGGCCCTTCCCATTGGCCTCCACCAAATCTATCTGATCCGTACCCGTCGCCAGGCAAAAAATCTCTCCCTCCAGGAGGACGGGATCTGGCCATGGCGTCAGGATCTACATGCGAGAAATGGCAACGGTCACCAAACCGGCATCCTCCGGGAGCCGTGAAACGCCTGCAGATCTTAGAAGCGTCTCCTTCATGTCCTCCTCCGAGCCTTCCCGAACCTGGTCCCCTTCCCATGGGACTTCCAGCAGGTGGCCAAGGGCCTCCAGGTCCGGGCATTCCAGGAGGCATGGAAGATCTTGGTGTAATTCCGAGAGCCGATATACCACCAGGGATGTAATGCTGGAAATGACATTCTTCGCCGTACGGACAGCCTGAAGTGCTGTGGATTGAAGGAGGAGAAACAGTGTAAGGAAAATATAAAGACCACGACGAAGAGTAAGGGTTTTCGTGGAAATACCGAGGTCAGCATTTATCACCTGAAGAACTTCGTACAAGGCTTTGCCTTTGAGTCGGGGAATAAATCCCTTGAATCTGTAACAGTGTGTGATCGATGTTATCCGATAAACAAACGCGGTTTAGCTCCTAGATTATAAGGGAAACAAAAGCTTATGCGGAAACCGTCAGATTAATCATACCCTCAGGACCATGGCGGTAGCGGCATCTGTCGCCGAAAGGACAACCATCAGGCGTCTGATATCGGCGGCACTCAAAATCATCGGACGACGCTGGTGGGTGTGGCTCACTTGATCTAAAGCGTTTGGCTTCTGACTCCATCGATACGGAACGAGATGAATCACTGGCCAAACCGACAATAACCAGGCGCACTGGCAAAGGATGGACGAGGAGACGTGCTGGATAGAGAGTAATCCTGGCCTGGAAACACCAGAGGAGTAATCCTACGTGAAATTATGTTGTAGACGGTGTTAAGGGCTCTTCCTTCCAGTCTCCTCTCCTGAGGCCAAAGAGCTGAAAGGCCTTATATGTTTTGAAAGAAGGACCCAAGAGGAGAGAAGCCCTGGGGAATAACAATTTCGCGAAACCAACTTCCTTCTGTAGCCCGATGTACCCTGAATCGGTGCTGTTTCGACAACCACAACAACTCCCGAGGATGGGGTGGTGGTGCTTTTCGCGAGACCATCTCTTTCGTAACAGATCGTCGCTGGTGGGAGTGTCGATTTTCGCGAGTGGGGTCGCTGAATAACCCTTGAGGACTAGGAACCCTAGTGACACAAAAACCAAGAAAAAGCACTCTTCTTCAAACCTTTTTTGTGTGCGTGACCATATTTCTCCTCAAGCCCTACCAATCCATTGCTCAGATGCCAAATAGTCGCTCAACCAATGAGGTTGAGCCTGCTGGTCTTTGAAGTCTCCTGGGGACTCTTCAACTTTCGGCGTAGTGGCTCTAGAAGCACCTTTAATCAGGCAATTAGACCCGGGCTTCATGCATGGCTGATAAACGACGGCTAGGAGGTGCGTTGCTCGATCTGGAAACCCAGTCAGGGGAGGTGTTCGGAGCCGTTCTGATCCATCCAGTAAACACCGACTCATCGCACCGACGGCAACCGTATGAGTGCGAGCCATTGCAGCATACTGTAACTCCAGACAGGACATCGACTGGGAACGAGCACGAATCATCAGCGGATAAACGTCGTCTTCAACATCAGCAGCAGTCGCCAGATCAACCGCAGGGGACTAGATCGCACGGCCGGGAAAAACGAGTCAGTCGTCAAAGTCCGGGTAGAGGGAGGAGAGGAAGCCGGTACAGACTAGGGTTTCCTGATCGAATGGCATCACCAATTTCATCTCCTATTCCAGGAACTATTCTTTCAAGACTCCGTCTTGGTCTCGCAACAGCATCGCCTTTCGCCAAGTTCCTTCTCGTGTTCGGTGCAATTTTCTACTGTTTCGCTGCCGTGGGTGTATGGCAGCTGTTCACCGCGTATTGGTTCTCGTACACCTTCCTCGACGACGCGGACACCGTGCTGATTCAGCGAGCAATGGAGACCGAGCGTCAATTTGTACCGCCTGTCAATCAGCTGGTTCCCGTTACCGAGTTACCAGCATCTCTACGGCTTCGCCACCATCAAAGAAAGGGCCTAGAGGGGGAGGAGGAAGAGGATTACGAAGACCTATCACGCCTAAGCCAGCTGTCAATCCAAGCTCTAGAGAGAAAGGGTGACAGCAATAATCGGACGGGTGCAGCCGTGATCGGGACGAAGCAGCATTTGCCTTCATTTACGCCATCAAAGCTTCTGCCTAATGGAACGCTGCCTAAAATCGCCTTCTTATTCCTCACCCGAGGGCCTCTCCCTCTCCAACCTCTCTGGGAGGAGTTTTTCCATGGGAACATGCACCGTGCCTCAGTCTACGTGCATGCGGCCACAGAGGGCTGGGACGTGAATGCACATGTTGGGAAAAACAGCGTTTTTCGGGGGACCCAGATTCCAGGAATAAGGATTGTGAGGGGGATGCCGTCGATGATTCAGGCTACCAGGCGACTTCTAGCAGCAGGGCTTCAGAATCCAGTCAATCAGCGGTTCGTCCTGTTGTCAGAGGCCTGCATTCCCATCCGGAGCTTCGACTTTATTTACGAGTACCTCTTTACAGGGGATAGAAGCTTCCTGGCAGTCCTTCCAGCGCTTCGCTGGTGGAGGTTTCCACGATATTTCTGGATATTCATGCCACGTCAGCTGATCCATCCGTGGCAGATCAGGAAGGGGTCTCAATGGTTTGTGCTGACTCGGCCGCATGCAGCTTTAGTGGTGGAAGATATGAAGTACTATGTGACCTTTGGCAGGGGCAGGGGGGAGTATCCTGATGAGGGCTACATTCAGACGGTGGTTTGGGGATACGATCGGAGAGGGATTGAGCCACACTCAGTCATGCATGTGGACTGGCCACATTACAAGGCTGAGCATCCAAGAATGTACTCAGGGAGCAGTGTGACAACGGCATTGATAGAGAGGATGCAGAGACGGCATTTTGCAGTTTCGGAGAATGTCGGTCTTCTGGATGTGGCCTTCCCTGGTCCATGCAGAGTTGCAGGGGAGCGTGTTCCGTGCTTTTTGTTTGCACGCAAATTTGCCCCCTCCACAGTCAGCACTCTATTATCCATGCGAGATACTCTGGGGTTTTAGAACTCATTGGATTCGTTGGCCACATTATAACCAAGCCATCATGTCGATGGTTTGTGCTTTGGATTGGATTTTGTTTTTCCCCTCGGTTTCTAAAATAAAAAGCTGGCGAGGCACAGAGATAAATCTCGACTGCCAGTGGTGTTTGTTATGCCATAGATCACCTTACAATTGCACATGATTGTAATTGTAAGGTGATCGTAAGGGAAGGGCCATGTGAGGGCTAGAAGTAGTGTTTCGTGGGGATTTAGTGAAGTCTGAGGCTTTTTCTTGTCGGGGTTCCTTTTAAGCGCTAACTGAAGACCTTTATACGAGCTGGTAGCACCTACCACACTTGTCAGGCGATGAAAGGTGGTTCACATCGGCATCCGCGAAAAACCAATTGCAGCGAAGGGCCTGATCCCAGGCGCGCTGCGGCTTTCTGTGCCACTCCAGCAGATGTCCAGCGATCCAGAACTAGCGGCAGCCACGCATCCTCGGAAAATGCCCAGTTCGATTGTGCCACGTCGACATTTCGTGAATGGGCTCCCCCCTACCTCATGGAATACCTCCCACCAATTAGCCCGAACCACTTACCAGAGAGTTCGCAAAGCTAGATCGAACCGAAATGACAGCCTCGTTAGTCATGTCGAGCCTCGATTGGTCTGAGAAACTCAGATAGAGCGAGGTTCAGTCTGGAGATTTGTGTCTCGTTCCGAACCTGCCGGAGGTTTGTAGCCATGTGTCACTCGTGGTAGGGATTGCCCATTTTTCACCACCCCACCCATCCCCCTTCACCACTCTCTCTCCGTCCCCTCCCTCTGTTCTTGGCTGTGGCTGGATGGAAATACCAGCCATTCTTTGATCACAAAACAATCAGTTTCAGTAATCAAGGGCAGTGAGCGTGAGACTCGTCCTGATACACACTCTGATCATCTCCTAACCAGCTCAGAGATTGTTCAGGACTAGCTCACAATGGCCTCTGCCGTCCTCCGCAGCTCCTTCCTCGCAGCTCCTGTTGCCGCGGGCCTCCCGAAGCTCGAGGCAGCTCCGGCCAGGAGAAACCTTACCGTCCGCGCTGGGACCAAGATCTTGAGAAATGTACGAATTCCTGACCCATCTTTTTGCCCTGGACGTCGTCTGACTTCCACGCCTTTAGTGTCTCGTGTCAATTTCTCAAACTCGTATCCTCCCTCCTTCCGTCGCATTTCCTGCAATTCCCTGTGCATACTACGCGGTCCTTCCTTCCATTTTTCTCCCCCTTATCCCTCCTTAACACGGTCTATCCTTTCTTCGAACCTTCCCACCGTTCATCCATCTGGCATCCCCTGATGCTACACGGACCATGATCATGTGGTCCTCGTCTGTCTTCCAACATTCGCTCATTAGCGGTTTACCGTTGAACTGTCAAGTACCAAATCTTCAAGACATCCCATGTTTTCATATCATTTCTTACCATTAGATGAGTATATACAGCCAGCGAAGGTATCTTAGCTGATAACAAACTTCCATAATTGAAGATGCAAGTTCCAGGGCTATCGTTAGTCCTTGGAAGGTGGGATGGAATGGGTAAAGGCTTGGTTCATGGTCTGGTAGGCTTGACCGTAACACTTTCAATTAGAGGAGTCCACGACCGAAGAAACTTGTCTAGTGGACACCCAGAGCCTGAGTCATTGCATCCTCTCGCAGTAACCATGCCAGCATAGTAACAAACGCCAGCATATAGAAAACGAAGCTGTCAAGCTTCTCTCAATTCACTTCCCTGATTAATCCTGCCTTGTAACTGCAGGTCAAGGTCGTTGAGCTCTTCGGCGAGGACAAGAAAGGCAGCATCCGCGGCAAGGTCGTAGGCACGGACCCAGAAATCCGCCTCCTTTCACGCGTGGAGGACCTCCGGTTGCTCTCTAAGGCCGAGCAAGCAGGGCTCCTCTCACTGGCCGAGTCCTTCGGCCTCTCCTTGACAGCCATTGAGGAGCTCGGCCTCCTGTCCAAGGCTGAGGAGTTCGGAATCCTTTCAGCTGCCACTGACCGGTCCACGCCTGGGACACTTCAAGCCATCGCCTTCATTCTGCTGCTTTCTGGCCCGGCATTCGCTTACTTGGTGCCTGATGACAGCACCGGCTTGATTGTCGCTCAGGTTGTGGTTTCTCTGTTGTGTGCTTTTGGTGGCGCTGCTGCTTTTGGTGCTGGCCAGCTTCTTGCCTCTCTGCAGAAGAAGTAAAGGGGCAGGTTTCTCTGTAAAAATATTACCTGTTAACACAGAAATTTAGTTACGAAGTGCCCTGCAAACAGGGAGATTCTGGCGGCGACTGCAGGGGCTACATTGGGGTGTATGCCCACGAGGTTGGAAGCTAACTTCACGTTCTACAGTATTACAATGGGGATCAGTCTGGGGCGTAGGTCTGGATTTTTTTACAACTGGCAAATTTTGGTATCCAGGCCAGAGTTATATGTTAGCATCCGGGTTCAATAAACCCATCAAATCTAGGTATCATCTAGGTATCAAGTCTGGAACAAAAGCTAGCAGTACTGCAATGCACGCTTGGAGAACAGAACTGCTTTCACTTTCCGTCAAAATTGGTCAAGGTGAACTACCGGTAAGGTGCTGTAGATCATCAATACACCATCTAGAAGCATCTGAACCTTGAGAAACCAAGATTCCCAGAGCCATCTACATCAAAAACACCTACCGTATTCGATGTGCGGCCCCTCACTTGTCTTTCGCACTGCAGCCGAAGCTGCAGTACCAGCAACAGACATCTGGCTTGGAGGTCTATTGCGAGAGCGCAGGCGCAGCAGCTCCAGCAGCAGGTGGAAGAGGCCAGCCAGAGGCCAGAGAGCTGAGGACCAGTGCCATCTACACAAAAACTCTTCCTATTCGATGTGTGGCCTCTCATTTGTCTTCTGCGGTGCAGCCGAACCTGCAGTGCCGGCAGCAACAAACGTTTGGCTTGGTGGCCTTCTCGGTGAGCGCAGCAGCTCCAGCAGCAGGTGGAAGAGGCCAGAGAGCTGGGCCAGGAGGGTGTGGGCAAAGAACATGCGCACCAGGGCCTGCTGGAACGGCACTGCGTTGGGGGCCAGGGGGTACTGTGCATGAGGGGGTTGGGGGAGAAGGGGTGGCAGAGGGAGTAGGGTGGTGGAGAGACTTCATAGGTGGGCCAGGAGGGTGTGAGCAAAGAACATGCGCACCAAGGCCTGCTGGAACGGCAGTGCATTGGGAGCTAGGAGGAGCTGTGCAGGTGGAGGGGGGGGTGGAGGGGGCAATGGAAGAGGGCAGTTCAGTATCTGTCCGAGAGGAGGGGCATTAGTGAGGAGAGAGAAGGACAAGGCACAAGCACATGCCAGATAGTTCGAACAGGAGGGTGTCGGCGAAGAACGTGCACGAGGGGGCCTGCTGGAATTGGTTTTTGAGAATTCTCAAAGACCAAATCAACTAATATGCCAGATAGTTAGAACAGGAGGGTGTGGGCGAAGAGCGCACACGAGGGGGCCTGCTGGAATGCCACAGAGCTGGGAGCCATGAGTGCTGACAGCCTAACAGCACGTACCTGGAGACTTATGAGTTGACTCAAAGGAAAAGAGCAAGCACATTGTGAGCTGACAGCACGTACCTGAAGAGGCGGAGGAATGTTGGTCTTGATCAGGGAGAAGAATCTATCCTCCACAACAGCCTTCTCGTTACAGCACCCTCTCAGCCCTTCCACCCCTGCAAACCGACCAAAACCACTCTCCTTCACCCCGCCAAATGGCAGCGACTGATTGGAGCGGGAGAGAGGAAGCGGTGGGAGGCAAGGGGGGTGGGGGGGGGGGAAGGGGGGGAGAGAGGGGAGAGGAGGGAGGGGCGGGTGAGGGGGGGGGGGAAGAGGAGGAATTGGGGAGAGAGGAAACTAAGTCCCGATGATACACGAAAATTGGCACATGAAGGTATTAATGTGGGAGCAGCCCTTGTATGTATTCCTTACCTGACAACTTTTGAGGCGCCTCAAAACGACTTTTGAGGCGACTGAGGCGCCTCAAAACTTGTATTCCTTACCTGACACGTGTACATGCTGCCAAAATCACTAACTCGGTGATCGCAACCATCCCACACTTAACCGCCGCACCGATCGCAGCACCCCGCCTCCTATCCCCCGAGAACACCGTGCACCCGAGCCCAAATGGACACATGGAAATCAGAGCAACAGCCCTTACCTGGCACATATACTTTTGAGTCGACTCAAAAGCAGCCCTTACCTGGCACATATATGTGCTGCCGAAGTCATTCAGCGCCACCATCCCACACTTCACTGCAGACCCGATGGCCGTAGCCCGCCTCCTATCCCCCGAGAACACCGAGCACCCGAGCCCAAACGGACAATCATTCGCAGCAGCTATCGCCTCGTCATCGCTCTCCACTTTCACTATGCACATTATGGGGCCAAACACCTCCTCGTGCAGTATGCGCATAGCGGGGCGCACATTAACGAGGATGGTTGGGGGATAGAACTGGCCTCCTAGGGACGGGCGGCAGGAGGAAGAAGAGGCCAAGGGAAGACCTAGAGCAGCTGCTGCTGCTGCTGCTACTGGTCCTTCCCCTCCTGCAGCTACAGCTGATGCTCCTGTTGACCCTGGATCTTCTCCCCTTGCTTCTGAGACTGCTTCCCCAAAAGCGCCTCCCCCAGAAACGCCCTCCCTGGGGCTGCAGCTGAGATCCTCGCAGCTTCCCAGTGGTATCCTCCCCCCCACCAGCACCTTAGCTCCCTGCGCCACAGCATCATCCACCAATCGCTGCAGCCGCTGCACGTGATGTGGCATGCAGATCGCGCCCATGTCAGCAACCCCCTCTGCTGACGTGGACCCGGAATCCCCCCCCACTCCTCCCCTTTTCTCTCCCTCTGCTGCTCTCCCCCCGCCACTATCACTTCCTCCTCCCTCTCCCTTCCCCTCAATCCTTGCCCTGTCCTTCCCACCCTTGTTCGCTCCTCCCTCTCCTGTCCCTTCCTGCAGCTCCTGCTGCTGCTGCTGCTGCTGCTGCTTCTGCTGCTGCTGCTGCTGCAACAGAGGCACCTCTTCCCCCCCGCTCATCTCGTCCCGTCCTTCCTCCACCAGCTCATCAGCCAAGGGGTAGCCCTGGGTGGGGAGAGGTTGATGATGAGGGAGAGAGAGAGAATGACAAGGGAGAGAGAAAGGAGGCATTGGAAGGAACCCAAGGCGTTGCCCTGGTAAATGAAAGAAAGGGGGGAGGGGGGGGGGGAGGGGGGAAGGAAGTCTAAAAGGAAGCCAAAGTGACGGCTTGCAGATAGACTCGCCCGTAACATTACACATCTGACTGCTGTGAGCTAGTTTTGAGACGTCTCAAAAGCAGTGCCCGTAAATAAAGGAAGAGCGGGGAAAGGAAGTCTGAAATGGAAGCCAGAGTGATAGGTTGCATATAGACTCGCTCCCCTTTCCCGGCAAGTCAAATACCACCTACCAATCGCATCTGCCGCGCCACAGATACCACCTCCCCCACAAACTGCTCGTAGATGCCAGCATGCACAAAGAAGCGCTCCGCTCCAATGCAGTTCTGCCCGCTGCACTGAAAGACGGCTCTCAGGGCGATAGGTACAACCTGGAGAGGGAGGAAATCAGGGCAGGGCAGGAACTAAATAAAAGGTGTATTTTGAGTCGACTCAAAATACACGAGGGAGGAAAGCAGGGCAGGGCAGGAACTAAATAAAAGGTCAGCATCATCACATGCGATAAATAGAAGCATTCTTTTCCCCCAGCTACAGCTCCCTCCCAGGCTCAAGATGGCATGGACAAGAAGCACCATCAACTCACATGCTTTGGCTCAGCATAGTCCTCTCACCTGCTACAGATCTGCGTCATCTCGCACACAATGAAACCTCCCCCCCCCCCTCCTCTCCAGGTCCCTGGCTCGATCTGGCACATTCCATCAGCGTCGCCACACCACCCCACCCCACCTCCCCTGCATCAGGTGCGCGCCATCGCACCGCACACAATTAACGCGTCCTTCCTTCCCTCCCAACTCCATCTCCATCTCCCAGGCTCAAGCTGGCTCGGTCAACAACGAGCAAGCACCATGCACTCGCATGCTTCGACCCAGCATCATCAACATCATCTCTCACCTGCTTCAGGTCTCACCTGCCTTGAGCCTCACCTGCTTCAGGTCTCACCTGCCTGAGGTCTCACCTGCCTTGAGCCTCACCTGCGTCAGGTCTGCATCATCGCACACAATGAACGCGTCCTTCCCCCCCAACTCCAACACCGTTGGGGTGAGGTTCACTGCAGATGCCTCCAGCACCTACGACAAGGAAGGGAGGGGAGAGAAGGAGCCAGACGTGAGGAGTCTATTTTTGAGGCGCCTCAAAAATAGACTGCAGATGCCTCCAGCACCTAAGATGAGGAAGGGAGGGGAGAGAAGGAAACAGAGGGCATAAGCAGTCAAGGCAGGAAGGAATCTCAGCAATGTTGGGGTCAGGTTCACTGCAGCCAGAGGGCATGCGAAATCAAGGCAGACACGATTTTTGTGGCACCTCAATAACCAAGGCAGAGAGAAGAAATCTCAGCACTGTTGGGGTCAGGTTCACTGCAGATGCCTCCAACACCTAAGATGAGGAAGGGAGGGGAAGGGGGTGGGGAGAGCACGGGCGGTTCATTACAGTAAGTCCCGTTACAGAGGCCGCCGATACATGCAGCACTCCAGAAAAGAGCGCAAAAATCCTGGGAGCAGGTACGGAGGAGAACAGAGGGTTCCTTCCATAGGAAACCGACACTACAGACGCGGGTTTACGACCAATCCTGTTGCTCAATCGACTCTACCGACCACTGTAGCCCGTTTACCAAGTGAAGCATCATCCACTAAGAAACCGTTCTAGTCACAGCTACCAGCAGAGTGAGCATCAGCCACCAGTAGAGTGAGCATCAGCCACCGACAGAGTCAGCGCCAGCCATTAACACGTGACCTAGGGACGCTCACCTTCCTGCCTACAGCAGTGGACCCCACAAAGATGAGCCGGTCGACGCCTGATTGGACGAGAGCCGACCCCGTGGAACCAAACCTGGCCGGCACAAAACCACAGCATGGAGAAAACGTTGAATGAATTTGAAGTGGCTTGGGGGGGAGTGGTTGGCTGGCACAGAGCCAGGCCAAGAGGCAGCAATGCCAATCACCATGTGACCACATGCATGAGCTTCTGAGTCGGCTCAAAACCAAGAGGCGGGAAGGACACAGGTCAGCTCGCCCCGTGACCATAAGCACCAAGTAGGCGATTTCTTTGAATTCTCTCAAATCGCCTGCAACATGAGCTGGCTCAAGAGCAAGAGGTGGGAAGGTCACAGGTCAACTCACCCCGTGACCACATGCACAAGCTCAGGAGGCGCCCCCACGGCTTTGAGAGCCGTTCGAATGATGTCCAAGTAATAGTGCGCTCCCCAACTGGCGTGCTCTGATACCTGCGGGTAATGGAAGGGTGTGCAAAGGGATGTGGGCATGCTGACGGGAGGCGTGGAGAGAAATATTAGAGCGCAGTAAAAAATCTCAGCTCCCTTGATCTCAGTTCCCGTGGGGGTTGAGCACATTGTGAACGGGGCAGTTCCACGGCACTATGGCTCCGATCATTAGCACCATCGAACCCTCTCTGTCCCTCCCTCTTTTCCTCCGTCTTGCTCTCTCTCTCACCTTGATCACAGCAGCGTTGCCTGAAAAGACTGCCGATAAAACGGGGTTGAGCACGTTGTGAAAGGGGTAGTTCCACGGCACTATGGCGCCGATCACCCCCGCTGGCTCAAACTCCACTCTGGCTGTCTTGTGCAGCATGGTGCGACCCACGGACCTGAGGTTAGGGGGAGACAAAATGAGGGAAAGAAGGGAGTGAGGATAGAGGGAGTTGTTTCACGGCACTATGGAACCGATCACCCCCGCTGGCTCAAACTCCACTCTTGCTGACTTGTGCAGCATGGTGCGACCCACGGACCTAAAGAGGAGGGGGGAGACGACAGGGGGAAAACCGGGGAAAGGACGGGATGGTTCCACAGCATTACAACTTCAAATGGTTGCTTCCCTTTGCGAGGACTGATTAATTGTTTGCCATTGACTGGCATCAACTAACCTTGTGCGGCATGGTGCGACTCACGGACCTATGGAGGGGGGAAGATGACAGGGGGGGAACCGAAGAAAGGATGGGGTGGTGCCACGGCATTACAGCTCGGTTGTGTCACATTGGTTGTGTCGCATTGGTTGTGTCGCATTGGTTGTGTCGCATTTGTTGTGTCGCATTGGTTGTGTAGCATTGGTTGTGTCGCATTGGTTTTGTCGCATTGGTTGTGTCGCATTGGTTGTGTCGCATTGGTTGTGTCGCATAGGTTGTGTCGCATTGGTTGTGTCGCATTGGTTGTGTCGCATTGGTTGTGTCGCATAGGTTGTGTCGCATTGGTTGTGTTGCATTGGTTGTGTCGCATAGGTTGTGTCGCATTGGTTGTGTCGCATTGGTTGTGTCGCATAGGTTGTGTCGCATTGGTTGTGTTGCATTGGTTGTGTCGCATTGGTTGTGTCGCATTTGTTGTGTCGCATTGGTTGTGTAGCATTGGTTGTGTCGCATTGGTTTTGTCGCATTGGTTGTGTCGCATTGGTTGTGTCGCATTGGTTGTGTAGCATTGGTTGTGTCGCATTGGTTTTGTCGCATTGGTTGTGTCGCATTGGTTGTGTCGCATTGGTTGTGTCGCATAGGTTGTGTCGCATTGGTTGTGTCGCATTGGTTGTGTCGCATTGGTTGTGTCGCATAGGTTGTGTCGCATTGGTTGTGTTGCATTGGTTGTGTCGCATTGGTTGTGTCGCATTGGTTGTGTCGCATTGGTTGTGTTGCATTGGTTGTGTCGCATTGGTTGTGTCGCATTGGTTGTGTCGCATTGGTTGTGTCGCATTGGTTGTGTCGCATTGGTTGTGTCGCATTGGTTGTGTCGCATTGGTTGTGTCGCATTGGTTGTGTCGCATTGACTGATTGATTATTTGCCATTGACTGAGCAGCCACGTTATCTTCTCACTTGTCGTCAGATTCTTGACGAGACCAGCACTGACTGACTGCCATTAATTGCCATTGACTTGCATTTACTGCCATCGACCTTAATTGACTGACCTGTACTCGGGTTTGAGCCACCTCTCCCCCTCACTGAGCAGCCACGCTATCTTCTCACAAGTTGTCAGAATCTCGCCAAAACCAGCATCCACCAGCACTTTGCCTGACTCACGGGCTGACACTCTGGATGGGAAGAAAGGGAAAGGGGAACAGAGGGGTGAGCTGAAGATAATGAAAACCAGCAGTACCAAGGAGCAAGGTGTATGGTACGGTGCCGAATTTATTTAACAGAAGGCGTTTTTTTTCCTAAAATTTGACCGTATGGTATGTTACCGAAGTTGCTGGCCATATAATACGATAAAAAACGGTCAGAACTGGCGTTTTGAGTGTGGTGCAAAAAAAGGGCCAATTTTTTCCCGTCTTTTTTTTTTGACCGTCAAAATGCGCGGATCTGGCATTTCGGCGAAAAAAAAATGCTCGGATCTCGCACTTAAACTGCCAAATTGCGCAGATTGTGGTGAGGCATGTTCACATCTGCAGATGATGTTCAGGTGCTCCATTCATCCACCACGCATCGCAGCAGCACCCTCAGGAAATGCCTCTGCTGCACAAAGCTGCTGAGGGCCCATTGCTGCTGCTGCTGCTGCTGCTGCGTCTGGTCACCAGGTTACAACTACCAACGATGCCCTGATGTTAGAGCATACCTGCAGATGAGGTCCTGGTTCTCCACCACGTATTGCAGCAGCACCCTCAGAAACTGCCTCCTCTGCTCAAAGCTTCTCCCTGACAACTGAAGCTGCTGACACGAGAGCAGCGAGTCTGGTTACCATGTTACAAGTACCAATGAAGCCCTGAGACCTGAGATGAGAGCACACCTGCAGATGAGGTCCTGGTTCTCCACCACGTATCGCAGCAGCACCCTCAGGAACTGCCTCCTCTGCTCAAAGCTGGAATGAGCCCACTGCTGCTGCGCCTGGCGTGCTCTGGCCACATGCTCCTTTACCTGAGAGAGAGAAACGGAGGTGATATTAACGGGTGGATGATGACTGACACCTCCAATGCTGCTGCTTGCTTGGTGCACGCAGAGCACGGAGGGGTTATTACAGCACACAGAGTTATTACGGACTGTGCATCCAATCCAATCCAATCCAATGCTGCTGTGCCTCGCGTGCTCTGCGCACAGGCTACTTCACGTGAGAGCGGTAGAGCATAGATAGAACAGAAGAGGGGCAAACACAAGAGAAATCGCTTTCCCGGATGTGGCATGTGCATCGCTCACATGCTCGCGCATGCACAGCACACACATGCACAAAACTCCAACCCCCCTTCCCCCCCTTCCTTGTACCACCCTTGTCGCTTTGTGCATCCCTCCTTACACTCACATCAGACGGCTTCAGCGCGGGAGAGAATCCCAAGTAATGCAGAGTAGCAGGGTCGTTGCACTGCACCCTGTCTGTCTGTACCCAAAGCAAACGTCCCTTCAAACCCCACCCTTCCCCCTTCCTCCTTCCCTTTCACTCACATCAGACGGCTTCAGCGCGGGAGAGAATCCCAAGTAATGCAGAGTGGCAGGGTCGTTGCACTGCACCCTGTCTGTCTGTACCCAAAGCAACCGTCCCTTCAAACCCCACCCTTCCCCCTTCCTCCTTCCCTTACACTCACATCAGACGGCTTCAGCGCGGGAGAGAATCCCAAGTAATGCAGAGTAGCAGGGTCGTTGCACTGCACCCTGTCTGTCTGTACCCAAAGCAAACGTCCCTTCAAACCCCACCCTTCCCCCTTCCTCCTTCCCTTTCACTCACATCAGACGGCTTCAGCGCGGGAGAGAATCCCAAGTAATGCAGAGTAGCAGGGTCGTAGCACTGCACCCTGTCTGTCTGTACCCAAAGCAAACGTCCCTTCAAACCCCACCCTTCCCCCTTCCTCCTTCCCTTTCACTCACATCAGACGGCTTCAGCGCGGGAGAGAATCCCAAGTAATGCAGAGTGGCAGGGTCGTTGCACTGCACCCTGTCTGTCTGTACCCAAAGCAACCGTCCCTTCAAACCCCACCCTTCCCCCTTCCTCCTTCCCTTACACTCACATCAGACGGCTTCAGCGCGGGAGAGAATCCCAAGTAATGCAGAGTAGCAGGGTCGTTGCACTGCACCCTGTCTGTCTGTACCCAAAGCAAACGTCCCTTCAAACCCCACCCTTCCCCCTTCCTCCTTCCCTTTCACTCACATCAGACGGCTTCAGCGCGGGAGAGAATCCCAAGTAATGCAGAGTAGCAGGGTCGTAGCACTGCACCCTGTCGCCTGCTGATCCCTCCCCGCGGGGAAACTGAGAGGGCGGTGCGATGGGAGAAGGGGGGAGGGGGGGAGGGTGGGGGGAGGGCAGCAGGGTAGAGTGAGAGAGCAGGGTGGTAGGGGGGGGGGGGGGAGAGGGGAAGAAGGGGGAGGGAAGGGAAGGGGAAGAGGCAACGAGATGGTGGGAGTTAGGGATATGAGAGGCAAGACTTTGAGTCAGACTATTAAGTGATGGAAGCATGGTTTGATCGTGGTGTCAGGTTCAAGAAACTGACGATTAGAGTACACGGTTGAGAAACGAAACGAACTGCGACAGACTTAAAGTGAAGTAACCTAAGTCACGAATAGGTTAACCGGGTCATCATGACTCACATAGATATATCTGTTGGTTTTGCTCTCCCTCTGCTTCTCCGTGACTGCAAAAACGCAGGGGAAAGGGTGAATGATACTGGCGCTTGTTATCGGACGGATGAATTGGGCTGATCGAGTAACATTTGACGGCGACTACGTGCTTCTAACGAAATGAACTTCGTCAATAAATGTAGGAAGATAGACGGGAAGCGACAGGGCTTAAATGCAAAAAACGTTTTATAGTTCTTAATGCACTGCTTAGACTTCGACCCTTCCTAAGTCAGCCATAACTTCCTAATGATAACGAAGGATGACAAAGAAAAGAACATTCAGGAATAGGCGCGAACTGGAAACAGCGAAACTGCATACTGTACGAAGTGTCGACGAAGATTCGTGGGACTTTTGACTGCGAGAGAATCTTGACGACGACCCACGCGACAGCTGCGAGGACTGCGACCGTCAGAAGCGACGTGGGAGTCGCCAGCATGGACGATAAGGCAGCACCCATGCTGTCGTAAGCTACGGATTACACAGCCGCAGCGATCAGCAACTAAGACCGGCAAACCGGCAAATAACTACGACGACCTACCTTACGTGGCCAACTAAGTGCTGGTCTAGCTAATAGTCTGTCAGGAGCTAGTTTCTAGGTCGGTGATCATGGTTGTGGTTGTGGGTGCTGGTCGGTAACTTCAAGGTTGGAAGAATGAGAAATTGTGGCATAAACTAATCGAAGATAGAATTATTCCACTCGTGTGGAGAAGAGAATATCCACTGGCGAGAACCCTGCGACTGGTTACCAGCTTCTCGTGAATACTCGTCAGATTTGCGAAACGCCAGAAGAGTTATGCCTGAGGCTGGGGTGTCGGCCCGAAAGCCTGTCAAACGTTTTCCCGCGCAATCTCTTCCATCACTCCATCCGCGCTTCGATCAGCTCAAATCCAACGGCTGCAGTACTTCCGATGCCCCTCATAAACACCATCTCCTGCAGCGCTGACTGCAGTTATGTCGGATTCCGCGGCGCTCCCTTCTGTACTTGCGGTGCAGGAAAACCCCACACACTGAGCTGGGTGGGAACCACAAAAATATGTCGACGCTGAGTTGTGTTGTGTCCCTTCCCTTCAGTCTCGGGGTACTCATCACAGCTCGCGGGGATGCTTGCTTGAGCCTTGCTTGAGCTCTGACGCACAGTCTCTAGGCACATGCTACGAGCACGTAGCACCTTTCCGCGCATTGAAGAGTCCGCGCAGGCATGGTAGATGCGTTCTTTCAAAACAACTTGTTTTGAAGACGCCATTATCCGAGCATTTGGAGTGGCGCCCCAGCGTGAAAGCACGAAACACCCAGTTACCATGCATATCCCCAGTATGAGCAGCTCCGACGAGCCGAGTAGAACAGCTTCGTGCTCCCGCTATGCAGCTCGCACGGCGGAACCAGGAAACTCATCTAGTACACCTCGACCTCACACCTTACCTTCGAATCCGCTTCGGCCTCGAACCAGGGCAATCTACGGTTCAGGGCCTCGAATCTTATCACGGCCTCCTTACTGCTTCTATACTACTGACCGTTCATCTAGCTGCTTTTTTTGTCGACCCATATCTGACCGTTCATCTAGCTGCTCTTGCTTACCCCAAGTGTTTCTTTTCCTCAGCCTCCTCCTCCTCCTCTGCACTCCCAACGCATCCGCCGCCTCATCCGATGCGGAAACGAAGGTTTCTCGTCTCTCCTCGAGTCGCCGTCGTCTGGCAGATTTAAACCGCGAGTGGATCTCGCGCGTGTACGTCAAGGGCGTGTCGACGCGCTTCGTCGAGGAGCGCGCCGACTGGGAGTTTCTGGTCGGCAAGCGGACCAGTCAGAACCACCGGGTGACGTGGCCCGAGAGCTTAATCGGAGCCACGTGGCGAAACGCGAAAGTGAAGCTCCATAACATCAGCCTTAAGGTGAGGAAAGGGTTTAAACTTCAGATGCCCCCCACTTCGCGTCCCCCCTCACCCCTCCCCCCCCCCCACAAAAAAATCGCATTCCCCTTGCTTTTCCCCCCCTTTTCGCAGGACACGCCCGCATGTCACGGGATCCTCCCTCCTAAAGCCTACACCTCGCGGGTTTCGCTCGGCCGCCCCGCCCTTCCCGAAGAGCTTCTCAACCTGCACCGCCGATGGTTGCAGCGTCGGGAGCCACAGGGTCGTTCGGATGAAGAACGAGTGGGTCGTTGGGATGAAGAACGAGTGGGTCGTGCGGCCCCTCCCTCCTCCCCTTTCCCCTCCTCGCCTCCCTCTCCGCTCTCCACTCCCTCCTCCCTCTCGTATTCCCTCTCCCCCGCCTCCTCTCCCCCCGGTCCCACCGACCGTTGGTTGATATGGGTGCCGCGAGCGGGTCTAGGCAACATGCTCCGCGCGCTATCTTCCTCTTTCATCTATGCGCTCCTCTCGGGCCGCCGCCTTTTGCGCTGGCATGGCGGGCAGTACGGCGACGCGATGAACAGCCTCTGCGCGGGATTTAATTGCGGGTTCGACGAAATTAGGTTTTCGAATCGGAATCTGCCGAATTACGCTGAGCCGTTGGATCGGCTGGTATCGGACGGCGAGGAGATGCGGAGATCGCTCGCGGATCCGCGCCCGCTCGTTATAGTCACGATGTCGAGCTCGTTTGATAAGTACTGGAAGGAGGATAAGGAATTAACGCGGTGCGTGATGGGCGCGTTAGGGTGCGGTTCGGAGTGGTGCGTTTGGTCTAGAGCGATGGAGGTTTTATTAGGGAAGGGACCGACGAAGGCTTTAGGCGAAGAGATTGAGAAGGATGTGAGGATATTTCCGCACGTGAAGTCTGCTTCGGCTTTTAACGAGAAGGCTTCTAACGAAGCAGACGGAGCGGCGGGAGAAAGAGCGGAAGCTCTGGAAAGCGGGGGTTTGCGGAGTGAGGGAAACGGGGTGCGGGGAAGCGGAGGTTTGCGGAGCAGAGTGCGGGCGGAGATTGCGGGGGACGGGGGTGTGCAGGTGGCGCGGAGGTTGAGCGGAAGGACGTTGCGAGCAGGAGAAGGCGGGGAGGGGCGCGAAGGGGGTTCTGGTGGTAACCCGCTGGCGAAAGGGACGGGGCTTCGCCTGCAATTTGATGTTTCGCTGCACATCCGAACTGGCGACTGGTGAGCCAGTCACAGGATTTTTTTTTTTTTTTTTTTTTTTTTTTTTTTTTTTTGGGCTTTAAGGAGATCCCAGAGCCAGTCACAGGAGGCACTTGTGGTTGCACAGGGGATAAAAGAGTCGCACACGAAACAGTGTAACATTCGCACGTGGGACCACCTTTTCAGCACAGGGGAAAACTGCAACCCTGCTTGCCTCCCTTGCCCTGTTCTCACTTTCGCTCTCTCACTCCCACTACCTCTCCCCACACTCCTGTTCTTGCCCTGCTTTTGTTCTCCTGTTCTCCCTCTCCCCTACCCCTACTCATCTCCCTCACACTCCTGCTGCCTCTCCCCACTTCTTCCCACTACTCCCCCCTCTTCCCCTTTCTCCTCCCCGCTTTTCCCCAACCACCTGCAGGAGCTTTGGTCTGCCCCATTGTGGAGATTCCGATGCTGCTTGCCTGCTAGAACGCAGCCACGTGGCACATGACGTGGCATCCCTCTTCCTCCAGGCGTCCCATTGGCTCTGCCTCTCCTCCCTGCTCCAGCTGTTCCGGTTCCGAAAGTGGGCGGCAGAGATGGGGGCGGCAGACAGGCAGGCGGCAGACGTGCTGGCGGCAGACGCGCGGGCAGCAGATGTGCGGGCGGCGAAGCGGGTGGACAGGCAGTGGGCTTTACTGGCGGCGAACGAGGAGTGGGCGGCAAAGACAGAGGCGTCGCTGTCGCTGGGGACACGAGTAGCCAAGCAGGTGAAAGTGAGGAGAGGGGAGGAGAAGGTGTGTTGTGAGTTGTTAAGGACCAAGGGAGGGTTTGCTAACAGCAAACGAGGAGTGGGCGGCAAAGACAAAGGCGTCACTGTTGCTGGGGACACGAGTAGCCAAGCAGGTGAGAGGCGAGGAGAGGGGAGGAGACGAGAGGAGAGGAAAAGGGAGAAGAGGAGAAGGGAGGTGAGGAGGAGGTGTTGTGAGTTGTTTTGGACCAGATGAGGGCTTTACTGGTGGCAAGTGAAGAGTGGGCGGAAAAGCGAGAGTCGCCATTGTCGCTGGGGACACGAGTAGCAAGGCAGGTGAGAGGAGAGGAGAGGAGAGGAGAGGAGGGGAGAGGCGAGGAGAGGAGAGGAGAGGAGAGGAGGGGAGAGGAGAGGAGAGGAGAGGAGGGGAGGGGAGGGGAGGGGAGGGGAGAGGAGGGGAGAGGAGAGGAGAGGAGGGGGGAGGGGATAGGAGAGGAGCGGAGAGGAGAGGAGAGGAGACGAGAGGAGGGGAGAGGAGAGGAGAGGAGGGGAGACGAAGGAAGGCGAGGGGGGACGAAGGGGGCTGGAGAAGTGGCGTCAAAGGCACAAACGAAGCAGCGTGATGGGTGGAGATCGGAGTAGGGGGGATGAGGGGGTGGAGACTGGAGAGGTACATTGGATACACTTACACGTGAACCCATCTTAAGGGAGGATGGATGCACCATACACTTGTACCTATGCATCGCACACACTCGCTGACGCACCTAGATGCTCTTTCGATTCTTTCTCCTGCTCTTCCTCCCGAGCAGGTGCTGAGGAGCAACAGGACGGCAGCTGAGGGAAGGTGGGCACTAGCAGACTCCCTAGCCACCGTTCATCCCCTTGGCACATGGAAGACGGCATGCCTCAAATGGCCATGCATCCCCTTCTCCTCCAAAGCAGGTGCTGAGGAGCAACAGGACTGCCGCTGCGGAAAGAAGGTCACTAGCAGAGGTAGCCACCGTTCATCCCCTTGGCGCATGGAAGACGGCATGCCTCAAATGGCCCTGCATCCCCTTCCCCCTGCATCCCCTTCTCCCTGCATCCCCTTCTCCCTGCATCCCCTTCCCCCTGCATCCCCTTCCCCCTGCATCCCCTTCCCCCTGCATCCCCTTCCCCCTGCATCCTTCTCCTCCCGAGCAGGTGCTGAGGAGAAACAGGACTGCCGCTGAGGAGAGCTGGACCCTGGAAGACTCACTTGCAATGGCACATGGTAAGACACACTTGCGATGGAAAGTTGCAGAGCGATTTGCCTCATCGCATGACTGGTGATGTCACCGTATCGTCTCATATACTTTTCCAGCTTAGACTTCTCCTGCTTTACTTGGCGAGGCATATCAATATGTTGTCTTTTACACCTCCCGCCCCTCAACAACTCCCTTGCCCCTTCCCTTCAACGGTCCTCTCAGGTTTGGTGCCCGTCCCAGGCCGTTCGCCCAGACCAACGCCAATGTTCCGCATTCCCCAACTCTCCCCTCTCAACTAACTGTCTTCCATACCTCTCACACCTCCCCTGCGCCTTCTCTTCTACTGTCGTTGCGTTGCAGGCTTGGTGCCCGTCCCAGGCCGCTCGCCCAGACCAACGCCAATGTACCGCATTCCCCTGCTCTCCCCTCTCAACGTTTTCCTATCCACTGATAACGAATATCTCCGGCCTCTTTTTGTGGAGCTTCTACGGCCATTTGGGAGTGTTTTCGTTTCCGTGGGTCAAACTGCGCATTTATCAACTTCTACACAGCCGGGACCAAAGCTGCCTACTGTAGCGGATTTCTTCCTATTAAGCAGAGGGGCTGTGCTTGTAGGGGGTACGCACACTCTGAGCACCTTCGCCAAATTCGCTGGGATATACTCCAACTGCTCGGTGGTGTTTGACCACTCCCCGTTGCATAGATGCCACTATGCTGCAGTACACTTGTAAATAAAGGATTAATGGTACCGTACATGACATGGAGAATGTCTGGGTGTTTTGATGGTTCATCACCCACTTGTCAATAAAAGTGAAGAGTTGGTGTGTTTGACACACGACTGCAGAGCTGATTATAATCAACATACAGCTGCACCGTTTGTGTACACTGTCCGTGACGGTACCTACTTCCGTTTCGTCCATCGTGATCAAATCTGTCAACACATGGCTGGCAAAGCAGCAAGTGAGCAACTAGTAGGTGCAAGCATGTGTTTCATCGTACTCACCAGAAACAGGAGCTGCTAATAAACATTGCTGGCTTTGATAATGTGCAACTTGAATTGGTTGGCATGACATACTTCAACACTTATGTAATATTGCAGGCTTTGTCATACGATGACACCACCCACCAGTAGGAGCCCTAGCATGCAGCAGAGTGTTGATCTCTCCAGTAATGCCCACGGGGCGCTTGGCACATGATAATACATGGAGACTTCTGCAGCAAATGTGGAGAAGACTACAGGTTTCCACCCAACTGAGTAGGGAGACTAGCTAGCTGTCGAGAGACCCACAGGGGTCGCCCTAGAAGATCCTTGGAAAGGCCACAGGCCTCTATGCCTGGGGGGTTCTGGGCGCGCTGACCCGCTAAGAGAAACAAGCCCTTTTAGCACAGTGGTTAACGGCTGTGCTTGCTCGAGACTAGCCTGCAGCACATGTCGATCTCCAGAAAGAAGTGCAATGGAGAGTCGCCTCTGCCTTTGCGGTAGGAATACATGGCGGCGAGAGCCGCCTCTGCTTCAAGTTGCCCCCAAACCATCGGGTGCACTAGCCTGCAGTACATTGTTTATCTCTCGTGTACGGGACGGTTGGGTTGGAAAACATAGCTGAGAGAGCTGCCTCTGCTTCGAGTCGCCCCCAAACCATCACCCACCACCAGCAGTCGCACTAGCCTGCAGCACATTGTTGATCTCTCCAATGATGTGCACAGGGCGGTTGGAATACATGGCGGAGAGAGCCGCCTCTGCTGATGCCTTGTAGGCGCACGTTCGCTGCACCACTGCTTCCTGGTGTGTGGTGAGTGAGGGTAAGTAGGTATGAGTGGACATGAATGTGTGTGTGCAGTGCGCATGTGTTTGATGCACCAAACCCACTTTTGGAGTGAGAATACGACAAGGAAAGGCATGTGTGGACATGAGCCATGACGTACCACACCATACCATACCACAACATGCACCATGCTACACCGTGCCACACCATGCCATGCCATGCCCCACATACCAGTTTGGGCCGAGCATCAGCCAGCGCCGCCCGGATCTCTCTCCGCCGCCTCTCCAGCTCGCCTATGCTATCAAGCAGCCTCGCCTCGTTTGTCTTCTTCTGCAGCAATGACTGCTCCATCCGATCCAAAAAACTGATGGGCCAAAAAAGGAAGAAGGGGGCAGGAAAAATACTTACTGTAGGAAAAAATGAGGCACAACAAAAATGAGGCACAACAAAACTGAGGCACAACAAAACTGAGGCACAACAAAACTGAGGCACAACAAAACTGAGGCACAACAAAACTGAGGCACAACAAAACTGAGGCACAACAAAACTGAGGCACCACAAAAACGAGGCACCACAAAAATGAGGCACTTCATGAGAGCCAGGGACTTATGGGTGGACAGCACAAGGGAATGCCATTGCTATTCTCGTATCTTTCCTTTTATAGATAGGGAAAGAAAAAACCCTTACCGCGGGGACAAGAGGATGAGGAGGAGGTCTCGGGTTCTGCGACTGGTGAGTCGACCGATGGCCGTGCAAACATAAGAGTCGAGGGAGAGGAGCGAGTTGGTGCCGTGATTCTGAATGATGGCTGGGGCTGTGGCCTGGGGTCGAGGAGGGGAGGAAGCGGTGGTGGTAGTGAGGGAGAAGGAAGGGGGTGGTGGTGGTTAATCGACGTAGGTGTGCAGACATGGGAGTCGACATGGGAGTCGAGGGATAGCAGGGAGTTCGTGCCGTGATTCTGGATGATGGCCGGGGCTGTGGCCTGGGGTCATGGAGGGGAGGGAGAAAGGAGGCGGCAGAGGAGAGACCTTGTGCTGTGATTCTGGATGATAGCCGGAGCTGTGGCCTGGGGTCGAGGAGGAGAGGAGGGGGAGAGGAGGGGGAGAGGAGGGGGAGAGGAGGGGAGAGAACGGGGAACGTGAGGGAAGGAAAGCAATGGCTGTGCAGACATGGGAGTCGAGGGATAGCAGGGAGTTCGTGCCGTGATTCTGGATGATAGCCGGAGCTGTGGCCTGCGGAAGGGTAGCATAGGGGAGATGCACGAAAGGGACGAAATGGTCGAGCAGAGAGGGAGTCTAGTTTTGAGGCGCCTCAAAAGGGACGAAATGGTCGAGCAGAGAGGGAGTCTAGTTTTGAGGCGCCTCAAAAGGGACGAAATGGTCGAGCAGAGAGGGAGTCTAGTTTTGAGGCGCCTCAAAAGGGACGAAATGGTCGAGCAGAGAGGGAGTCTAGTTTTGAGGCGCCTCAAAAGGGACGAAATGGTCGAGCAGAGAGGGAGTCTAGTTTTGAGGCGCCTCAAAAGGGACGAAATGGTCGAGCAGAGAGGGAGTCTAGTTTTGAGGCGCCTCAAAAGGGACGAAATGGTCGAGCAGAGAGGGAAGCCGAGGGAAAGCAAGGGGCAATGTGAGTTGCGGTTCTGGTTGATAGTGGGGCCTGTGGCCTGAAGGCGAGGTAAGAAGAAGGGGAGAGAAGGGGCGAGAAGGGGAGAGAAGGGGAGAGAAGGGGAGAGAAGGGGAGAGAAGGGGAGAGAAGGGGAGAGAAGGGGAGAGAAGGGGGGAGAAGGGGAGAGAAGGGGAGAGAAGGGGAGAGAAGGGGAGAGAAGGGGAGAGAAGGGGAGAGAAGGGGAGAGAAGGGGAGAGAAGGGGAGAGAAGGGGAGAGAAGGGGGGAGAAGGGGAGAGAAGGGGAGAGAAGGGGAGAGAAGGGGAGAGAAGGAGATAGGAGGGAAGCAACGGCCGTGCAGACGGCGGAGCTACGGGAACGCCACTGCATGCCACCGCCGTGAAACGATCCTCGAGAATGCAGGGCTTCCGAGGTTCTGGGGGGAGCGTGGGTTGAATTTCTCGAGCCACTATTGCAACCATCCATCTCCATTCTGACACAGTGCCTTTTGAGAATCCCCCTCAAAAGCACATGCAAACCTCAATCGCGGTACCCTCCTCTCCTCCTCCACTCCCCCCATCCAGCACTGTCACGACACAGGAGCAACAACTATGCCTTTACCCCTCCCTCAAATCCCCCCTCTACTCACCAGCAGCTGAGCCTGCAGCACAGATCCCTGGTGTCTGTGCATCTCAGCAACCCGCGTCACAAGGAATATGTGCAACTGCAAGGAGAGCAGGAGGGGGGAGGTGAGGCGAGAGGAGAGGGGAGGGGAGGGGAGGGGAAAGGGGGGAATATGTGCAGCTGAGAACAAAGCCTTGGTGTCGGCTCCTTTCAGCCACCCGCGCCACGAGGAATATGTGCAGCTGCGGGGGGAGCAGGAGGGGGGAGGTGAGGCGAGAGGAGAGGGGAGGGGAGGGGAGGGGAGGGGACAGGGGGAAATATGTGCAGCTGAGAAACAAAGAATATGTGCAGCAACCCGTGACACAAGGAATATGTGCAGCCTCAGCAACCCGTGTCACAAGGAATATGTGCAGCCTCAGCAACCCGTGTCACAAGGAATATGTGCAGCTACGGGGAGAGTGGGAGGGGGGAGGGGACGGGAGAGGGGAGGGGGGGGAAGGGGAAAAGGCGGACAGACACAAAGCCCTGGTGTCTGTTCATTTCTGTGATGTGAAGCCGAGGGGGGAGGGGGAGAGGAGGGAGGGGGAGGGGGAGAGGAGGGAGGGGGGAGGGGGGAGGGGGGAGGGGGGAGAGGGAGAGGAGGGGGGGGTAGGGAAGGCCACAAGGACGTTGCGCAGCTGCTGGAGAAACAAAGATGGGTCAGGCATAAAGTGGGGGGGGTGGGGGAGGAAATGCTTATTTTTCAAACGATGCGTTAGTTAAATGGAAATTGTGCGGCAGCTCTAATTCGCTATTGTTACACGCGGTCTCATGTCAAAGAGGTCATCCAGCAGCTTGTTCCAGTACGCCGCGTCCGCCAGCGACACGGGCTATGGAGTCCCTTATGTTTGAACAACCTGGTACATAGGCTTTAAGGGACTGAGCGCACCTCGAAGAGGGCATCCAGCAGCTTGTTCCCGTACGCCGAGTTGGCGAGCGACACGGGTCATGGATTCCTTCCTTTGGGCTCGAAAGAGCCTGGTGCCTGGGCTTTAAGGGCCACAGGGCTGAACCTACCTCAAACAGGTCATCCAACAGCTTGTTCCGATACGACGAGTCCGCCAGCAGCCACCGCTGCACCTTCTGCTTCTCTGTCTCCCCCTCCCGGCCACTCCTCCCTCCCCCACCCCCACCACTGGCAGAAGCACCGCCACATGGCGCCTCCTCATTGGTCCCTGCGGCTCCAGTGTCAATATCCCAGTCTATCCCTCCCCCTCCTCCCCCCTCCTCACCATCAGCACCACCCGCCTCGGTGGAAATCTCGATGCCCCAGTCAATACCTCCCCCGGATGCGTCCTCCCCACCTCCCAGTGCTGCCCAATCAATCCCTGCTGCTGCACCATCAGCAGTAGCAGTAGCACCATCCGCACCATCAGCCCCATCAGCACCATCAGCACCATCCACATTAAAAACAGATTCAAAAGTAGCAGCTGCATCGCCGGCTGTTTCTGCTGTGGAGGCAGCATCGGCAGTACCGGTGTTATCTGTAGCAGCGGCAGCTGTCTCTGATTCAAGAGTCGTGGCCAAATCATCTAGATCCCACACTATGCCTGCACTCTCGCCCCCTCCTCCCCCACCTCCTCCTCCCCCACCTCCTCCTCCCCCACCTCCTCCTCCCCCACCTCCTCCTTCCCCACCTTCAGTCCCCTCCCCTGTGCTCACATCGAAATCCCACACAATCCCCCCTGCACTGTCACCACCACCAGTGCCATCACCATCACCAGCAGCAGCAAAATCAAGCTCCCGGTCCTCTGCTGGAGGTTCGGCCCGGTCCTGCCGCTCAGGATTCGCCCGAAGCTCCGAAAGCGTTGGGAGAAGAGGGGAGCCTCCCTCCCCGTCAGCGCCTCCTTTCCCCCCTTCCCCCCCGTGTGCAAAGTCCACGACAGCTCCATAGTACTCCACTGCTTGGCCTACTTGCTCTCCGCTTAGGATGCCAACCACCTCCTGGAAGACCCCTGGGAGTTGTGAGACAAGGGCCTTGAGCTCCCTGCGCACGTCTTGACCCTGTGACAGGGAGAGATGGGGTGGAGGAGGCACCACGGAATGAGCACAGAGCGCCCATCCCCCCCGTGTGCAAAGTCCACGACAGCTCGATGGTACTCCAATGCCTGCCCTACTTGCTCTCCGCTTAGGATGCCAACCACCTCCTGGAAGACCCCTGGCAGATGCGATACAAGCGCCTTGAGCTCTTTCCGCACGTCTTGACCCTGGGACAGGGGCACATGGGTTGGAAGAGGCACTAAGGTGTGAAGCTCTGTGCAAAGTCCACGAGAGAGAGATAATAATCCACTACCTGCCCCGCTGGCAGCTGCGACACAAGCGCCTTGAGCTCTTTCCGCACGTCTTGACCCTGTGACAGGGCGAGGTGGGGTGGAAGACGCAACAAGGCGCGAAGCTCTGTTCAAAGTCCACGACAGCACAACAATACTCCAAAAAGGCAGGAAACGGGATGGGAAAAAGCAGCAGCAGCGGCGGTGCGGTACCAGCGGCGTTGCCAGCGGCGGCGGCACCAGCGGTGGTGCGGTAGCAGCGGCGGTGCCAGCAGCGGTGGCAGCAGCGGCGGCAGCAGCAGCAGCAGCTACGATAAATGACTCTCGTCTTGTAGTTATCTCCAAGTCGGAGCACGCCTGGTGGAAGTCCTTGGCAGCAGCAGCAGCCAGCCTTCAGCAATCGAGCCCCACAGGACATCCATACCTGCCTGTAATGAGTCGATTTTTGAGTCGACTCATTACACAGGACACCCATACCTGCCAATCGTCTACCCTCATTCCTACCTTCGTTCCTACCTTAATCCCCAGGTCAGCGCACGCCTGGTGGAAGCCCTTGGCAGCAGCAGCAGCCAGCCTGCGACAATCGAGTTCCTTTCTGTTGCTCTCCTCTAGTTGCTGCTGCCCCCGCGCCCTGTGCTTCTGCCAGAAGGGGCTGGTGGGGGAGGGCGGGGAAAGTGAGGGGAGGGGGTAGATGGAGTGGGGATTGAGGCGGCACATAGCAGCCAGCCTGTGGCAGTCGAGCTCCTTCCGGTTGCTCTCCCCCAGCTGCTGCTGCTGCCCCCGCGCCCTGTGCTTCTGCCGGTAGGGGCTGGGAGGGGGGGTCAACGGGGGAGAAGGGGAAGGAAAGGGATGGAGGAAGAATGAGAGCATGATAAGGGGAGAAGAAACGAGAGAAGAAACGAGAGAAGAAACGAGAGAAGAAACGAGAGAAGAAACGAGAGAACAAAGAGAGAGCACATGAGAGAGCCCTAGGAAGGGGACGCTATTAGTGAACGGGTAGGGGAATTGATTAGTGTACTGTACAGCCATGCATACATGGGCTCGGGGACGCATGCTAAATGCTCAACAACCCATGGGAACTGTTGCAATGTTGCATGTATGTATATATTCTAGCATCCCGTGCTTAACCGTATGAGTTGAGTTGGCTTTTGAGAATGCACTAAGTGAAAGTCCATATGCGCAGAATTGGTTTGGAATTCCCAAATGAGTTGAGTTGGTTTCTCAGGCATTCAGTCTCGCATGTCGTGCTTAATATCGTCCATCCCAATGAATGTCAATCGCTCACATGTCATAGTTGGTGTTATGCACGAGGATCTGAGCAGACTTTTGAGTCGACTCAAAAGTTCCGTGTGACATTGTAACGAGGTGACTTTTGAGTCGACTCAAAAGTTCCGTGTGACATTGTAACGAGGTGACTTTTGAGTCGACTCAAAGCTCACATGTCATAGTTGGTGTTATGCACGAGGATCTGAGCAGCTTCCCCCAGGAAGACCGAGTCTCGCTCGTACGTGCGCACCACCGCATCCCACTCGCCCTGCGAATGCACAGAATGACAAAGCATAGAATAAACAGTAAGCGGCAAAGTTCAAGGCATTGGGGATCTGAACCGCATCTCCTATAAGACAGAGTCTTGCTCGTATGTGCGAACCACCACATTCCACTCGCCCTGCAGACACAACAGCATGGCTCGTAGTGGGACAATGACATACGGCACAAGATGGGTAAGAGCACCATGAGTGCCCTCAGTGCAGGCATGTAAATAATGAATGGAACGACTAGTTTTGAGGCGCCTCAAAACTACATGGGTAAGAGCACCATGAGGTGCCTGCAGTGCAGTGCAGGCATGTAAATAATGAATGGAATGACAGGAGCACAAACATGGGTCGCAACGAACAGTTGGCTTGGCATAGAAAGACCGGAAGGACAGGAACGTTACATGGTAGCTCCACTCCACTCACTGAACACACCCTCACAACACAACCCACGCACTCAAGACACCCTCCCTTCACAACCCACGCATTTAAGACACCCTCTCTCCACAACCCACGCATTTGACACGCCCTGACTTGACATAGCACTCACCGCAGGGCCAGCAAGGCCGCCAAAGAGGGTTCTCTCGGTGGGGCGGGCAGCAGCGAGAATGTCCCTCACTCGCTTGGCCTCCACATACCCCACCTCTGGAGAGAGGGGTTTGGGAGTGGGTGAGGGACAGGGGAGGAGGGGAAGGGGCAGGTGAAGGAAGGAGAAGCTTTCGACACCTCACGGGCAGCTGCTAGCATGTCCCTCGCTCCCCTGGCCTCCACATACCCCACCTCTGGAGAGAGCGGATGGATAGCAGCAGTTTAGGGAGAAAAGAAATTGTTGCAGGAAAACAATAGACAAGGCAGGCTAGCAGCCAAGAGGTTTATACTTATAAAATGTGGGAGGCAGATTTTAGGGGCATAGGAACGGCGCTCGTCAGGATCATGATGATATTTGCTGCGGTTGAAACTCTGACCACTCTGACAAACTTCACGCGGCCAGCTCAGGAGGAGAAGCGCAGGGTGGTCAACTTGACTTGATTTCTTGTTCCGCCTTCACTACAGATATGTTGCTCATGATACTTTGACTGATGTGAAACTCCTCACTTGGCATTGATGCATGCATGCAGAGTAACGGCATGCTATTGCCGCTGAGATCAACATAAGAGAAGCAATGGTGTGGTCATGTGTGAAGCAATGTTCACTCATTGTCTTATGCTTGTCATACTGTGTGTAATGAGTCTATTTTTGAGTCGACTCAAAAATAGACTCATTACACACGGTTCACTCATTGTCTTATGCTTGTCCTACTGAACACAACGTGACTTTTGAGTCGACTCAAAAATAGACTCATTACACACGGTTCACTCATTGTCTTATGCTTGTCATACTGAACACGACCACACCATTGCTTGTCCTATGCTGGTCTTGGCGGCAATAGCACTCCACCGAGGGCCGTTACTTTGCATGTATCAATGACAAACGAGGAGTTTCAGGTCAGGCAGAAAATAATGGGCAGCATATCGAAGGCGAAAGGAGAAGTCAAGATGATTACACCTGTGCTTCTCCTGAGCCGGCCGTGAAGTTCGTCAGAGATTCAACCGCTGCGAATATTATCATGATCTTGACTTCTAAAGACATTTGACAGCCGACAGATTCACCCACCATCAACAGAGAGCGATTGCAGCCATGGATCATGCTGGCGTGGCAGTGTGGTAACCAGCTTCGCGATTCGCTGCTGAATGGCCGCGACACGCTGCCTCCAATTGGCCGGGACTCGCTTTCTGTCTACTAACCAGTCTATATGGCGGAAGGGGCGGAGGTGAGGGGGAAGCAGGGAGTGGAGAGCGGAGGGGAGGGAGGAGATAGTAAAATTATATAGACAAATTTAAATTCGCTGCCTCTAATTGGCCAGGACTCACTTCCTGTCTACTAACCAGTCTGTATGGCAAAAGGGACGAGGGGGCGTAGGGGAGGGGGGAGCGGAGGGGAGGAGGGAGCGGAGGGGAGGAGGGAGCGGAGGGGAGGGGGGAGCGGAGGGGAGGAGGGAGCGGAGGGGAGGGGGAGCGGAGGGGAGGAGGGAGCGGAGGGGAGGGAGGAGCGGAGGGGAGGAGGGAGCGGAGGGGAGGGAGGAGCGGAGGGGAGGAGGGAGCGGAGGGGAGGAGGGAGCGGAGGGGAGGAGGGAGCGGAGGGGAGGAGGGAGCGGAGGGGAGGAGGGAGCGGAGGGGAGGGGGGAGCGGAGGGGAGGGAGGAGCGGAGGGGAGGAGGGAGCGGAGGGGAGTGCGGATACAGAACAGTGAGGGAGAGAGTGAGGATACAGAACAGTGAGGGAGAGAGTGAGGATACAGCGCAGTGAGGGAGAGAGTGAGGATACAGCGCAGTGAGGGAGAGAGTGAGGATACAGCACAGTGAGGGAGAGAGTGAGGATACAGAACAGTGAGAATACAGAAGTGAGAGGGAGAGAGTGAGGATACAGAACAGTGAGAATACGGAACATTGAGGGAGAGAGTGAGGATACAGAACAGTGAGGGAGCGAGCGAGGATACAGAACAGTGAGGGAGAGAGTGAGAATACAGAACAGTGAGGGAGAGAGTGAGAATACGGAACAGAGTGTGAAGGTGTCAATGCAGGAGAAGACGCTTAGACGACTGGTACCCTACTACTTGCTATCTATCCGCAGTCTGACCCTGATTACTGTCCATGCGAAGCTTCAGTAAACGTCAGTCGGCATCCGGTACCTGTGAAATTGTTGTACGCGATATTGATGGGTAGCTGATGCTCTTCGAATTTCTTGGGTTCGAGACGTCTCATAAGTACCTTGTCACACGAAAGATGCGGTACCTGCGAATTTGTTGTACGCGATATCGATGGGTAGCTGATGCTCCTCGAACTTCACCCCCTCTCCCGTTTTCTCCACCACTACCGACGCAGCATCAGCAGCGCCTTCCGCTCCCTCCATCACCGCACCATCGTCGGAGAGTCTGGATTCCTGAGCCATATAACCGACGTTTCTACACGAATCGGCGATCTATCGGCAGTCCCAGGGGAAGAATAATCGATTTTTTTTTGCTGGAAGTTCCTCTCAGATGAGGAAGATGAACTTACGATGCTACCGCGCGTCCATAAAGTCCACTTGAAGTGATGGAAACGAGCGACGAAGTCGGCGGTTAGACACTGCTTGTGACCATACTACTGGCGATCTGAATTTCATTTGGAGAGCACCAGCTGGGTCCTCACACTATAACCCCCGGTTCCTGTTAGGGTGGTTCGCCACTGCCCTACCGTCCTATTCCTATGCCTAACGAGGATGCGGCGATGCTAGGACGGTGTGAGGACCGCCCATCTCGTTCCAAGGAAAGTGGTGTTGAAATAGCAAGGCGGATGACAAGGGAAAGAATGACGACGGGAAGAAAAACGGGAATCCTAACTGCAGTGGCGGAAGTGGCGGAACAGCGGTGGAGCTAGGAAAATCAGCAAGGAAGAAATTGAAGAAATCGGTAGAAGAAAACCTAAGAAAATAAGGTGCTTGAGGTTGCTCTAGGTGATGCGTGCGTGCGGGGAAATGGTAGATCTGCTTTCTGTTGCCTTGCAGGAAACTCCAGCCAAGACCAGCGGGAGAAACAAGCTGTACGAAAATTCTCCAACACAGACCCGGAGCGCGTTCAGCTGAATTCCGGAGAACCGAACTCGGGGTCGGTTTCGGACTTGGTGTCGGTTACCGAAATCCGTTTCCGCGGTTGCCAGAATTCCGCGGTTGGCAGAATTCCGAGGTTGCACAGTACACCAGCCGCGTTACGCGAACCGCGCAAGCTTTCTGCCTGCTTATAAATGCTTGTTTGTTTCTTGTTCAAACACAACTCATTTTCAGTGCAAATTCTCCCCTGGAAACTGCTGAAACTTTCTACGTCAACCAAGTCTCTCCAACGTCAGCAGGAGGCACTTGCGATCCTATAGCTGGTATCAGAGCCTCGTTATAGTCACATTACGCCTCACTATAAGGGCGTTGGAGCTGTGGAGGTCCTGAGTTCCTTGCAGAGGCAAAGGGAGAGCTGGAGCCATGGGGAATGGAGATGCTGAGGCTAGTTCAGGGTCATCCGTGAACCCTGGCAGCTCTCAAATGCAGAGTCTCCTGGATGCTCTTGCTCAAGGGCATGTGGTGGCCAAACCGACGATTGGCCTGAGTGAAGCGCAACGCTTCAATGGAGCGAACTACGGCACTTGGAGGCTGAAGTTCATGAGGCGTGCAAGGGAGGTGGGGCTGTGGCATCTCTACCACCCTTCGGCAGCGACGGAGGAAGATGGTCCTCCGCCTGAAACAGCACAAGAGAAGAAGGCATACAAGAAACGGTGTTTGCAAGCTTTCTTCCAACTCTGTCACTCAGTTTCCGATGGCATTGCTGGAGGGTTGGACAAGTTTGCTGAAGAAGAAAATGCAGCAGAGAACGCATGGCTCTTCATGGAAAAAATATACATGGGGAAGAGTGAGGCAAAGATGGCTGCTACTAGGAAGAAACTTCTATTGCTACGCAAGGAGCCATCAGAGACCGTGGTGGACTATGTGACTCGAGCACGAGGTTACAACGACGATTTGACAGCAATGGGCGTGCCAGAAACAGAGAGGCAAATGATGAGCTATATTATCAGTGGCCTGCCAAGGGATTGGGCATCTGAAAAGGGCACCCTGACTTGCCGTCATCCCACGGACTTGACTGACCTCTTGGATGACTTACAGCAGTTGGAGCTGATCCGAGCGGACGATGAGCGCAAGGATGTCATGGCTGAAAATTCCAGCAGTGACAAACCTGCACTTCTGAATGCAACCGGGACAACAAGGACATTTGGGCCATGTTTCCAGTGTGGAAAGAAGGGCCACAAAGCTGCCGATTGCTACTCCAACCCAAGGAGCAAGAATTTCAAAGGGATGGGAGCAACCGGACAAGGAACCAGCGAAGGAGCAAGTGGAGATGGACAACGGCTGCGAAGCGGGTTTGCTGGAACGTGCAACTATTGCCACAAGTATGGCCACAAGGCAATCTACTGCTACTCCAACCCTACAAGCAAAAACTACAGGGGTGGACAGCAGCAGTACAAACCTCATTCACCTGCAAAAGCCAACATTGCAGAGGCGAACAACGGCGATGAAGACGTGATTCTTGGAGGTGCACACAAGGCCAATGTTGCACGTGCTTCTGGAGCGTGCCTGCTAGCAACAGGGCTGAAGGGACAGGAGTGGTACATGGACAGTGGATGTACCCAACACATGACCAATCAAGAAGGTTGGCTGCAAGATTTCAGAGCTTCTACGGTCCCATATGTGCTGCTGGGAGATGAAGGGCAGCTTCCAGTGAAAGGAGAAGGAGATATGGTGTTACAAGGGGCATATGGAGAGTTAAAGTTGGACAACGTGTTGCTGGTGGACCGATTGACTCTGAATCTACTGAGTCAATCACAGCTGGACAACAGCGGATGCAAGACCTACAGTGACAAGGGGCGCCTATGGGTGTTCGGCCCTGACTGGAAGGTGCTAGCGGAAGGCGCACGCAAGCAAGGGCTGTACGAGATGAAGCTACATGAGAAGCAGAAAGATGGTGCAAGATCTACATACCTTGCTGAACCGGAGGAAGGGAAGACAGCAAGGGACGAGCTTCGTACCATGATAGAGAAGACGCCCATCAAAGAACTCCAGCAGCAAGCTCCTCCCAAGGTAGCAACGGTGACACCAGTGGACGTCAACCTGCTGCACCGAAGGCTGGGGCACGCTGGGCATACGCGCATCAAGGAGTTGATCAAGAAAAACATGGCAGTGGGAGTGAAGGTGACAGAGGATACAGAAAAAGAGCTGAGTTGCACCTCCTGCGTGGAAGGAAAGGCTACCAAGACTTCTCACCCTAAGCATGAGGTTCGGGAGCCATACAACATACTTGACATCGTGGCTGCCGACGTTTGTGGGCCTATGAGGGTGGCTTCCCGACATGGCAGCAAGTATTTTGTTACCTTCACCGACCTTGGCACACGACACACGTGGGTGACGGAGATCAAGAACAAATCTGAAGTGTTCGCAAGCTTCCTCGACTGGAAGGCTGAAGCGGAAAGGCAAAGCGGAAGGAAACTAAAAGTACTAAGGACAGACAATGGTGGCGAGTTCATCAATCAAGATTTTAAGAGCTACTTGAAGTCAAAGGGCATTCGGCGGCAACTAACAGTGCCGCACACTCCTCAACACAACAGCATAGCAGAGCGGTTGAACCGATCTCTACTGGAAAGTGTAAGAAGCATGCTGGCGGATAGCGGACTGCCTTTACACTATTGGGGTGACGCACTCGGCATGGCATGTTGGCTGAAAAATCGACTACCGACTAAGGGACTTGTAGCCGACATCACACCCCACGAGGCGTTCTACGAGCGCAAGCCAAACCTGGAGTTCTTACGTGTATGGGGCTGCATGGTGCAGTACCGGGAGCCGGCGGGACCCGACCACAAGCTCCTACCTCGAACCAAGTGGGGGATCTACTTGGGAATCTGCCCAGAGAGCAAAGGTTGGATTATAAGGGATGTGGAGACAGGCAAGGTGACGGCAACCAGAGATGTCACCTTCTACGAGCTTGACACCTATTTGGAGTGGAAGGGAAGGAAGACGGGGGCTGCAGCTGAGAACAAAAGAGCAACAAAGGAACCGACAGCAGCAGCACCATCTCCGGTGGAGGAGATGACGGAAGTGAATGGCAAGGAAGGAATTGGGGCAGCAAATGATTACACGGAAGATGAAGACTACGACGACTACCCAACTGCAGGGGTGGATTGGGTGTGGGAGGTCCCGGAGCAGCTAGCACCACCCAAGGAACCAGAGGATGAAAGGGAGCGCAACCAGGAAAAGGAAAGAACTGGTGGGATCCATGGAGAGTGTGCTGACCAAGATGAAGCAAAAAATCAGCATGGGCATGATGGAGAGGAAGAAGTGGATGACACTACAAGCTCGGACCACACCAACCCGTGGAAGCTGATCAATTCAAAAAGCAATGACAAGGCAGCAGCAGAAATTGAAGGCCTACTTGAGGAAGGCGCTATACTCATCGGACGGGAACTTGATGAAGACTCTGTGGAGCAAGGGCTAAACAATGGAGCTGTGGCCCAAATGGGTGGAGCTGAAAAGAGGAAAGAAGAATTGGGCAGAGGGAAACGGGTAAAGAAACCCACTCCCCGGTATGCCCAAATCCTCATGACACCATGGAAGGATGTTCATACTCACCTTCTACTCACCATGTCGGCAACCGCACTTGTCTCCAAGGAAAGGAGGAAGGCATACAACCTGCCCTCCGAGCCAATCACAGTTGAAGAAGCGTTGACCGGTCCCTATCGGAAGCAGTGGTGGGCAGCAATACAAGAAGAGCTGAACACACTTGCGGAAAGAGGAACGTGGGAGATGGTGCACATGCCGGCTGGAAGGAACTCAGTGGGAGTTCGCTGGATTTTCAAGATCAAAACTGGAGATATGGGGCAGCTTGAACGCTTCAAGGCTCGACTTGTTGCAAAGGGATATACTCAAGTGGAGGGAGAGGACTACACAGATACCTACGCACCCGTGAGCAAGCTGACCACAGCAAGGACGATGCTGAAAGTCGTAGCGGCACGTGGGTACTTTATGGTTCAACTCGATATCAAGAATGCCTACCTTTATGGCGTCTTGAAGGAAGATGTCTACATGGAGCAGCCGCCAGGTTTTGAGGACGGCACGGACAGAAAATGCAAGCTAATCAAAGCTCTCTATGGGCTGAAACAAAGCCCTAGGGAGTGGTACCAAACCATGGATGCACAGCTGATGAAGGGCGACTTCGTCAAGAGCCAATGTGACCGAGCGTTCTACTGGAAGGGAGAAGGGGAAGAAAAGGTCTTCCTACTGCTCTACGTCGATGACATCCTAGTGGCGGGAGCAAAGGAGGAGAGAGTGGAGGAGGTGTGCGCTCACCTTGCAGCAGTATTCCAAGTGAAGAAGATCCCAAGAGCATCTCTCTTCCTTGGGATGAATCTGGAGCGGAATAAGGAGGAGAAGAAGTTGCTGCTATACCAAAAGAAATACTGCCAAAGGTTGCGGGAGAAGTTTGGAGGGCACGGCACATCAAAAGTGGTGTCAACACCTCTCAGCAGCCTTGCACACAAAGAAGTGGATGTGAAGGCAGAGATTGAGACATGGGGCAGCCAGGAACGAGCACTGAAGGCTTACCAATCTATGGTGGGCTCCGTCATGTATCCCGTCTCCTGCACACGCGTGGATATGGCATATGCAGCAAGTTTCCTTGGGCAAAATGTGTTGCAACCCGAAGGACGCAAATGGAAGGAGATGGAACGGACCATTGCTTACCTCTTGCAACGAGAAGAAGAGGGACTTCTGTTTGAGGGAGGAGAGGAAACCCTAGAACTTGTTGGTTATGCCGATGCCTCACATGCATCGGATAAAGAGACGAGGAGGGGAGCCTATGGTTACGTCTACCTTCTTGGAGGAACGGCCATCATGTGGCAAGCAAAGAAGCTGACCGACATCGCCCTTTCAAGCGCAGAAGCTGAATATATGGCGCTATTTTATGCATGCCAAGAGGGTGTGTGGCTGAGACGTCTACTGCAAGAGATGGGGATCAACATCAACGGTCCTACAACAATCAAATCGGACAGCCAATCAGCCATCGACCTTGCAAGGAACGACAACTGGCACGGACGAACAAAACACATGGACGTCAAGTATCATTGGGTGCGAGAGATGCTGCAGAAAAAGACATTCAAGTTCGTACACGTACGGACAGAAGAGCAGCTCGCGGACTTCCTTACTAAGGTGCTGCCAAAAGCGAATCATGAGCATTGCAAGGACCTTGTTGGTATTCGTACCTTCAATAACTTGCAGGGGAGTAGCGGAGCAGTAATGAAGGCCACAATCCCGAGTGAAGAACGCGGACGAGAAATGATGACGAAATTAGGTCACATGGTGACCACGGGAGCATCCAAATGGGACAGCTAGCGAACCACAGGGGAGGTTGTTAGGGTGGTTCGCCACTGCCCTACCGTCCTATTCCTATGCCTAACGAGGATGCGGCGATGCTAGGACGGTGTGAGGACCGCCCATCTCGTTCCAAGGAAAGTGGTGTTGAAATAGCAAGGCGGATGACAAGGGAAAGAATGACGACGGGAAGAAAAACGGGAATCCTAACTGCAGTGGCGGAAGTGGCGGAACAGCGGTGGAGCTAGGAAAATCAGCAAGGAAGAAATTGAAGAAATCGGTAGAAGAAAACCTAAGAAAATAAGGTGCTTGAGGTTGCTCTAGGTGATGCGTGCGTGCGGGGAAACGGTAGATCTGCTTTCTGTTGCCTTGCAGGAAACTCCAGCCAAGACCAGCGGGAGAAACAAGCTGTACGAAAATTCTCCAACACAGACCCGGAGCGCGTTCAGCTGAATTCCGGAGAACCGAACTCGGGGTCGGTTTCGGACTTGGTGTCGGTTACCGAAATCCGTTTCCGCGGTTGCCAGAATTCCGCGGTTGGCAGAATTCCGAGGTTGCACAGTACACCAGCCGCGTTACGCGAACCGCGCAAGCTTTCTGCCTGCTTATAAATGCTTGTTTGTTTCTTGTTCAAACACAACTCATTTTCAGTGCAAATTCTCCCCTGGAAACTGCTGAAACTTTCTACGTCAACCAAGTCTCTCCAACGTCAGCAGGAGGCACTTGCGATCCTATAGTTCCAACGTAATCCATTCCTACCTATCCACCTATCTGCAAAATAATACTGCTTAGCGAAGGAAAAAGGCTGACAAAATCTCCCGTCATTCCAAAAATGGGCGAAATCTAGGACTGACAAAATAATGTACAGGAAAACGGGAACAATCTAGGTCTGCACAGGAAAACAGGAACAATCTAGGTCTGCATGTTGCAACCCCTGAGGCCGCGATTTGCCTGATTCGGTTGGGTTGGATCGCCTTCGGTTCGTACAAGCTACTCGTTCTCAGGTGAGAGTGTTCTGTTACTCGTACACAGTTCGTTTCCGAACCTTCAAATGTCGTAGAAAATCCCAATTCGGTCGTATTGAACCTTTGCTACAGTCCTCGTGTGACTGGCCTAGGAAAAGAAGTGCGGGAATCCGTGTTCTAAAAAAGATCGTCAGCTAGGGAACGCCAAGAGTGGGTATTTTCCGTGTCGCTTCACCATTCTTGTTCGAGGAGTTTCGTCTCAAGTTCACATCACCGACACTTTGACCGCAGAAGGACGTGCGAAGTCATCCTCAAAACGGTGTGCGGAAACGACCCGAATCACATGTAGGCACTGTTCTGTAAGATTAATAGCAGGTCCAGAGAAAAACAGGTTGCGAAATGCTTGTCAGTTCATTCCGTTTTCACGTGTGGTGCGAAACGCCCCGAACCTCCCAAACTGCAGCGTCCGGTGGAGTTTTCAGTGGAGTTTTCTCTGACCTGTGTGGGTCGCCGTCGTACGAATTTACTGCGACTTTCTGTGCGACTGCGTGTTGGCGTGTGGGCTACGCATAACGACTGCGTGCGACACATGAGTGCCACCTCACCCTAACGAGAAAGTCTGATTACCTAACTAGCTGGCAATCCCCTAGCCTGACACATTAGTTTCCTAGGAGAAAGCTATACGGTGTAACATAATATAATATTAACCTTGGTGCGTGGAGGACAATCCGGCTTGTTCTTGGCGTTCCCCCTGACATCCTAACCTAACCTCGCCTTGAGCGGAGTCAACGTGTAATTGTCGTAGCCAGTCGCTTACCCGCTCAACCTCCCAATATCGCTGTGGATTGGCGACTTTTGAATCGATTCAAAAGTCACCTTGCGGAGTCAGCGTGTATTGGTCGTCGCCAGTCGCTTACCCGCTCAACATCGCTCAATATCGCCGTCGGTTGGCGATTAACGTCGTTCTGACATAGCTTTACTCTCGAATCGACTCGTCGATTGCTGATTAACGTAGTACTGACGTCTCCCATTTATTAACGATTATCGCCGTCCACTATCGGCGTCCACTAGCCCAATCGTCCCGTCTGCTGCTTATAGCCACATTCTTTCCTGCCGACATGCAATCGGGGGGCGGCGAAACTGCTATTGAGTCGAATCGAGAGGAGGTACTATCCGGGGGAGGCGTCACTGCCATCAACCCGACTCGAAGGGAGGCGTTATCCGGGGGAGGCATCACTGCAGAAGCCGAGGAGGGAACGCCGGAGCTCATGATCCCCACGCAACCCCCGGCCATCCGCTTCGCATCTCCTCAATTCCCCATGTTCCTGTATAAACCGCCGGATAAAATCGAGGAAGGGCTGTACCTGGGGAGCCTCAACTCTGCCTCTAATAGGTAACAGACACTGACACTGCACGGCGTTACTGCTTTAACGGTGGAGCCCTTTTTTGCGGTTCTTTACCCTTCATGTCACCCATGCCCTCATCTCCCCCTCCCCCCCTCTCCCCCCCCCCTTCCCCCCCTCCCCTTCCCTTACTGTTGCCCCTAAATCTAAGCAGAAGAGCATTGATGAAGCCTGGGATACAGTTTTCCTTCTTCTTCTTCTTCTTCTTCTTCTTCTTTTCGAGCATCGTTACTTTATCGAAGGGTCATTTTGCCACACCCATACCCGCATGATTTCTCTGTCTCTTTCGGACCAATCACGTGCAGAAACGCACTGGTGGAGCTGGGGATAAAGAGCATTGTGACTGTAGCGAATGTACCTGCATTTCCCCTTCCCCCAAATCATATGCAGAGACGCATTGCTGGAGCTGGGGATCAAGAGCATTGTGACTGTAGCGAATGACACAGGAACGCCTCAGTTCCCTGACACCTTCTCATACACTGTGGTGCACGTGGCTGACGCCATGTCAGTTGACCTCGCCACTCACTTTGACGGCTGCTTCACCGCCATTGAGGAGGGGAGGAAGGCGGGAGGGGTGCTGGTGCACTGTCTAGCAGGTGAGCGGTTGCTAGATGTAGTGTCTAGGGGTTGGTGCACTGTCAAGCAGGTGAGGTGTTGGTTGATGTTGCACAGTCTAGTGAACCCGGAGGCCTTCAGTTCCCCCACATTTTCTCGTGCACAGTTGTGCACATGGCTGATTCGAAGGTGACTGATCTCACTGCTCACTGTGATGGCTACTCTACCGCTATAGGGGAGGGAAAGAAGGCTGGAGGGGTGCTGGTGCATTGTTTGGCAGGTGAGTCGTCCATTTCCTTGGGGCGCAGGCATTATCTTGTGGCTGATCCGATGGTTGTTGACCTTGCTGCTAACGCTTCCCTCTAAGGCGTTCGATTTTCCACCCCATGATTCTCCCTTCCTCGCCCCGCCTGTCCCCACCTCCTGTGCTTGTGATAATCCCCACTACTCCTACTGGTACTACACAGGCACACTGAGGCATGTCACACAGTACCACTATAGTGATTGCATTCAGAATGAGGTATTATATCACACTTCTCTCCGTTCTCGCCTCCTCGTCTGCTATTGTCACACTCAGGCATGTCTCGCAGTGCAACGATAGTGATTGCGTATATGATGAAGACCAAGGGGTGGGACCTGAGGACGAGTCTCTCCCACGTGCGACAGTGCCGGCCAATAGTGCAGCCCAACATTGGGTTCATGCGGCAATTACAGGAATATGAAGTGGCTTTGAAAAATAACGGGAAGCATAAGGGCATGTTTGCAAGATGGTTTTCATAAAAGGCCATGTGGGGTGGTATAAAGATGATTGAATTTCTAATGTTCGAGAACGTGTTTAACCCAGAATGTTGCAGCTGCTTTCATAACTAACCGGATTTGTTCCTATGATCTTCCATTGTTGTGAACTTGTGGTGCACAATTGCCTCATGAGTGCTGTCTCCTATAAGTGATTGATTGGTCTGTAACATGTTGGCTTCAACCCATGCCGTCTCTTGAAATAAAGCTGTTGATAGCGAGTTTTTCGAGGTAGGTCAAGGATTCCTCCAGGGCCTTCCCTGGGTTGATTCCAGGTCAGCTCTGCTCGCTCTTGACGCAACCACAGCCACATCTGCGTCATCCCAGAGAGCCAGCGCAGCAAAATGACTTCCCGCACGAATGCCCGCGGTTCGGAATCCCTGATCCCAAGGTCAATCAGTTTCGCGAGTGAGCGAGTTCAGCGAGATTGGACTTACGAAATCATCGCCAGCCCCAAACGCCACTTATGCCCTGTCGCGAAATATGAATGGTGACGTAACATGTCGCCAAGCGTCGGCGTCATCCCTGGTCAGCAACGTCTTTCTCCTCCTCCCCTCCCTTCCCTTCTGCGCTGTACCTATCCCCACCGATTTTCACAATCAGAAGTGATTTGCTGGGCTGCCATGGTCTTCTGCATCTAGGCTATCTCAGGCCAACTCTTCGCTTATCTTGACTCTTCTCAACAGCTTTGGATCACAAACAAACACTACTCTGGTCAGCAGCACCAAAATTACTGCCCTAGACCCCTCATTTCTTCTCCTGCTGGCCTGTATCACGCTGTTTGCAACGCAAGCTGGGACTGTATATCGGTCGGAAAGCCACCTCCAGAGCTTCTTCTGACGTTTACCAGAGCATTAATCGTCCGATTCCATACCGTATTATCGTACAATGGCACTTTCCGTGCAGTGCTGTAGCAGCACGGGGAAAATATTCACACACAACACCGTATTAGTGACCGACCATCACGGATCATGCGTCCATGTCCGTACTAGCACTACTAGGTCTGTTAGTAGCACACCAGCCGAGGTCTGTCGCTCCGAACCGGTACCACTACGCTTGCAAGGAGTCTTCCGGGGGACCTCCGCGGGTTCGCGCGCAGCTCCGCGGAAGGCGCGGCTGGCGGAACTGCTGACGGTCAGCGCATTCTCTTCCGCGGGTCTTCCGCGAGGCCAGTCGGGAGTTCCAGTGGCGGAGATTTCGGCGGGGAGGTCGTTCTTATTCCGCGGGTCGTCCTTATTTCATCACGACTCATCCTCGGGTTTTCTTCCGCTGGGAGTCGTCGCGAAATGCGGCCCCGCTGTTCGCCAACCAATGAAAACTCTCCGCGCATCCGCGGATCGCTCGTCACCTGCAGGTAGCGAAAATGTTGCAGACGCTACATGAAACTGCATACATTCCACGTCTTATAATGTGCTGGATTACGATAAAACCGAAAATATCTCCCTCCGTCGCTGCTCCCTCCATTCCTGCTTGAAACAATTGCCCGTACACTCCATACTCTCTATAAACGTTTGTCTGCCATAAAGAAGCTGTGGAATAATAACTTCTTTTCGTTTTGACCCAGTCCTATCCGAGAACGTACCTTCCAGGAAAGAGCAGCTCGCATTGCTGGCGAGTAGCAGCGCATCTGAGCCGTTCGATCTGCTGGTGATCGGCGGGGGGGCGACGGGCACGGGCGTGGCTCTTGACGCCGTGACTCGCGGACTGCGAGTGGCGCTGGTGGAGAGAGATGATTTCGCTAGTGGCACATCGTCTAAGAGCACAAAGCTGGTGCACGGAGGTAAGTAAGCTCGTCCATAGAAACACGAGTGCGGTGGGGTGGCTCTTAGCGAGTGGCGCTGGTGGAGCGAGACGGCTTCGCTAGTGGCACATCCTCTAGAAGCACGAAGCTGGTGGACGGAGGTATGTGTCACGACTCACGAGCACAGGGGGGTAGCTCGCTGCGAGTGGCGCTGGTGGGGCGAGACGACCTCGCTAGTGGCACATCGTCTAAGAGCACGAAGCTTGTGCATGGAGGTGCGTCGAACTCGCTTCACGCTACGCCCTGCTAGCTTTAAGTTGCCGCCATTTCTAGAAACAACAGGCTTGGGTCTGTTCGTGGAAGTGATTTACCTGACATAAGAAACAGAACTGTTCCTTCCTGGTGATGCGTGAGGAGTCCATTTTTGAGGCGCCTCAAAAACAGACTCCTCACGCCTGGTGATTGTTTCTCTTTTTCTCGTAATCCCATAAACACGCCAACCCCTGTTTGAGGCCACCGTCTTTGCCACCTGCTACTCATGATTCAAAGTCCTCAGAATATCTTCATCATGCCCTCCCTCTTATACCCCTTATAAGGCGTTCGCTACCTGGAAAAGGCGTTTCTCCAAGCCGACCTCGCCCAGCTGAAGCTCGTCTTCGAGGCTCTTGCCGAGCGTGCCACTCTGCTTCGGAACGCGCCGCACCTGGCCTGGCCCCTGCCGATCCTCATGCCGTGCTACGACTGGTGGGAGGTGCCGTACTACTGGGCTGGGCTCAAGGCGTACGACCTTGTAGCGGGTACAAGCATGCTCCAGCTGTCAAGGCTCGTTTCGGCTGACGAGGCGTGCAAGATGCTGCCTGCACTGGCTAAGAAAGCAAAAGGTACTCTGCACTGCAGTATCAGCATGGGCATAAGCATGGGAGCATGGGCATTGGCATGAGAGCATGGGCATAAGCATGGGAGCATGGGCATGGGCATGGGCATGAGAGCATGGGCATGGGCATGGGCATGGGCATGGGCATGGGCATGGGCATGGGCATGGGCCACACCCATCCCTGTTCCCCGCTTCCTCCCCCCCCCCCCCCCCCCGCTCAAGCTTCACGAATCTGTATTTCCAATGCAAATGGCCGCGCTCTTAAAGCCGCTCTTCTTCACACAGTGGCCAGATGAATATTGCTCGCCTCAACGTGACGCGTGGTGTGCCCCACCCACACTTCTCCACTACCCCTTTACCCCACTACCCCCCAACACTCCCCACATTCCCGTGCAGACGGCCGCACGCTTAAAGCCGCCCTCCTGTACTACGACGGCCAGATGGACGACGCTCGCCTGAATGTGGCGCTTGCCACGTCAGCAGCGCGAGCTGGCGCCGCGGTGGTCAACCACGCAGCCGTGACGTCATTGCTCTTCAGCGGTGGCAGTGCTGACGTCAGCAGCAGGAGCAGCGGCAGCATGGGGAAGGGCAGGGAGGGGAGGAGGGTGGTGGGAGCGGTTGTGAGGGATGAAGTGGGGGGAGGGGAGGAGGTGGAGGTGTTTGCTCGAGTGGTGGTGAACGCTACTGGCGTGTTCTGCGACCGGTGAGTATAGGGTGGGGAGTGGGGGGAGTGATGGTGATGCGGTTACATGGGATGGGGATGGGGGGCTGGATGGGAAGGGATGGGAAGGGATGGGAAGGGATGGGAAGGGATGGGAAGGGATGGGAAGGGATGGCATGGGATAGGCAGTGAGGAATGCTACTATCGTGTTCTGCGTCCAGTGAGACAGGGATGGGGGCGGTTGGTGGGATGGAGGCGTTTGGTGGGATGGGGACGGTTGGCGGGATGGCGGGATGGTGGGATGGTGGGATGGCGGGATAGCGGGATGGCGGGATGGCGGGATGGTGGGATGGTGGGATGGCCGGATGGCCGGATGGCGGGATGGCGGGATGGCGGGATGGTGGGAGGGTGGGATGGCGAGATGGTGATGATAGGGTGGCGGCGATGGGGACGGGGGAGGGGAGGAAATGGAGGTGCTTGCACGAGTGGTGGTGAAGAACGCCACAGGGGTGGTCTGCGACTCTGCGACTGGTGAGTATAGGGTGGGGAATGGTTGGAATGAGGTGCGATGGGGATGAGGCTGGGAGGATGGCATGGGTTGTGGTGGGCGCTTCAAGGGGTGCTTCTGTGACCAGTGAGCCCAGGATAGGGGGGTCGATTGGGTGTTGTTGATTCAACGATGATATGATAGGGGGTCGATGGGGTTGTACTAGAGTAGTGGGGCAATTGGGTGGTGTTGGATTTTGAACACAATGGTGGTGACTGCTATTCTGGTCCTCTTCTTTGACAGTCTCTCCCCTCTCGATCTCTCCTCACTCTGTTTTTCCCACCCCCCCTTACTTTGCTCCTCAACCCCTCTCTCCCCCTCCTCACTCCTCTCTCTCCCTTTCCCCTCTCCTCCCTTTCCCCCACTTACACACCAATCAGAATTCGCCAGCTGGCGGACCCCTCTCTCCTGCCGTCTGTGGTAGCTTCCAGTGGGGCCCACTTAGTGCTTCCACCTGTTTACTTGGGGGAGGGAGAAGGGAAACTGCAAGACAAGAAGAAGAACGGGGAAAGCCGATACAGGGAGGGGGAAGGGGAAAGGCTTGACAGGGGGAGGGGAGGAGGAGACATGGGCATGGATGAAAGCGGCAGCGGAAGTGGGCTGGATGGTACAGGAGTGGGGCTGATTATACCGCGCACGAGTGACAACCGGGTGATGTTCATGCTGCCGTGGCTGGGCCGGGTTGTAGCGGGCACCACAGACGGGCCAGCTCAGATTGTGGATTGCCCTCTTCCCAGCCAAGAGGAGATTGGATTCATACTCGACACGCTCGGCAACTACCTGGATGTCGAGGTACAGTAGTAAAAAACAGTTCCTAATATAATGTACTAGATGTACAGTTATTTTAAAACAGTTCCTACTGTACATTACTAAATGAACTTCGGCTCAAAAGTCGCCTCGTACAGTACTATGAGCCACATGTGTACCACGTTTCTTGACATCGCATGCCCTTTCATACCCTTTCCACCCACCTCCCCACACTGGGCCCAGTGATATGACCCACGGGTTGAACCCTCTTCCCCACACCAAGCGTTCTCAACCCTCCTTCTGCGATCCCCCCATCCCCCTTCTTCTTTCTTCCATCCCCTTTCTGCAATCCCCCCATCCCCCTTCTTCCCCCCATCCCCCTTCTTCTTTCTTCCATCCCCTTTCTGCAATCCCCCCATCCCCCTTCTTCCCCCCATCCCCCTTCTTCCCCCATCCCCCTTCTTCTTTCTTCCATCCCCTTTCTGCAATCCCCCCATCCCCCTTCTTCCCCCCATCCCCCTTCTTCCCCCCATCCCCCTTCTTCTTTCTTCCATCCCCTTTCTGCAATCCCCCCATCCCCCTTCTTCCCCCATCCCCCCCCCCCATCCCCCTTCTTCCCCCCATCCCCCTTCTTCCCCCCATCCCCCTTCTTCCCCCCATCCCCCTTCTTCCCCCCATCCCCTTCTTCCCCCCATCCCCCTTCTTCCCCCCATCCCCTTCTTCCCCCCATCCCCCTTCTTCCCCCCATCCCCTTCTTCCCCCCATCCCCCTTCTTCCCCCCATCCCCCTTCTTCCCCCCATCCCCCTTCTTCCCCCCATCCCCCTTCTTCCCCCCATCCCCCTTCTTCCCCCCATCCCCCTTCTTCCCCCCATCCCCCTTCTTCCCCCTCCCCCCCCCCATCCCCTTTCTTCCCCCCATCCCCCTACCCCCTATTCCCCTCCTGCCTCCTCCTCCCCTCCCTTGCACTGGCCAGGTGCATCAAGGGCATGTTCTATCTGCATGGAGAATTTTGAGTCTACTTGAAATACACTCGAATTGAATCCCACCCCTCTCCCCACCTCCCCTCCCCCCCCTACACACACTGCGCTGGTTAGGTGCATCAAGGGGATGTTCTATCTGCATGGAGCGGCCTCCGACCACTGGTCACAGGCCACGTGCCATCCACCAGCCCTGCCACGTCAGCATCTGCGCCATCACTCGCGTCGGAAGCAGCGTCGACCGAGGGAGTGGTTCGCGAACACGTGGTGTTTTCGGACGCTAGTGGCCTGGTAACCGTTACGGGCGGGAAATGGACCACTTATAGGAGCATGTCGGAGCATACAGTAGATTATGCGATACAAGCCGGGAGGTTAAAGTCGTATTTAAAGGCGAGCAAATCACAGACCCGAGGGCTGAAGCTGACTGGAGGAGACTCGTTAGCAGTAGCAAATCAGGACGGAACAGTTGCGGGTGTGGCAGCAGCAAAGGGAGAAGCATTGAAGGCAGACGAATCAGCAGCCATGGGAGCAGCAGTGGCGGCAGGCTGGGATCCGGCAGTTTTGCGACACCTGGCGCAATCTTACGGGTCTCGGGCCCATGCCGTGATAGCCATTGCACAGGTACGCTCCCTCTGTCGAATGATCTCTGTCTAGCAAGCACTATCAACCGTACCTGACACTAAAGACCTGATCGGTTACCCTTCACTCCCCTTTCTCATCCTCTCCAATCTCCTCGGAATTATTATTGCTGTATCTCTTCTCCCCCCTACCCTTTTCTCCTCCTGACTCCTTACGCCTTACAGTAAATTACCATTCATCCCCTCCCTCATCCTCACCAGTCTCCCCAGCATAGTAATTTCTGCCTCTCTTCGTCCACCCTGGTGCTCCTTTCTCCCGCCCGCTCTTCCTCCAGGCAAAAGGCCTCTCCAACCGTTTAGCCCCGCCCTTTCCCGACATCGAAGCCGAAGTTATTTTCGCTGCCCAGAACGAGTTCTGCGCCACTGCCTCTGACTTCCTCTGCAGGCGCTCCCGCCTCGCCTTCCTGGACGCTTCCTCCGCCAGGCTGGCGCTGCCACGTGTCGTGCAGCTATTGGGCAAGGAGCTTGGGTGGAGCAAGGGGAGGTGTGAGAGGGAGAGGAGGGGTGCTCTTGCTGTTATCAGCGAATTTGGTGTGCCTGCTGGTAGGAGGGATCGTTACGATGGGGAGATTAGGGAAGGGAGGATAGAGCGTGAGGGTGATGGTGATGATGGTGGGAGGATGGGTGTCAGCAAGAAAGAGGTTGCTGGGTCAGTGGTACGAAGTGGTTGAGAGGGGTTGGTTGTGGGCTGTCCAACACCTGACATATGGGAAACACATTATATTTGTATCACCTAGGCAAGGACAAGTGCTAAGGTATATTAATATGCTGTTATCAGCTCTAGCCTTGCATGCCGCCGTTGTAATATGCTGTAAATTGCCCTTGATTTGTGCCCTATAATACTGGTAACATGCACAACTTGAACCTGCAAGTCAATTTGCAACAACCATTTTCTTCATTTCAATAAAATAGTCAGAGTAGGAAACAGGAAGGGGAAGCGGACACGGCAAGAGTAAGCCCCGTTCTGTTGGTGGGTGATAGCCCCACTGACCACATGCCTGTGCTGCACCGTCTTTCCTCCCACTCCTGCCCCTGGCACCGGCCATACAGCCAGCAGCAGGGCTCAGGGCAGCCACGAAAATTTCCACAGCTGCCCGTCTCAGCCCACAGCCACAGAAGCAGCTGTCAGGGGAGGGAAGGTGGGGGGTTCTGCCCTTACGGGCGGGCACTTTCTGCCAGGTCGGTCGGGGACTTTCGCACGGCACTCATGATAGCAGCTCAGCAGGTGACTGTGCAACTCGTTAGAGTCACACATGGGATGAGGGGCAGGCCAAAAGTGTGGCCGCCGCCCGCTAGCACCCCTCACTGCTTTTGAAGGGATTGGCCGAGTGTGGTCCTTCGCCGGGCCCGCTGCCCCTCCTGTCGGTAAATTCTGTCTGCTTCTCCTCCTCCCTCTGCTACCATGTCAACACGGGAGGAGTCAACTCAGCTCACATCGGAAACACCTAAAGTGAAAGAAGAAAAAGCCTGCCATCCAACTATTTACAGCTACTTGCCAGCTCCACTCCACCACCACTCCCCCACTCCACCACCACTCCCCCACTCCCCAACTACCCCACTCCCCCACTCCTCCACTCCAGCGACACCCTGCTGCAGAGGATGGATTAGCTTCTCTCCCAGATCTCCCCCCTCCTCCCCTTCCCCTCCTTAAGACGCTCTACAGGTGCTTGTTGAGCCAGTCGACCGTCCGCGACCAAGCCAGCTCCACCGCCGCCTCGTCGTGACCAGGTAGGCCCATCCCCCCCTTGCGCTTCCTTCCCACACCCCCCTATCCCCCCCCCCCAACCCCCCCCACTCCCCGCTCCCCCAAGTGACAGGGTCGGTTTACAAGTGCTTGTTGAGCCAGTCGACCGTCCGCGACCAGGCCAGCTCAACTGCTGCTTCGTCGTGACCAGGTAGGCCCATCCCCTCCTTGCGCTTCCTCGCTTCTGGCGACGCGTTCACAAACGCGTGGCCCTGACCGGGGTAGATGTGCACCTCATGCGGCACGCCCGCCGCCTCGAGACGCTTCTCCAACGCACGCGCGGCCTGCATCCGGTAACGGAAGGGGGAGGCGAGGGGGGGGGGGGGGAAGAAGGAGGAGAGGGGGGGGACGAGGGGGATCAAGCAGGAGCTGAGGAAACGCGTTCACAAACGCGTGGCCCTGACCGGGGTAGATGTGCACTTCATGCGGCACGCCCGCTGCTTCCAACTTCAACAGGAATCTAAAGAAATACTTCAAAACCAAAACAAAATGTCCTTCATATTTCAATTATTTGCCGTAACTATTTTGAAGGTTCGAGGGCAGCAAAATGTCTGACCTCCACGTCCGAGAAGCCCTTGAAGTTGTCGAGCTCGCCGAAATGCGCCTGCACGGGGACCTTGGCCTTGGCATCCTCCTTAAGAGCTGCCTCGGGCACGCCGTAGAAGGACACGGCTGCGGACACCGAGTCGACGTTGATCGCGGCCATAAGAGAAAGAGCGCCTCCCATGCAGAACCCGATCACGCCGACCTGCGTGCGGAAAGAGAACGGAGCGAGGAACAACCGATCGCAAGAAGTGAGATTGAAATCGACTCATAATTTTCCGAGTGGACGTTGGTCGCGGCCATTAGAGAAAGCGCGCCGATTGATGCAGAACCCGATCACGGCGACCTGGGAGAAAGCGAAGGTTAGGCAAAGTACAATCTTAGAAAAAAGGCGATCACGCCGACTTGTTTGAGACACAAACGCATGATGCATAATCATGCGTCATGTGGCAAGAACCGCCGGATCTGACAGCGTAGGCCACAGCAGCGTGCCCCTCCGAGCAATCAGCACTAATTTAGTAACCGCTTGCAAAACCCCCTAAAATCCATTCTGTCTCCTGAATATTAAAGAGCAAGCGCGGAAGACACATAATCTGAAGAAAGGAATTACCGCACCGTGTTTTTGAGAATTCTCAAAGACACCCTACACATTCGGAAGACCACGCGCGGAAAACACACCTTCTTGGAGCCGTGCGCCTGGAGCCATTTGGCGGAGGCGCCGATCTCCTTGATGGCGGTGGGCCAATCCAAGCCGTCCATTAGATGCTGCGCCTCCGCGGTCTCCAGAGCCACCTTGCCCTTGTACAGGCTGGGAACCACAGAGAAGCAAGATCAAGAGAAGGGACGGAAAAAACGTTTTTTTTTTTGCGGCGCCTCAAAAAGCCTCCTCCGCGCCGCGGACAGGAACGTCACAAAAAAAAAAAAAAACAAACAAACAAAAAACGGTCAGCAACGTTAACATGAACGTGCCGCAGAGCAGATAACAGAGATTAAGTGGTTTTTTTCTAGAATTTTCGAGACTAAGTGCAATGACAACTCAGATCCAGCAAAATTACTACCCAACGAGAAAGTGAAAAAAAAAAAAACCACTGGAGTAAATCTAAACATTCGGTAAAAAAGAAAAGAAAAAAGAAAGAAAAATACAGTGACAGCGGACAATGAGGAAGGGCGAGAAAACCCAGCTACAAGAAAATCGTACGATTCGGCACTCACTCGGCTACCAATGTGCGGACGCCCTTGGCGGCGAGGCTGACCGCGTGGTTCTTGATGTCGTAGGCCACGCCCCACCACTCCTGCCGCGAGGTGGCTCACGAGCCGCACACTGACTCTACTCAATAATCGGTACCGTCGGTACTCACTCGGGGATCAAAGTGCGGAAGCCCTTAGCGGCGAGGCTGAGCGCGTGATTCTTGATCTCGTAGTCGACGCCCCACCATTCCTGCAGCACCACCACGCCCGGCTTGCCTTCCTCACCCGCCACGAACGCATCGAAGGTCTGCACAAGGAAAGGAAATAAAAATCGGAGACCGAAACACGGATAGTTGAAACATTCGGAAAACTCACAGAATAGGCCAAGAAAAAAAAAAACGGAGGGGAATGGAAAAACGCAGCAGAAGTTGAACACACGAAAATCAACAAAAGAATCAACAAAAATACCGGCATCCTGAGAGGGAGGAACGACGAGGGCTTACCTCGACGCCATCGCCGCTGATCTGCACCTTCTCCAGGGTCGCCATGGGAGACGGCAGAGCCGAGCAGTTAGCTGCAGCGGCGTGAGGTTCAGGGGTCTCTCTCGGGAGATGGATGTGTGAGAAACAAGGTGTTCAGGAAATGTCCAGCCATATTTATAGTCGCCGTCCCCGACCTTGGGATCTGCTGAGGGATAACGTCGCAGACGTATTATTTAGATAATTATTTTATAGACAAGCACATGTACAGCTCTCATAGCTCAGTTGGTTAGAGCACCCGTTTAGTAAGCGGGAGGTCTTGAGTTCAACTGTCAATGAGAGCATTTTCGTTCTCCCTTCAATTTTCCCCTTCACTCTCTTTCTCCCTCGCGCCTTTTATCGGATCTTCAGGGAAATTCCGGAGCGAGTGTCAAACCCGAGGTCGACCCGCGGCCGGAGGAGCCGCGGGTTGTCACAACCTAACTGCGGGTTTTATATTTTTGACGGTGCAGCGGCTGCACAGTCGCGAACTGTCGCAGGAGGAGGGTTGCTTGCGACTATACTGGCCGAACTTTGCGAGTCCACCAGAAACGTACAAGTTTATGATTGGTTGAAGTTCATTTGCGCGACATTGCTAGTTGTTCGGTTTGACAGCTGACTGGTTAGAGCCGTCATTTTTTCGCAAGACCCGAGGCAATAATTTTCCAGTGGCTAAACCCACGGGTCTAACACTCGCTGCGGAATCCGCCCTCGCATCCCCAAAACTCCGCCATTGTGTCGTCCCAATCGCCTGGCACAGATTACAAAAACCGGGTCTTTCGCCACATCACTTGACACGATGCATTGCCACGTCAGAGCCACTGTGGCTCCGTCTGCATTCTCCTTGCGGACGGGTTTTCTCGAGTCCCGACGGCTTGACACGTGTAAAAATCGACGATCGACAATCCCCATTGTACATGTCCGGCGCGCGGTCGATGATAGGAGAGTAGTCGCCGTGAAACTGACACGCCAGTGCGGCTCGGCAGGGAATAATAAAGCCAAGGCGACACACCTGGTTCCCTCCGCCGAGCTCAGCCGATTAGCGTTTTCCGGCTCGCTTTTGCCGTCTTCGGCGCCGCAATTGTCGCCGTCAGGAGCGCGGAGGAGACACGTGGCAGCTCAAGCGGGGCTGGACGACACGTACTGGATCTCCGTGCTGCAGGCCGTGGGCGTGGGTGAGTTCAATGTGCCGTGGGTGGGGATGGGTCACGCGCGGTGGGAATGGGTCTTATTCGTTCGTACTGGATCTTCGTGCTGCAGGCCGTGGGCGTGGGTGATTCAATGGGCCGGGGGTGGGGATGGGTCACGCTCGGTGGGAATGGGTCATTGGTTCGTACTGGATCTCCGTGCTGCAGGCCGTGGGAGTGGGTGAGCCGCTACAGGCCGTGGGAATGGGTCATGCTGTTTTCGAATGGGTCACGTTGGGTGCGAATGGGTCATGTGGGTTCGACTGAGAGTCAAAGCTCAAAAGAGCAGTGCGAGTGGGTAAGTTGCAGCTTAGGGCCGTGGGAGCCTTGGGAGTGGAGTTGTGGGGGAGGAGTCGTGAGGCACGGGAGTAGACGCAAAAGTTATTCCCGAGGAAGTATTGTAGTGTAGTGTGTCGGGTCAAATAAGAGGTAATATTTTCCCACCTTTCATATCCTCTTTCCCTTGCCATCTTCCTCTTTCACTTCTCCCCCTTCACCATGCTCCGTTATTCTCTCACTTGTTCCCATCTGCCAAATCCCACTCCCCTTCTTTCGTTACCTTCTTTTTGTGCTCTTCTCCTCTCCCTCGTGTTCCCTCAACCATAACCACAGGCGGCGTCTTTTGAGGCGCCTCAAAATCCTTTTTGTGGTCTTCTTCTCTCCCTCGTGTTCCCTCAGCTATAACCACAGGCGGCACCTTTTGAGGCCCCTCAAAATCCTTTCTGTGGTCTTCTCCTCTCCCTCGTGTTCCCTCAACCATAACCACAGGCGGCGTCTTTTGAGGCGCCTCAAAATCCTTTTTGTGGTCTTCTTCTCTCCCTCGTGTTCCCTCAGCTATAACCACAGGCGGCACCTTTTGAGGCCCCTCAAAATCCTTTCTGTGGTCTTCTCCTCTCCCTCGTGTTCCCTCAACCATAACCACAGGCGGCGTCTTTTGAGGCGCCTCAAAATCCTTTTTGTGGTCTTCTCCTCTCCCTCGTGTTCCCTCAGCTATAACCACAGGCGGCGTCTTTAGAGGCGCCTCAAAATCCTTTTTGTGGTCGTCTCCCCTCCCTCGTGTTCCCTCACCCATAACCACAGGCGGCGTGGGAGTGGGACAGTGAAGAGTGCAATCATTGCCATCTTTTTGTTTCTCCTCTCTCTCTCTCTCTCTCTCTCTCTCTCTCTCTCTCTCTCTCTCTCTCTCTATCTCTCTCTCTCTCTCTCTCTCTCTCTCTCTCTCTCTCTCTCTCTCTCTCTCTCTCTCTCTCTCTCTCTCTCCTGTTCCCTCAGCTCTAGCCACAGGCGGCGTGGGAGTGGTGGTGGGGCTGCTGCTGCGACTGAAGATATGGGAGGACGCCAAGAGGGAGGTGAGAGGGTCTAGGGACGATGCGTTATGCATATGGTATGCACGTTATAGGCTGCTGCGACTCAAGATCTGGGAGGACGCCAAGAGGGAGGTGAGTGAGAGGGCTGCAAGGTGCACATGATTTTTTGTTGTGTGCACATGGTAAGTGGGAGTGCGAGTGGGAGTGGGATTGGGGCTGCTGCTGCTGACTCAAGCTCTAGGAGGACGCCAAGAGGGAGGTACGTACGAGGGTATTTGCATCATATGTTTGCATATGGTAGGCAACGGAAACACTCTGCTTATTGGTTGTTGGGGAGGAACCAAAGGTGAGTTCATTATAGTACCTCGAGGTCCTTTTACAAAAAAAATGAAATCATGCTTAAGTACGTGCTCATACATAGGCTCTAGAGTAACACTTTTTAAGAAGACGATTTCACGCTCTATTGAATTGTGAGTACAACGCAGGTTGCTCGTGTGTTGGCAGAGGGACGACTGGAAGAGGAGGTAGCAGTGATGCTGCAGCTGCAGGAGGGCAGGGAGGGGAGGCGGCAGATGCAGGCCGAACCGAACAGGCGCTCAAGTAACATACCTAAAAATGAACTCTTCCTCTCTTTAATGAAATGTGATTGTAACGCAGGTGGCTCGCTTGGAGGCGGAGGGACGACTGGAGGAGGAGGTAGCAGTGGTGTTGCAGCAGCTGGAGAAGCAGGAGGGCAAGGAGGGGAGGCGGCAGGTTCAGGCCGAACAGGTGCTCAAGACATCAGTCGATGGTGATGGTGATGGAGATGGTGGTGTGGGGAGTGAGAGGAAGAATGCTGCTGCTGCTGGTGCTGGAGGGGAGGAGTCTGGTGTAGCAGAAAGTGAAGATGGAAGCGGCGGCAGCAGCAGCAAGGCTGCAGAAGCACCAAAGAGAAACCGGCCTGTTCGAGTGGAGTAGCATGTGTTCGTGGCGTTGTGGTACAGTAGCCGTAGGTGTTGGGTTGGGTGTAGTGCAGTAGTCATAATGCGCTCAACATCTGGTACTCAGAATTTGATTTCACACCATTTTGTTCTTTGGTGTGTTGTGACCTATACGGTTTTTCGTTAGCAGATTTCACACTTGGCGAAAACATTGCATGCTCAGAAGAACGTTGTAGTAAAATCACGCAGATGGTCATTTCGAAATCTCTTTGACTTTTATACGGTTTCTGGTACTTATTTCTGTTGTTGGTTTTGTAGCGTGTTACGTATGGATCTTCGCACGTGAGTTTCGATTGGGTGCGAAGCGAGGGAAATTCGAGTTGCTGATTCTCGCAATCCCGATGATCTCGAAGCTCACACCAGCGCAACCTTACTCCCATGCGTTTTGTTCGGTTCAATGAGTTTTTACGGGATCTGATACGGTTCTCCTCAGGAAACACCACACCCTCAGCTTTTATCAGCTGTACTTTCCTTCCCCAGTCCCCTTCTCGGATTTCTCTCTTCACTTTCGTTCCATCACGAGTTGGGTACAGCATAACGATACGCTTGAGTACAAAACGAGCGCGTACGGCATGCAAGCATATGATGATGCAGTCAACGCGATGAAATGGTACACGAATGCTTCTGCGACGGATTCAGCAAAAGAAAATGGTATGGCTGATGCTTGGGGGATGATTGCACATTGAGGAATGACACTCAGGACAACATTGCAGGTAAATAGTACAAAAGATTTAAATATTGTAACAAATTATTGCTCAAGTATACTTGCTTACACAGAACACTCATTGAAAAACTGCATTCAATACTGCTTCCTAGAGTTATCATATAAACATACGTCGTGGAGAGATCGCGTTGCCTCTTCGCTCACTCCTAGTGCCGATGGGTGTAGTAAATGGGAGCTTGAAGTGTGACAGCTTGAAAATGGCAACTGTAAGAAGGGTAACATAGGGAAGTAAGACGCATGACACCATACAAAGCTACAATAATGACGAATGCAGTGGATCCGTGACAGATGCTGATCGCAAAAAACGAGGACCAAACACACCAGCATTGAGATATCCATTCAGGGCACACAAAAAAAAACGCGAAAGCAAAGAAAGGAATAGAAGCTACATACTCAATAATGGGAAACACGTATATATAACAAGAGGCAAGGGTGCTGAATACTGGGAATCTCCTAGTTATCAAACTTCACTTGAGAACAGGGGCGATTTCCCTTTGATATTCCCTCGTTACCTCAACAGGTGTGGAGGTATGGAGGTAAAGAGGTGTGTGGAGGTATGGAGGTATGGAGGTTTGGAGGTGTGTAGGTATGGAGGTATGGAGGTATGGAGGGGTGGAGGTGTGGAGGTATGGAATGGGGGTGTGGAGGTGTGGATGTGTGGAGATATGGAGGTATGGAGGTGTGTGGAGGTATGGAGGTGTGGAGGTGTGGAGGTGTGGAGGTATGGAGGTTTGGAGATGTGTAGGTATGGAGGTGTGGAGGCATGGAGGGGTGAAGGTGTGGAGGTATGGACGTGTGGAGGTATGGGGGTGTGGAGGTGTGAACGTATGGACGTGTGCACGTGTGGGAGTGTGGAGGTGTGGAGGTATGGAGGTATGGAGGTGTGTGGAGGTATGCAGGTGTGGAGGTGTGGAGGTACGGAGGTGTGGAGGTATGGAGGTGTGGAGGTGTGGAGGTGTGTGGAGGTATGGCGAGATGGAGGTATGGAGGTATGGAGGTGTGTGGAGGTATGAAGGTGTGGAGGTGTGGAGGTACGGAGGTATGGAGGTGTGTGGAGGTATGGAGGTATGGAAGTGTGGAGGTATGGACGTGTGGAGGTATGGGGATGTGGAGGTGTGGAGACGTCGAGGTATGGAGGTGTGGAGGTGTGTGGAGGTATGGACGCATGGAGGTGTGGAGGTATGGACGTGTGGAGGTACGGGGGTGTGGAGGTGTGGAGGTGTGGAGGTATGGAGGTGTGGAGGTGTGTGGAGGTATGGAGGCATGGAGGTGTGGAGGTATGCACGTGTGGAATAAGGGGGGTGTGAAGATATGGAGGTGTGGAGTTATGGAGGTATGATGGTGTGGAGGTGTGTGGAGGTATGGAGGAATGGAGGTGTGGAGGTATGGACGTGTGGAGGTATGGGAGTGTGGAGGTGTGGTGGTGTGGAGGTATGGAGGTGCGGAGGTGTGTGGAGGTATGGAGGCATGGAGGTGTGGAGATGTGGAGGTATGGAGGTATGGAGGTGTTGAGGTGTGTGGAGGTATGGAGGCATGGAGGTGTGGAGGTATGGAGGTGTGGATGTATGGGGGTGTGGAGGTGTGGAGGTATGGAGGTGTGGAGGTGTGTGGAGGTATGGAGGTATGGAGATGTGGAGGTATGGACGTGTGGAATAAGGGGGGTTTGAAGATGTGGAGGTGTGGAGGTATGGAGGTTTGGAGGTATGGAGGTGTGGAGGTGTGTGGAGGTATGGAGGCATGGAGGTGTGGAGGTATGCACGTGTGGAGGTATGGGAGTGTGGAGGTGTGGTGGTGTGGAGGTATGGAGGTATGGAGGTGTATGGAGGTATGGAGGTGTGGAGGTGTATGGAGGTATGGAGGTGTGGAGGTATGCACGTGTGGAATAATGGGGGTGTGAAGTGTGGAGGTATGGAGGTATGGACGTGTAGAGGTATGGGGGTGTGGAGGTATGGAGGTGTGGAGGTATGGAGGTTTGGATGTGATTGGAGGTATGGAGATATTGAGGTGTGGAAGTATGGACGTGTGCAATAATGAGGGTGTGAAGATGTGGAGGTGTGAAGATATGGAGGTATGGAGGTATGGATGTATGGTGGTGTGGAAGTGTGTGGAGGTATGGAGGCATGGAGGTGTGGAGATGTGGAGGTATGGAGGTATGGAGGAGTGGAGGTGTGTGAAGGTATGGAGGCATGGAGGTGTGGAGGTATGGACGTGTGGAGGTATAGGGGTGTGGAGGTGTGGAGGTGTGGAGGTGTGTGGGTGTGGAGGTATGTGGAGGTATGGAGGCATGGAGGTGTGGAGGTATGGACGTGTGGAGGTATGGGGGTGTGGAGGTGTGGAGGTGTGGAGGTGTGGAGGTATGGAGGTGTGGAGGTGTGGAGGTATGGAGGTGTGGAGGTGTGTGGAGGTATGGAGGTATGGAGGTGTGGAGGTATGGACGTGTGGAATAATGGGGGTGTGAATATGTGGAGGTGTGGAGATATGGAGGTATGGAGGTATGGAGGTATGGTGGTGTGGAGGTGTGTGGAGGTATGGAGGCATGTAGGTGTGGAGATGTGGAGGTATGGAGGTATGGTGGTGTGGAGGTGTGTGGAGGTATGGAGGTATGGAGGTGTGGAGGTATGGACGTGTGGAATAAGGGGGGTGTGAAGATGTGGAGGTGTGGAGGTATGGAGGTATGAAGGTATGGAGGTGTGTGGAGGTATGGAAGCATGGAGGTGTGGAGGTATGGACGTGTGGAGGTATGGGAGTGTGGAGGTGTGGTGGTGCGGAGGTATGGAGGTGTGGAGGTGTGTGGAGGTATGGAGGTATGGAGGTGTGGAGGTATGCACGTTTGGAATAAAGGGGGTGTGAAGATGTGGAGGTGTGGAGGTATGGAGGTATGAAGGTGTGGAGGTATAGACGTGTGGAGGTGTGGAGATGTGTGGAGGTATGGAGATGTGTGGAGGTATGGAGGTATGCAGGTGTGGAGGTATAGACGTGTGGAGGTATGGGGGTGTGGAGGTGTGGAGGTATGGAGGTATGGAGGTATGGATGTATGGTGGTGTGGAGGTGTGTGGAGGTATGGAGGCATGGAGGTGTGGAGATGTGGAGGTATGGAGGTATGGAGGTGTGGAGGTGTGTGGAGGTATGGAGGCATGGAGGTGTGGAGGTATGGACGTGTGGAGGTATGGGGGTGTGGAGGTGTGGAGGTATGGAGGTGTGGAGGTGTGTGGAGGTATAGAGGTATGGAGGTGTGGAGGTATGGACGTGTGGAATAAGGGGGGTTTGAAGATGTGGAGGTGTGGAGGTATGGAGGTTTGGAGGTATGGAGGTGTGGAGGTGTGTGGAGGTATGGAGGCATGTAGGTGTGGAGGTATGCACGTGTGGAGGTATGGGAGTGTGGAGGTGTGGTGGTGTGGAGGTATGGAGGTGTGGAGGTGTATGGAGGTATGGAGGTGTGGAGGTATGCACGTGTGGAATAATGGGGGTGTGAAGTGTGGAGGTATAGAGGCATGGAGGTGTAAAGGTGTGTGGAGGTATGGAGGCATGGAGGTATGGAGGTATGGACGTGTAGAGGTATGGGGGTGTGGAGGTATGGAGGTGTGGAGGTATGGAGGTTTGGAGGTGATTGGAGGTATGGAGATATGGAGGTGTGGAAGTATGGATGGGTGCAATAATGAGGGTGTGAAGATGTGGAGGTGTGAAGATATGGAGGTATGGAGGTATGGATGTATGGTGGTGTGGAAGTGTGTGGAGGTATGGAGGCATGGAGGTGTGGAGATGTGGAGGTATGGAGGTATGGAGGTGTGGAGGTGTGTGAAGGTATGGAGGCATGGAGGTGTGGAGGTATGGACGTGTGGAATAATGGGGGTGTGAAGATGTGGAGGTGTGGAGGTATGGAGGTATGGAGGTATCGAGGTATGGAGGTGTGGAGGTGTGTGGAGGTATGGAGGCATGGAGGTGTGGAGATGTGGAGGTATGGAGGTATGGAGGTGTGGATGTGTGTGGAGGTATGGAGGCATGGAGGTGTGGAGGTATGGACGTGTGGAGGTATGGGGGTGTGGAGGTGTGGAGGTGTGGAGGTATGGAGGTGTGGAGGTGTGGAGGTATGGAGGTGTGGAGGTGTGTGGAGGTATGGAGGTATGGAGGTGTGGAGGTATAAACGTGTGGAATAATGGGGGATGTGGAGGTGTGGAGGTATGGAGGTATCGAGGTATGGAGGTGTGGAGGTGTGTGGAGGTATGGAGGCATGGAGGTGTGGAGATGTGGAGGTATTGAGGTATGGAGGTGTGGATGTGTGTGGAGGTATGGAGGCATGGAGGTGTGGAGGTATGGACGTGTGGAGGTATGGGGGTGTGGAGGTGTGGAGGTGTGGAGGTATGGAGGTGTGGAGGTGTGGAGGTATGGAGGTGTGGAGGTGTGTGGAGGTATGGAGGTATGGAGGTATGGAGGTGTGGAGGTATGGACGTGTGGAATAAGGGGGGTGTGAAG